TATATCAGATGAATTAGGAATCAGTGAGTAAATGTTCAAATATACGGTTTATTAAATTCAAACAAGTAGTCTTGAAGTTATTTGGCCACAAAAATGGCTTAGCCATTGAAATAGAAACTTCCAGTAAACATGATTGGCTAATATTCAAATTCTCCAAACAAAATCACACTTGGTGTTGACAGATGTGAAAGAGACTCATTAATCTTGTCAGCAAATGTGTATAGTAGCAGTAGAGAATTTGACTGAAGGTGTTGTCTGCCAGATTGCAAGTCAAATCAAGGCTAGAGGTACAGAAATGTCAAATGGCATAGGGGATCAATGATTATGGAAATAAAATGCATATTGCAGCAGAAAGCCAATGAACAGTTTCTTTATTTGAATTGAACAAAAAGTAGAGCTGCAATTTGTTATGTCGATGATTTAGAAAATAAGGATGTGTGATACCATCTTGGCTTTGATGTTCCTGGATTGAAATTAGTTAAATTTTTGGACATTGAAAAAAAGATGGTGGCATGAGATTAAGAGAAAGTAATGTGAACTTCAGATGACCATAACTCTGTTATTATTGATCTATTTTACTAATGTTTTGTCCAGTATGATTTCCTACATTCAGAGGTTCAATAAGAGCAGGAAACTTTGGATTGATTTTGTCATTCATTTCACAAAATTTTACAAGGACCATTTTGATTACATGCTAGTCCACCCCCCTCCCCAACATCCACACATAGAGGGTTCCTTCTGAATAGAGCTAATTAACAATATTTTCCACAGTTTATTTTATCTATCATTATTGTGTTAAGTGTATGAAAACTTTTGTTGAATCTTTTGTAATTGAAATAAAATTAGATGGCAAAGTAATTGAAACTTTTCTTTCAAATACCCAGGAGTCATGGTAAACTATCAGCGCAAAAAAAAAGATACACATTTATTATGTTTCAAGTACATGTAAATTTATTTCCAAACAAATTTAGTTAACATATTTTTTCTGATCAATTTGAAATTCAATTTAGTCATTACTGATTCATTGATGTGTTGTTGTTTTTTTTTTAAATTCCGTTTTATGTAGTGTTCTATCTTTAATTAGATTGTGTGAGTAAGGTGATAAACTAGCTGTATTTTATTGCTCTATCAGAATTATTGATTTCCAAACAGATTTGAGGGCGGATGGAAGTGAATCTTAAAAAGTACTGAATCTTGTAGTGAAAAATCTACAATTCCCTAATGAATCTGGTTTCTTTTATTGAAATTCTTTATTGGAACGGAGCCAAGACAACTGATTTCGTTAATTTGATTTATGTCTTTTCGATGGTAGTTAGAACTAGATCTATACATGAAAAAACACAACACAACACCATTTAAAGATAAATTTCAATCCTGTTATTTCATTGTTATGCTTTGAAACGGTTTACACGTACTTAGATTTTATGTAAATGTCTTTTTTGCTTCTAAATGTTGTTTGTTAGCAAGTAGATTATAGGTCAAAAGTCAATCTTTATAACGTGGGCAGCCACCCCTCGTGAAAATCGGACCAAAACTACCAGACAAAATGGACGCCCCTCATACCCAAATAGTGTAAAAAAAATGGTATATCAAGGTTGTGGACCCTGTAGAGTTCACAATTTTGATCCGATTTTGATGAAACTTGACATACATGTTTACCAAAGATCTTGGTTCTTTTTGATATTCACGCATATTGGATCGTAACTTCCTGAATTATGGCCTCTGATTGTTAAATTCAAATTTCATGAAAATCGGACCAAAACTGCCGGACAAAATGGCCGCCCCTTGTACGCAAATAATGTCAAAATATGGTATATCAAGGTTGTGGACCCTCTGGAGGTCACAATTTTGATCCGATTTTGATGAAACGTTAAATTTATTTTTAAATCACAATGACCTTGGTTCCTTTCTATAATGGTGCATATCTAAATGTAACTTCCTTGATTATGGCCCATTAAATTATCGAAAAAGCGCATTTTTAGCTTGTGGACCTGCTAGAAGTCACAATTTGTATTCAATTTTAAAAACTGTTTAAATATATTACTGTTACACATCAAAATATGACTGAAAGTGCCGGACAAAATGGTCGCTCCTTGTATGCAAATAGTGTAAAGGTATATATGTAATAACAAGGTTGTGGACAGTGGACACTATAGTTAGAAGTCACAATTTTTATCCGATTTTGATGAAACTTGAAATGTATGTTTATAACCAAAAGATTTTGGTTCCTTTCGATATTTGCGCAGATCAGACCATAACTTCCTGGATTAAGGCCCCTGAATATTGTACGAAAAATCATGTTTTTTAGCCTGTGGATCCTCTAGAGGTCACAATTTTTATCCGATTTTAAAAAACACTTAAATGTATCACCATTACACCCTAATGAAGGTTGAGTTTGAATTTTGTGAAAATCGAACCAAAACTGTCTGACAAAATGGCCGCTCCATGTATGCAAATTGTGTACAAGTATGTAATACGAAGGTTGTTTACTCTCTAGACGTCATAATTTTTGTCCGATTTTGATGAAACTTAAAATTTATCTTTATACTCCAAAGATCTGAGTTCCTTCCGATATTCGTGCATTTTAGATTATGGCCCCTGATTGTACGAAAAATCGCGTTTGTTTTTAGCTTGTTCTCTATCCATCTCTTGCAAAATGTGGGCATATCTTGCCTGGCAGCCGCTGATTAAAACATGGTGGCAGTATTCAATGGTTACTAAAGACGAACTGTATCAAAATTCAGAATTTTATCACAGTCTTTAGAATTATCAGCCCATTCAAATGAACAAAGTTCTCAACAGAAGCTTTAGCATCCTGGTTGGATTGTTCATTGAGGAAGAACTTCATTCAATTTCAAACTGTTATAATCAGTTTACTTTATTATTATTGCTGGTTATTTTAAAGCTTGGGAGTAGGGAGAAAGTGTTTTCTTGTCTCTGCAAAATTTGTGAGGGGCATAAAAAGCCCCTTTCTATTGTTAGAAATTCTCAATATTCTGACATTAAGTTTGTAAAATATAGATGTTTTATAAGTACAGTATATTTATTGAATTTTAATTCCTTCTAATTTTCTTACCTTGTTTTAATAGTTTTGTCAGTTGGTCAATTTTTGAATATTGCAAAGTTTCTGAAAACCACTCAAAAAGGATCTAGAATGTTATGTGAAATGAATGATTTGGAGAATTGAGGGTTTGGTGAGCAAGTCTGTGTTGTTAGAATGGTTTGTTGTTTGACCTGTCTGTATTAACTGACAGACACCAGATCAGACTATAATATTGCTTCATTTGTGGTCAATTTAAATCACATTTCCTTGTGTCACGATGTAATTTCTATATAGATATGTGTATTAATAGAAATAATGTGTCTGTCAGAATCATTTTAAGAAATGTTCATCAACAGCCAATACAGTCTAACATTGATTTTATTTTGATCTAAGACACAAACACCCACCTTCTTTCTTGTAGCATCTAATGTCAGCAAATTTTCTTAAAGGTGTCTCCTGATTTATATACACACCCACATTTAATGTAGTGATAAAGATAGCTGCCATCGCTGTATAGAAGATGGGTAATATAGGCTATGTATGTTCCCTGATATGTTTTCATTCATTTGAAATAAAATATTGTTAACACAAAAACGTCCCTGTGTAAATGCTAAAATAATCAAAAATCTTTTTTGAAATAGGTTTGGCCATCTGTCACACTTTAGAAAAAAATAAGTTGAAAGTTTCAACTGAGACTTTAGAAAACAATAACTCTACTTTTAGTTGAAGTAGAATGTTCAAACTTGGTGTAATATTCATTATGTGTGACTGAGTTTGATCGATGACCATTTTCTTCCTGGGCTAGGCAGAGATATGCAATTTGATTTGTCAATGCTTTCTAATTCAGTGAGAGTGATGGTCTTTGAGGATTTTCAGGTTAATCAGAGAGATTAGTAATTTGATTAATCAATACTATGATTGCTCATTACTACTGACTAATGTCTAATGGTTGTCATCTTTTTATTTTGGTACTGTGGCGAGGGACACACTTTTAAAGCTTGACTTAATAGTAGATTTTAAAACTTGCTCCGTCTAATTTGTTAACCGTGATTTTAGAGCTAGCTCGGACAACTGCTGATGAGTATAGTAGGGGCCTGACAAGCCTCTGCAAATATTTACTTTACTATGCACTACGGCCTACTTTTATATCGAATGCCAACTGCCAAAGGATTTTTACGTGCACACCAATGTGTACACGGGACCTTGGTTTTTTTGTCCATCCAAACGACTATACATTGTCCCTTGCCAGGCCCTCTGTCCTGCACCACTGACAAGAGGGAACCACACTGGAAAATCCAGATTAACTTTCTCGGCCAATGCAGGGATCAAACACCCAACCTCCAGGTAAGCGAGCCAACGTCCTAACCATTGAGTTATCGTGGCTCCTCTGAAGATTGAATAAGCATTATGTAATAAGCATTATTATGTACCGAATAATACACATAATAATATCTTTCATCGAGTTTCGACTGTTTTTGCAAGCGAGGTTAGATAAGAGGACGTCACACACTAGGTGGAAATTCGACAGAATAGAAATTATATTAAAATTTACTTATAAAATACAAAGTGAATAAAAAATGATTTGGATGTGAATTAAAATGTTCACAGTTGAAAATTCAAGAAAATAGATTAAATTAAAAATTACTTGTGTGAAATTTAGAAAAAACAAATTATATTAAAAATTGGGTGAAAATTAAAGAAACCAAATCATATTGAAAATTACTCAGGTGAAAATTGAAATTGACTGGGGTGAAAATTAACGAAAACAAATTATATTAAAATTGACTGGGGTGAAAATTAAAAAAATAAATGAAAATTATATTAAAAATCACTTGGGTGAAAATTAAAATTGACTTGGGTGAAAATGACAAAAAACAAATTATATTAAAATCGACTTGGGTGAAAATTAAAAAAAATAATGAAAACTAAAGTAAAGAGATTTGTTTTTACTTTTCAGTAATGAAGAAACAGATATAAGAACAGATGACAGACAGTTTCAAGAGAATATAACTTTTGGCCAGTTAGGGTAAGATATTTTTTTTTTTCCTCTGCAAGAAAGCCGGGTAGTATTTAAATGGGTTCATGTGTCTGTCTGTCAAATTTTTGGGACAGAATAACTTTGCATTTCATTGGGGTAGAAAGTCCAAACTTAGTGCAGATGTTCATTTTGTGAGGGGGGTTGGATGCTCCAATGGTTAGCGCATGCACGATGTATCATAAGGTCTGTCGTTGAGACAACTGGCGTGGTTTTGATTCCCCACTTGTACGTGACGAGGAATAGGTTCGCCTGTCCAACCTCGTAGGTTTTCTCCAGGTCTTCCAGTTTCCTCCCACTGCTAAAGACCCCTACGCGCAAGCGAATTATTGAATTAAAATTAAACCATGTTAGTACCGAGATGACCTAGTTTATGTTGAGTGGACGTTAAACCCTATTTTTCTCTCTCATTATGTGAATGTATTAAGTTGGATGTGGAACATTTTCTGTTGGGACTAAGCTGGGGTGAGCAATTTTATTTATCACTGCCTTGGAACACGGTGACCCTGCTTTTTATTGCGGGAGAACAGTTTCATGACATCAATATCTTGTCTAAGTTCAATAATAAATAATTTGATTGCAAGATGCTTTATTAAAAGATAAATTGTGCAAGTAATTGAGTGTCACCTATATATTTTGGGATTGGATTGAGGCAGGAGACATTAATCTCACTGTTGGTTTACTTAGACATTTATTAACATGACAAAGCCCATAAATTAGTATGTCTGTGATATTTAAAATTGAACCTTAAAATGGATAATCAAGATTTATTCTTGTTTGTCCAGTACTGTTGGTATGATAATAAACAATCTACGCCAACACTCATAACTCAGAATAAAGTAATTTGAATATTTTCATTGTATTCATTTTTCTTTGTCTATTTTCAAACTGTACTCTTCAAAAAATGCAAATACCTATGCAGGTTGTGATATGATAAATAGTCATGGACACTTGACATGCTTTGAGAGTATGTTCACAGATGAAGAACGTATCGCCCCAACAGAACCACTGAGCTTAACCTGCGACACGCAATACACGTGGGATGGGTTCATTTTCAAATTTAACACTTCAAGGAAGGGTTGATGAAAACTGCCGTTTGCTGGTTTATCCTATCCATGTTTGCTTTCCTATCGGTTCTTGCATAAGATTTACTGTTTAGTGTATCTTTGTTTTAATGTGTTACATTTAATTTGATCGGGAGACCTGTTCGTCGACATCAACGTCAACCAACAACACTGCAAGAATTGGCTGTGGCACTGCAAGAGGAGTGGGTCAGATTGTTCCAAATCGTGATTGGACGGTTGATTAGGAGCATGCCACTACGAATTGCTGAATGTCTGAGGATTGGTAGAGCAATTACTCATTATTAAGACAAAAATCAAAAACGTCCATTTTCACTTTTGACAGTGTATCTCTTTACGAGTGAAATGGGGCCGTCAGATAAGCCGTCCATATTAACTGTTTATGTTCATATGTAGGCAATTGGCCTGTTATTAACATACACTGGTTACCTCTAATAAAAACAGCAGTGCATTTTCGAAGTTTTGTATTGTTTCTGAATATCCCCTACTTTTTTTGAAGAGTATATTACATGTATAGCAAGAATGGTCAGCTCTTATCTAAATCTTATGTAATGCATCTTTAATAAAATTACACATGAGTAAAACACAATGGATCCTTCATCGAGACAGTGAAGAGAATGGATATGATCAGACCCATATATAGCACGAGTCTTGGCAACTATTGTTCTCAATTGTGATTGTGTAATAAAATGTCTTACACAGTTCCTGCCTCATGACTTTCATTCTGTTTTCCTTCATTGTTTTATACTTGTTCTATTCTGATGTTGATCTATTAAATTTGGGTAACAAAATGGTGAACATGGCCCCTGTTGGCTAAACTCTGGATTTGACCACTCTGGATTTGACCACTCTGGATTTAACCAGGTCAATCAACATCTATATAAGATATAATTTTTATACGCCCACATTTTCATGTGGACATATATTGTCGTCGCCCCTGTCCTTCCGGACGTCCGTCCGTCCTCAATTGTTTGTGTACTCTCTACAGGTCACAATTCTTATCCGATTTTGACGAAACTTGAAATATAGGTTTATCCCCAAAAGATCTTGGCTGCTTTCAATATTGGCATGTATCTGATCGAAACTTCATGGATTTAGCTTGTGGACACAATAGAGGTCACAATTTTGAACCGATTTTGATGAAACTTGACATGCATGTATATAACCCAAAAATCTTGGTTCCTTTTGAGATTTGCGCCCATCGGAATGTAACTTCCTGAATTATGGCCCCTGATTGTCCGAAAAATTGCCTTTTTTAGCTTGTGGTCCCTCTGGAGGTCACAATTATTATCCGATTTAAAAAACAGTTTGATTATATCACCGTTACACCGTAAGGAAGGTTGAGTTTAAATTTCGTGAAAATCGGACCAAATTTGCCGGACAAAATGGACGTCGTTTGTACGTGAATAGTGTAAAAATATGGTATATCAAGGTTGTGGACCCTATAGAGGTCACAATTTAATTCGATTTTGATGAAACTTGAAATACATGTTTATAACCTACAGATCTTGGTTCCTGTCGATATTTGCGCATATCAGATCGTAAATTCCTGAATTATGGCCCCTGATTGTCCGAAAAATCACCTTTTTTAGCTTGTGGTCCCTCTGGAGGTCACAATTATTATCCAATTTAAAAAAAACAGTTTGATTATATCACCGTTACACCGTAAGGAAGGTTGAGTTCAAATTTCGATTTTGAAAAAACTTGAAATACATGTTTATAACCTAGAGATCTTGGGTCCTTTCGATATTGTCGCATATCGGATCGTAACTTCCTGAATTATGGCCCCTATACGAAAATCACCTTTTTTAGCTTGTGGTCCCTCTGAAGGTGACAGTTATTATCTGATTTTAAAAATTGTTTGAATATATCACCGTAACACCATAATAAAGGTTGAGTTCAAATTTCGTGAAAATTGGACCAAAATTGCCAGACGAAATGGCCACCGCTTGTACGCAAATAGTGTAAAATTATGGTATATCAAGGTTGTGGACCCTGTATAGATCACAATTTTAATCCAATTTTGATGAAACTTGACATGCATGTTTATAAACCAAAGATCTTGGTTCCTGTCGATATTTGCTCATATCGAATAGTAACTTCCTGAATTATGGCCCCTGATTGTACAAAAAATCGCCTTTTTTAGTTTGTGGTTCCTCCTGGAGGTCACAATTATTATCCGATTTAAAAAAACGTTTGATTATATCACCGTTACACCATAATACAGGTTGAGTTCGATTTTCCGGAAAATCAAGCCAAAAGTACCGGACAAAATGGCCGCCGCTTGAATGCGAATGGTGTAAAAATATGGTATATCAAGGTTGTGGACCCTGTAGAGGTCACAATTTTAATCCAATTTTGATGTTTATAACCCAAAGATCTTGGTTCCTTTCGATATTTGCGCATATCGAATTGTAACTTCATGAATTATGGCCCTAGATTGTAGGAAAAATTACTTTCTTTTTAGCTTGTTCTCTATCCACCTCCCGAAAATGTGGGCGTATCCTGCCTGGAAGCCACTGGTTATATATAGGGAGGATTTGGGCATGTACAATTGATAAGTTCCAATTTTCACCAATCTGAAGAAATAGCTATTAATTGTTTGTAGGAGTTTGCCTTCAATTTTTCACTGAATAACCTAATAAGTTCACCAACAGGTAATTAAAACACAGCAATAACAAAAATATTGTGGGAAGTTCTCACCCATCATGCGCACAGGTTAGATAGGATTATCCAGACACAACATTAAGGTGCATTGTGTTTGAGCTAAATCTGGCTGTTTTCGCTTCAAATTTTATATTAATTATTTAGACATTTATTCATTAGACAAACCTATAATCAATTCTATAGATCATTGTATGCCCGAGATTTAAATGGTTTTGAACGTCAGCGACATTTTAAAATTTGAATGATATTTTCAATAATATATTAATTTTTCATACCGATATCTATTTTTATATGCCACATTCATAATGTGGACGTATATTGCCGTCGCCCCTGTCTGTGTGTGTGTTTGTCTGTGTGTCGCCTACAGGCCACAATTCTTAAGTGATCATCTTGAAACCTTACATACTTATAACTTATACCCTAAGGAAGATCCCTATTGTTTTTGGTGCATGCCCGACCCCCAGGGGCAGAGCCACGCCCATTTTTAGTATTTCTTTGTTTGTCATCTACAGGCCGCATTTCTTAACGTATCATAATGAAACTTTGCATACTTATTCTTTGTATCCTAAGGAACATCCCTATTGTTTGGGGTGCATGCCCAACCCCCAGGGGCAGAACCATGCCCATTTTCTTTTTGTGTGTCTGTGTGTCGCCTACAGGCCACTGCATGTCCCGACCCCGAGGGGCAGAGCCACGCCCAATTTTTGTGTTTATCGTTTACAGGTCGGAGTTCTGAATGGATTAACTTTGTACTTGGCATATGTATTCCTTATAGCCTAAGGGCGTCAACTATTGATATTGGTGAATGCCCCGACCCCCAGGGGCAGAGCCACGCCCAATTTTGCCTTTAGCACCCGAAGGTCACAATTCTGAATGGATTATCTTGGAACTTGGAATACTTATTCCTTATACCCTAAGGACGGCAACTATTGATGTTGTCATTTCAATAACGGGGGGGGCGGGTCCTATTTATATTGTTCCATATCCAACCCCCAGGGGCAGAGCCACACCCATTTTTTGTATTTATCGTCTACAGGCTGCAATTCTGAATGGATCATCTTGGAAATTTGCATATTTATTCCTTATACTGTAAAGACAGCAACTACATGTATTTATTTTGGTGCTTGCCCCGACCTCCTGGGCAATGTCACACCCACTTTTTTGTTAGTACTTTGTCTGTAAATTTGGCAAAACAAACCCAACGCCTAGCCTTCTTTGCCTCTTATCATATTACAGCCATTTCATATTTCATTCTCTTCATTTTAAAAAGTACCATATCAATCAATGCTGGAATGTGGACGTATATTGCAGCGTTAGTGATGCTCTCGTTGATCTCTTATAGCAAGAATAGCCAGCTCTTTCTTTATCTAAATCTTACATAATGTATCTTTTGTTATAATATCCAGGGGTTAGAATGTCATTTTGTTCCTTTGACCAAGGATAAATTAGAAATAAATGGAAGTAAGTCTGAAATATCTAATAAATAATGTATGTTTCTCTTACAAACTGAAGAAGACATATTAATGGTTTTTGTAGGATAATCCAAGGTTAAAACCATTCGTTATATAAGAGGAGAGTAGAACATACCATAATAACTTATTGATTGATGATCAATATCTTTGTTTATTTAGAGCATTTTTAATTAAAAACAGCAGAGACATCATCAAATTTTCTTTCATCTCTCCATGATATGGATTAGGATTATATTTTGTTAAATTGTTGTTCTCTAACAGCAAATTTCTGATTTATTAGTATTGCATGAACATTTTCATAGATAGAATACTTATGCTATATTTAAAAACTTGCTCATTTAACTGTGATCAGTACATACAGTATTTCATAAAAATAAATTTGGGTAAAGTGATTAATTCCTATTACTGTTGGTCATGTTTAATTCACTAATGTAGTGTTGGTTATTATATATTGTAGAACAACATTACGTAATCTTGATGTATCAAGCCTTGCGGAACTATTCATATTAACATATTTTACTGGAAGACTTTTAAACGGCTACACAATATGAGTGTACAGTTATATTGTTAACATTCTACAGATCAATGGTTTTAAAATTTAAAAAAAAAGGTTCTGGGTTTATTTGGTTAATCATAAGGAAGAACTCTATCAGAAATTAGGTCATTTTTAGTTGTCCTGATCGATCATCTCATTTTGTAAAAAAGATTTACACGTTTTTACATATTGAATTTCAGTGATTTTTGATTATACATGTAACTTAACAGAATTTTGTGAATACTCTTCTGACAAAAGTCATCATTTTTTCTGCGTTGTTTTGACCAGTGAAATGAAGAATTTTGTTGAAACAATTTCTTATAATTACTTATAGATTTATTGCCCTTGATTGTCATAGAATCTTGTCAAAGCACAAAATGATATTAAACAGTATAAATATGTTACTTATTAGATACCTAAAGATTGACAATGATACAAACTTTGTAAACAGCTCAGACGACATGGCTGTTGTAGGTGTATGTTTTGTTGACTGGCAAACTATTTTTAAAGAATTTAATTAGATTGGATGGTTATGACAAAGGAAGAATAACAGGGATGACATGCATCATAGCAAACTGTAATGTTCTTGATTTCCATTACAAAGATGCTCGTGGGTGTACACGTTTTGCCTGGCAACATCATGTTTTTAATAAGTATATCAGTAAGAATTCATGTTGACAATTACCAGCAAATCAATAAGCTGATTTATTCACAGATTCTTCAATATATTTCAGGACCTTTACATGTAATATGCGAGCATTTGGATTAAGTAGAGAACTTTGTATGGAGTTTCTAAGAAAGCAGGCTATTATTGCTAACCTCAATAAAGGTGAGATACTTATTATTTGTAGTGTACAAATATATTCATAATTTAAACCTTTATACATTTTTTAACAGAGAATGTTCTTTTAAATTATATATTTATATTAAATTATGTATCTTTTACAGAACAAGTGAAGATGCTAAAAGATAATTTTGATAAATATAAAGATCATTAACAGATGAGGTAAAACTATATATAGTATATATACCAACATCTGAACACAAGTCATATATAGCAGGCCCATGATGTACGAGTAGATGCTAATAGATATATTTAATACAGAAAGTTGATGGGTGATTGTCATATAGCTGAATAACATAGAGAGAGAATAACGCATGTTATTTATTTAAGAATGAATGTTTGTTTTATTTTGCTTCATAGATCTGAATATTAAATGAATGTTGCTAGATACCATAGTTTTAGAGGTAACTTATAAATAATAACAATGTATATATTTCTAAAAAATGATTTTATCCTTGATTGTATATAAACATTTAAATGTAAACTATTACATTTACCCATAATGACAATGATGTTGAAATTGTAATCAGCATCTCACACTTCAGATAGCTCATTTGTTGATATGATCAGTTTATAATGCAGATAAAGTATGACCTGCGGCATCTTCATTATATGGAACATTCCATTATTATAATTGATATGTGTTTCATATAAAATAATTAGTTTGTAGTTTCAAACTATTCATGTATAGTGTAGACTAGACCTGTATATGAATCAACAAAATATAATGAATGTACACATAATAACTTGACAATAATATGAAGTATATTGAATCAGAGATCAGTGCTGAAATTCCCATATGTTTGACTGTAATATCTGTTATCAAATTAGGTGCAATAATATTTATTTCTAATATCTATACACTTAATTGTAATGCATCTAAATAGTTCATCAATTTCTGGCTCTTTGAGTTTTGTTAGTATTTTATAGGTTGAGAAGGAGGCATAGCCTATATCACACCTCCTATATAGGTATTAATTTATAACTTTAATAGAATTAAAAATGTAGATATAAAAACAATTCTTACTACTTGACGAGAACAGAGGAGGTTTAATATGCAATGTACAAATAATTTAGATATTGTTATGTTTTAAATGTACATTGTATATCTACCACTCACAGTTATTATTAGATAGTGTATATTTGTAGTTAGAATTAAATAAAGATGTTTGAAAATTGATAATTAAACCAATTATTCACACTGTATAGTTATAGTAACATGCATATAATTATATAAGCATAGTAAGGATGTATTTGTATATTTCCTAATCAAACACTTATTAGAATAATAATATTAAATAATATTGTTCAAGAGCTTTATGTAAACAATAATCAAATCAGTTAATTAAAATTGATGGTCAACATTCCTTTTAGATGTATATAAATGAACAGCTTATAGTCATATGTAATAATATATGTAAATATCTAGATTTACACAGCATACTGTAATTGTATTATTTATATTCATAAGCATGACTGTGGTCACAATATTTAAGTTTCATTCTCAGTGTTTCACATTCTTTGTAGAAAATTGACGGATAGTTTAGTAGAATAGTTTGGAAGAAAAATTTATATGAATATTGGTACTGTAGAACATAGCGAATGATCTTTTCATTGTTAACCATCACAAAAGTCCTTTTCAGCTTTCGATATCAACAGTGGAAAAAAAATAAAATAAGCTGAGTTTAATCATAAATTATATGTGTATTTAATTTATTCTTCATAATATTAGAGCCATACCTACATAAAAATAGTCGGAACTATGATACACTTTTTATACGCCCACATTTTCATGTGGACGTATATTGTCGTCACCCCTGTCCGTCCGTCCACAATTGTTTGTGAACAGTCTACAGGTCACAATTTTTATCTGATTTCAATGAAACTTGAAATATAAGTTTATCACCCTAAGATCTCGGTTCCTTTCGATATTGGCATCTATCGGACCGTAACTTCATGGATTATGGCCCCTGATTGTACGAAAAATCACGTTTTTGGCTTGTGAACACTGTAGAGGTCACAATTTTTATCCGATTTTGTTGAAACTTGAAATGTAGGTTTATAACCCAACGATCTTGGTTCCTTTCGATATTCGTGCACATCGGACCGTAACTTCATGAATTATGGCCCCTTATTGTATGACAAATCGCGTTTTTAGCTTGTGGACCATATAGAGGTCCTAATGTTTATCCGATTTAAAAAAAAAGTTTTATTATATCACCATTAAACCCTAAGGACGATTGAGTTCGAATTTCGTGAAAATCGGCCCAAAACTGACAGACAAAATGGCCGCCGTTCGTTCTCAAATAGAGTAAAAATATGGTATATCAAGGTTGTGGACCCAATAGAGGTCACAATTTTTATCCGATTTTGTTGAAACTTGAAATGTAAGTTTATAACCCAAAGATCTCGGTTCCTTTCGATATTCGCGCATATGGGACCGTAACTTCCTGAATTATAGCCCCTGATTGTACGAAAAATCACGTTTTTAGCTTGTGGACCCTATAGAAGTCATAATTTTTATCCGATTTAAAAAAACGTATTATTATATCACCGTTACACCCTAAGGACGACTGAGTTCGAATTTCGTGAAAATTGGCCCAAAACTGACAGACAAAATGGCCACCCCTTGTTCTCAAATAGCGTAAAAATATGGTTTATTAAGGTTGTGGACCCTATAGAGGTCACAATTTTTATCCGATTTTGTTGAAACTTGAAATGTAAGTTTATAAATCAAATATCTTGGTTCCTTTCGATATTTGCGCATATAGAATTGTAATTTCCTAAATTATGGCCCTTGATTGTAGGAAAAATCACTTTTGTTTAGCTTGTTTTCTATCCGTCTCTCGAAAATGTGGGCGTATACTGCCTGGCAGCCGCTGGTATAGATATTTTGTTGTCATCAAAAAGATTTGTTTGAAAAACAACTATATTTGGAGCCCCTGAAAAAGTATCATTAATTCTGGTATAAGATTTTATTGTACCGAAACTATATGCAAGTTGAAAGCATAAATGCACAATTCAATCAAGCTATAATGAAAGTAGCTAAGTCTCTAAATCAGTATCATCCAAAATTTTCGATTCGAAAAATGAGGCTAGACATACCCCACAAGTCATGTCAAACAGTGACACCATATCTTATCTGGAGAGCATGCGCAATAAATACTATCGGTGTAGATTGGAATAACCAGACCCTAGAGATTGCCATTCGATTGAGGCTTCTGGCATATTTCGCGGAATATAACTGATTTGAAATTAGAGTATGAACGGAAACGATTGAATGTATATCAGTTTATATACATTCATATTACATTATTATATGTGTTGCGACCCATTTGTGTCAATTTCTAGGTTCAAAATATTAGTGATTTAGCTCCTTTAAGTGGATAATGGAATTTATCGACCTATAAAGGTGGCAATTTTTACATTAATTTCATGTTTCATAATAATTAATAACTCAACATAATCTCCTTGGGGATCACAGAGGAGTTAAAAGAATAAATTACATGGCAGTGATAAAGGATAAAGATTTAGTTAAAATAAAGTCCAGAGAATTAATATACTACTTCTATGTCTTTTCTCATATGGATTATATATGTCTCATAAATAATTCATTTATTTTAGTCATTGGTGCATCTCAAACTCCAAACTATGATTTATATTAAAATTACTACTGTCCAGTACAGTTACTCTTAGTATTATCAAGGTAAAAATTACAAATGTTTATTATAACTTATTTATTCATAAAAGTATAATCTTAGTAATTGAGTGCAATGATGTTACGTTATAATAATTATAATAAAGGCTAGTGATTAAAGTCAGGTTAATTATAATATGGTGTTGTTTTGTTTCAATAAAAACAGTGTTATATGTTATGGGCACAGAAAGCAAACGATGGCTATTTAGGGTGTTTTATGGTATCAGTGCTAAATATTTGCCTCCTTCTGTATCTAATAAGAAAGTTTGCCTGATATGAGTTGAACAGAAATGAAAAGGGGTTTAACATCCTACTCTGACTGGGCTAATGAAGACAGATATGAGTAAATTAAGTGAAACTTCTAGAAGCCCCAAGATTTTACTCACAGTTCCCTCACTAAAACAACTGTTCAATCTGAGGGTGAAGACAATATACTAAAAACGAAGTTTGTACAAAAACTGTCCGTAATAGTGATCAGGAAAGCTTGGTTTTGACTGATAGACCTACACCATGAGGTTAACTGAGAGAGTAGAGGTGTAGATCAGATTGTTTATACATCAATACATTTTTTTATTTCTGAATTTCTTAAAGCAGCATTATGGAAGATTAGATAAAGAGCTGACTGTTCTCTCTATAATAGTTAAGAAATAGATTATGTAATGGGAATATGCTGAAAATTTCATTCTCATTCAAATTACTTCACTCTGAGCAAGAAATACTTATTAATATCATTGTAGCCTCGATTGTCATTGTTACAATAATAAACAAAGTCTCGGTTATCCATTATTATGGTTAATCATTACCACCGTTGAATAGACAGACCCCTGTTTTCTTTGAAAGGCAGGGGACAATAATGAACCTTCTATTAATTACTGTCTGTCTTGTTCTCTTTTTAAGTTGTTGCCATTTAAAGTTTAGATGGCCTACCAAAACTAAAGAAACGAAAAACTGATCTTGACCGGTATTCACTTGTTTACATATAAAGGAGGTAATTTTCACATTTGCTCTCATAATTGATATTGATGTTAAATTACACCCTGAATGTCATTATCATTAGTGATGAAGAGAGATCCATACAGTATACATATAGATGGGTATTACCTCTATTTGCATATAAAAGACATAATTTTCACCCTCGCTCTCATAGTCATAACTGATATTGATGTTAAATTACACCCTGAAAGTCATTGTCATTAGTGATGAAGAGAGACCCATACAATATATGGTTATAATTAAGCTCTCTATTATCCTGGATTTCTCTGTATATATTCCAGACACCACATCATCCTGAAATCTAACAACCAGGTTCTCGCTGTTTTGAGTGCATAACAGCTATGACCCACTTGTACTGATATCCTGAAGAGCAAGTCAGCTATTTCCATTATAGGTCTTCTTTATATGATGAACATTAATTTCACCAGTCTGGTGCTGACATAATATTTTTAATACTACCATATTTAGGTCATATCACATTTGCCCAGAAATATAAAATTGATCATCTAATAGTCTCAACAAAATAACTGCTATTTGGCCACACAGCTAGAACAGTAAGTGCAGGAGGACCACACAAAACAAAACCGATAAGACAAACCTGCGGACAAGAAAAACCAGGTACACAGACATTGCAAGAAATAAACAACAAATATCAAATCAGGTGTATGGACATGGATGGGTTTCATGCACAATGCATATTATGCTTACTATTGCACAAGAGAGAGAATAGGTCATTTCAGGACCAACACATGGTTTAATCTTATTTCATTAATTTGCTTGCATGTAGGGGTCTTTATAGTGGGAGGAAACAGGAGAATACCCAAGAGGTTGGGCAGGTGACCCTACTCCTTGTCATATACAAGTGGGGAGTCGAAGGAACGCCACTTGACTCAATGACAGTCCAATCGGCCACCAATCCCCCTACTATTCCACAAACACATGATAACATGGTCTTGGCTCTTGGATTATCTGACACTGTCCCATGGTTTATCATCAGCAGACAGTTTTGTATTCATCTTGACATTCAGTTTATTTTTGGTACTGTTTTTTTTTTTTCTATGTCATTGTGAAGGGCTTTGCAAAATCACTTTGACGTTTTGGATTGTCTGTGCAGTGTTAATGTTCATGTACTGGTGTATGCTGATTGAAAAATGGTTTTCATTCAATGCTATTTAACAAGTTCATATTACCGGTAGATTGTTTGCTGAATCAGTATGGAAATGTCAGAGTAAGCTTTTCCAGTATAAAAGATGATTTGTACACAATTAGGGGATTGAGATTTATTTTTTCAATGTAATAATATCTTGGATTAAAATCTATACACGATTTAAAAACAGGGCTGGAATTAAGACCTTTGAGAATAAGTACTGAAAGAAACTAAAGACCGCATAGAAATGCAATTTAAAATAAAAATGATAATAAACCGCGTAAAATAAGTTATCTTTTGCTTTTAAGTGTCTCTGCTCTGTCACTGCTATACAGAAATGCCCTTCTTCCTCTAAAACTACCCAATAAATGGGTTGCCAATCAATAGATATATACCCACCTGAAAAAATATTGAACAGGGACTACCACATACTAAGGGATAAATCTGAGTATCGATATGTCTCCTTCTTCTGAGTATAGTTCTTAGGATGGATGGACAGACGAAAATATATAAAATTATGGAGGCTTATAAAAAAGTTCTGTCTTCATTAGCCCAGTCTGAGCAGAAAAGTAGGACATTAAAATAACTGAAATCCAATAAATCACTCTGAAGAGGATGAATATATATATATATACTCGACAGAAGAATGAACAACAGAAGCGAGAATGTAAGCCTCATGAGTTAATCATGCCTTTCATTTAGTAACACTGAACGTATGTCATTATTTTTGATGATAGTTTAGAAAAGTTATTACTTTGTTTTGTTGTCATGGGAACAGTTATAAGCAGAATGTTGAAGTTAATATGAATACAATCAACAACATCTTATCTCCCAACACGGCTTTCTATGTTTTCCCAATTACTTTATTTTATCATATAAGTGATCAAAATGAAAAACCTACATTAAAAGTATAGCTGAATTATTTTAGCCTGAATAAGTTAATTTTTTTAATAAAAGATTGCCGGAGAAACTGAAATTGTCATTTTTGTCTTAAAAAGTTGGTAGCATTTATATCATAAAAACAGATAATTTTACAATACTACTAGTGGTCTCCAGACAAAAGTCAAATTCAAAAATCAGTGACACAAATTTGTAATTAGAAATCAAGAAGTAGCTTGAAATATAAGTGTTGAAGTAATGGTCAATGTACAGTGAAACAATACCACCATTTATAAGTATTAGAATATTAATAAAGAACAGAATTCAAAACAAAAATATATTTTATTTTAAAAGGTATAAATTATCTGATGAAAACTTGCATATTTAGAATATTAGGTGCTAGTGTTATTCACAGTAGCTGTCAAAACATCATTATTGGCCGCAAGTTTTTTTTTATGGTGGACTGATGTGTCAAGGGAGATAATCAAACATATTTAACTTTTATTTTGATATTACACTAACAATACCTACATAATATTAACATACAACCATCATCTTTAAATTAAATAAATTCCTAACTATATACATATTATCTACAATATCTCACTACTAATGTTTCTAGGACACCATTTGTTTTATAATATTCAATAAGAATACATAACCAGTAATGGCAGCCAGTCCAATCACCAGTATTCTAGTTTTACTGAATATAAACAAACAAGATATTGCCTTTAAGTCATTACAAAAATGGAAAGAAATTAAGGATGTATCATTGGGGATGCTTGACTGTCAGCCTGGAACATCCCGAATTAACAGAATTGCATTCAAATAAAATGGAATTCAGTAATGTCACAGTTCTGTCAGTCCACACAATGGAGGTGGTGTAGGTACATAGTGACGAAATTAAAAACAACCAATATGTTTCAGCTGTCATGGTTGGTTGAGATATTTTTTTATGCAGTTGGCGCAATGCCTTGCAGTCTGACCCCCCCCCCCCTTTTTACTCGATTATCACTATATTTGAGATAGAGATAATTCAATTCCAGAATGTTCAATCGAGTATTCCCAAAGTGGTTAATGACTATTCAGGGCCCACAACTCATCAATAATATCCAATTTTTGATTGACTGTTTAAAAATGAACAGTTATTTGCGTATAAAATAAGACAGTTATACATGTATGTCCAAATAATCCACAGAAACCTGTATATGCATAATGAAAATCCTGTGGAAGTGCAGAAATTAATCCTGAGATTTTGTATATAATAATATATTTCATTTAATCTGCTAGTAATTGCACACACTCATCTTTCTAGATATACATATCACTGGTATAGGAAACAATGGAATTAACCCTAAACATATAATACAATACTAAAACCAGCCATATTTATTGGATTTCTTCTCTTCTTCCTTGTATTCTTTTTCAGTTTCTAGATATTCATCTCTATCATAGCCTTCAGATATATCTACCTCAAGAGCACGAGCGACGATAGATTGCGGTTTTTGTGGTAGATTTCTAAAAGCTGCATCTAAAGATAAAACATGTAATTTGTCAGCACACTCACTAAGAAGTCCGAAATTTTTTAGAAGTACAACTGCCTCCGAAGAATCGAAATCAAGAACAACGCCAGTTTTGGATTGAAGCCATTTCTCAACAGATTTTTCTACTGTTAATGCAGTTATACCACCTGAAAAGAGAGAGAGAAAAAAATATTTTACATCATCTATTGAGAGAGAGAGAAAGAGAGAGGGAGAGAGATGGGTTGACACAAACTAGGTCATTTCGGGACAAACATATGGTTTAATTTTTATTTCAATAATTCGCTTGCGTATAGGGGTCTTTAGCAGTGGGAGGAAACCGGAGGACCCGGAGAAAACCCACAAGGTAGGACAGGCGACCCTACTCCTTGTCACGTACAACCAGGGATTCAAAACCATGCCAGTTGACTCAATGACAGGCCTTATGATACAGCGTGCACGACGTGCTAACCATTCTCATCTATTGAGTGACATTTAGTGTTTGAGCACATAAACAACACCAGGACAAATTATGTGGACTACAATCAATGATTTTTTATAAATATAGCGCGAATTTTCGACAAATATTCTCTTATTGTTTTCAATAAAGCTGTGCTATCTGTATAATAAAGCATTGATTGTATTTCATGTGAATGATATCTGTGTCAGAACATCGAAGCATGATATCTGTAAGTTTTTGTCTTTGATTCTGATCAAGTACTATTCCCCATGAATGATATGTTGATGTGACTTCAAACCCAATCTTCAACTAGAAACTTTTGAACATTATGATGCATGTTTATACATGTATATCCAGGCAATATTTAATTTTAAACCAGGTAATTATGGTAAAGAAAGCATGAGCTTATCCTGTCATTTGATACAAAATAACTTTTCTATTTAAACATTGAATAACAACTGATGGAATCTTAAGACCTCAGGTTTAGTTGAGGTGATCAGTCAACAAGATTTACAAAATAATATACTTTACCCAATTCTGCTGGTTTTTGTTGATTACTAGGTAAACTTTTTACTGATGGTGATCTCTTGGTTAATAAGAAAGCATATGTCAGTAAAGTTTCTTTAAAACTTTCATCTTCAGCTCTATCTACTAATAACGTCAACAATCCACGATTATTGGCAATGTTCTTATAATATAAGGTTCTAGATACATCTACAAGATATTTATTTTTACGATTATTATAAACTGTCCAGGCACGGATACCAATGATTCCTGTCAGTGCTGTCAATATAAGTGTCCAATCGATGTTCATGTCAGCTAAAACTGTAACTAATTTTGCTACCACGCCAACTGATGCTATAAATGCTGATGTTGTAAGAATACCTTTATCCATCGTACTCATTTTAATAGTACCATCGGGTAATAACATTTCTAAGGCATTGACTGGCACCTCTTTAAAAGCTTTCAGCATTAATTTTTGGTCTTTTTTTAGCCTAATGGCAACCACAACTCGTTTATAATATTCTATGGGTTTTCTAGCAGGTTTTTTGGTAACTTTACTCAGGAATTGTTCATATAGGTTAAACTTTTGTTCAGGTATCTCACGTCCTAGTGCCCAAAACCGTAATATATCATATTTAAGGGGATTAACACTAACCTGGAAAAAAGAAAATTAATAATTAAGATGAAATTAAATGGAGTTTAACGTCCTACTGTTCTGCTCCGACAGGGCTAATAAAGACGGGAATAAATTAAAAAGGGAAAGATAAAAGTCTGGATAAAAAGATTTGTACAATATAGGGATTAAGGCCACAAAGTATTGTACTAATGCTAAAAATAAAACCATAAAATGCAGACAGAAATTGTGAGGTACAAAGATTTAAATCAATACATCCAAATTAATAACAAAGGTTGTAATTAATAAGATAAGTAATATGATTTGGTTTGGTTTTTTTTTGCTTTTGTTCTTGAATTGCCACAATGTTACTATTGTTACTTGATCTGCACCTTATTCATTTTTGCTCAGAAAAAAACTCAAACAAAAATCAAAGTATCTTACCCTGACACCCTCTCTTGCCTCGTGTTCTGATAAAGCTGTATTAATAGTGTTTTTAGATAATTCATGAAAGTTGGCTTTTTCCATTATGTCTTGTAATCTTTCTAATAACCAGAATTCATTATCAAGTCTTTCTCTCCTATTCCATTTCCTTGTTTGAATTGTGTCTTTGTCAGGGTTGATAGGATCAAAGAGACTCTAAAAGCAGAATATTTAAAGTAACGATTAAAGTAAATCAGGAAGATGATGAAAATGATAAAAGATCTAATACTCAAACAGGTCCAGTGCTTTAATCTGCTTCTATTCTCAGATGTTGCCTGGGGCATCTTCATACAAATGGCTAAAACAAACATTTTAATTATGTTTAAGTTCACGGTTAAAATGTTTGTTTTCGCTATTTACTTTTATGTCATATATGTTCGATTTTTTAGATTTAGAGAGGAGGGGTTTAACATCCTATCGACACTAACCAAGTTATTTGGGACTAACATATACTATATCAATTAGTTGGGTAAAAAGATTAACCAGAGAAAAACCATTAAGTTATGCAGGCGACTGTACTCTTTGTCAAGTAAAAAACTGACATCGAACAAATGACCTTCATGGATAAGAGCTAAATGATCTAAAGTGCATGTATCAGATGAGAAAATCAGTCGGCCACCCATCCACCTCCTGAGATACATGGGGGTAGCAAACCAAACATTAAGGTTACCAGATGCTCAGAATGACTGTGTTAAAAGCCAGTTGACAGATTTCAGAGACAGGTCTTAGGTCTATACTTTATTCTATATTCAATGGATATAATATGAATAGAAAAACATACCTTAAGTTCTTGTAAAATTCCATGATATTTGTTAACAAGAGCACTGTCTAAGGCCAGAGCGAAATCTTCAAACTGTTTCTTCTCCTCCTCTGTTAAGAACTCTTTCTCTTCCATTATATGTCTGATAACAGAGCGTCGCGTTATTGGAATATATCTTTCCCTGTAATACGCGGAAAATTAATTAAAATAATTATTTAGTACCATGTTTGTATGTATACTGTGATGCAGTGATTATGCAAAGTGGCCAGTTTCTGAACGACATGTGAAATGAAATGGGGTATGGGGTTTATCGTCCTACTGTGCTGCTCTGATTGGGATAATGAAAACAGGGAAATTTTGTCCTGACAGTGGCATACGACCTACACGTATATTGAATTTTAACTGACAAGGGATCAGTTGTTCATCCCATCTGAATGACTATACGTTGTCCCTTGCCAGGCACTCTGTCCTGCACCACTGACAAGGAGGAACCACGTTGAAAGATCCCGATGAGAATTCTCGGTCAACTCTGGGATCGACCATGGGACCTCCAGATTAGCAAGCCAATGCCTTACTGAGCCATCAGGGATCTAAAAAAATGACTACATGTGACAATGGCTGCCACAGTAAGATTGGCACATTATCTGGCAACATCTGCAGAATTGCATGCCTCTAGTTTCCCGTACTGCTGCTGCTTGGTTTATCATTGCAAACACTGTTCGTCGTTGAATATGCTCTGCTAAACTGCATGCCTTATGCTGCACCAATTCTGAAAGAAATCTAGTTTCTGACTCTTGATTTGTACCATTTGTACCCCTTGTGCCTATGTTTAACTGTAAAGTATTTATGACCTCCAAGGGTTGCTATTGTTTTTCTTTTGTCAGTATATGCTCAGTCTACAATCATGTCAAAAATCACATTTCAGCTTAATTATGTCACCCCCATAAAGTAGAAATTGTTTGTATGAAAAGCTATCTTTCAAAATGGGATGAATGCCATAGAAATAGGTTTTATTTGTCAAAGCACACAGGATAACGTTTGAAAGAAAATTAATAATACATTCTGCCTTTTATTACAGAATACTGCCTGTTTCTCACAATGTTTATCTTGTTTTGGAAAATAGCTCTAATGGAATAATATACCTATACAATTGTTCCTCAGTTGGAACTTCTTCTTCTGGGCTAACAGCAATGCCATCTTGCTTACCACCTTTACCTCCTTCCTCACTTGATGCTGTTACAGCAGAAGACAAACTCCTTGTAACTTTGAACTTCGGTTGATGAATCAAATTTTGAAAATAGCTCAGACATTTCTTCTCATTCAATATTCGTACAACTGTCTGAAGGTAGAAAAAATGATCATACAGTATATGGTACAGCAATTAACTTTTAAAAGCCTCAATGTGCTTGAATGCTGATTATCAATTTAATTAATTTAATGTGTCAAAAATAAGGTTATAACAGAAGGTTAATTTTAAAACATGTAATCAACAGTTAAAACACAAATATTAGATTAAATTGAGAGAGTTCCATTAGGAAGTTTGCCTCACGATAAAAAATATCTCCAAATAAATTGTTAATTAGGGCAATTAAAAAAAAAAAAATAGCTGGCTGGTGATCGAACTTTCCGTTAGCAGATTCACAATAAAAATCAACCAGTGACACGTTATTCTGTGGACAACATCCATACCGATCTTTTACTGGCATGCAACAACTCTTACGGACAATTGTAGCCACAGCGAATGACAATATTGCAGACCAATACAGCTTGGAAAACAAAAATCATTTGAAAAGTGTTGTAAAACTATAAATGTGAGGAAGACAGCATGTGTGACATTGTATACAGATTATCCACTATGGCGCCATGGATCGCGCTAGCTTAGGAATTTCATAGCCTATCTACATTTTGGCACTTTTAGTTTTACCATTGGTTTTGATCATCGTAAAAGGGTAGGCCTAAACTTTGAAAAAAAAAAAAAAATACTGGTCCGAATTTTCTAGGCGGACCGGGACGATTACCAACTAATTTTTTTACTGTCACCATATTCAGATATGACAAGGCTTACATTGGGATATATAGCTAATGGAATTGGTGCTTTTGCTGGACCAGTGGTTGCTGGCAGACTCCAAAGATAAATCATTACCGAACTATAAATTTAGATAATCTTTTCTTATGCATGTAAATACATGTAGCTTTATTTAACGTCCGTTTCTACCTAAGTGATATCGCAGACAAAACCATGTTATATATACAAAATAAAATATTTACAAGGTGATTGGTGAAAAATTGAAAGGATTGGTGAAATATTTAAATATATGTACATATAACAGATGAAACATTTAATGCTGGGGTAGATTATCAGTGTGGTAATCCATTAAATTTCCCTTGCACAGAGTTTACTCTGTGTACGCTGATTAGCCAACGAAAGTTAGACAGAGATTCGAGCATGCTCTGGGGTAATCTGTCCGCGAGGGGCAATCTTCGCTCAACATAATATAAGTTTTTATTTTGATCATGTCAGATTTTGCTGTCCAATTAGAAATTAAAATTTACAAAAGCCTGCATGATCTCCATATGAGACTACTCCAACTACAGACAGTAAAGGTCTTGGCATCTGATGTCATTTGCGATGATCAAATAATGACCGCTTTACTTTCAATCCATGTCTCAGCCTCCGCATTGCTAAATTTTATTCCAGATATTTCTTATGACATAGATCTACGTTATGACAGACATCTGCGGGTCAAGGGGCCTAATAATTGAACGCCATTTTCTCAGAGAACAAATTACCCTGTTTGGAAGGATTTCCAAGGACAATCTGACAAGATTCCCTGCTTTTCTTCTCAGCAAGGAGGCAGCCATTGCAATCGATCCAAGGTCAAGGGCGGAGTGTGAAATTCTTTTCGATCTCGAATTTCCAGACCGATGACTGGATATTCGAATGTTTGAAAACTGGTTTCATAAAAAAATGTAATCTAGCATTATTAACGAATACGTATTATATTGCCAAATATGGTAAATTATATCATGTTTATGTTATTTCATCTGTGTAAAACTATACATCTTCATATTTATTTACTTTTAATTGAAATAATGTTAACTGAAGTAAAAATTAAAGAATGTTTTTTTTTTCTTTTTATTTCGTTTCTTTTGTGGGCTAAATATCTAATTTGATAACCTCCTAACGACTGTTTGTAAACAACATGGCTGTCAAATTTATTTTCAGTGACTAGGAGGCCTAGATTTTTTTGTTTTGTTTTAACTTAATTATTTAAATGGTACAAAATAAATGCACATTTCTAAAATCAAAGGTATTTTCTTTGTGACAATATTTAATAATATGTAACAGGCATTGCCCGAGTAGGCTAGAGCGAAGCTGATGTGAATGTTGTTAAATATAAAACCTTCATATATAAAGTTTCTCAACTCAAGTGATACAAATAATGTTAGATAATTTCGTTTTTCCGAATTGATTTTAATTTAGATCTAAATTGAATGATTAATTGTTTTAAAAAAAAAAAGAACAAAAAAGTGTGAGAATTATTTTCATCGAGTCATACTCATTGACGTCAAAAATATGTGACGTCAATCATTGATTAGATGCGTCATAGGAATATTTCCATGAGACGCGTAATCACTATCAGTAATCTCGCTTGGGCGAGATTTGGTAAGTTGACATGTGCATTGCCAGTTTTGCCCAGTGTATCCGGTTACGGTCTGAATTTTTTTTTAATCAACAGTCTGTCGGTAACAGTTTTAGTTACGCTCCTGTGTTACCAGAAAAGAGCATTGCTCAAGCACCGCGCTTTGTGCGATGATTTAGAGCTTCGCTCTATATTAAAGATGGGAGATTAGATAATGAGCTGGCAGTTCTCACTATAATAGTTAAAAACTAGATAATGTATTTTGTAAAGGGAATTTGCTGAAAATTTCAGTCAAATTGATCCACTCTGAACCAAGATTTTAGCGATTGAATTTTTGGCCTAGCCTCGATCATCATTCCTAAAGTCGGTACGATAACAACCATAGTCTCAATTATTCACTTCATGATTAAATCATGAATGGAAGTCGAGCAGCAAATCGGAACCTAATCCAATAAACATCGCAGGCTACCGATGACATAGAGAGTTGATTATGTTCTGGATACGTTAATTAATGTCTAATTAATAATTTAGATAACATTTCAGGCCTAGACCTTTTTGATGTGGGTCAAAACTAGTATTGCCAATATTAGTATTACTGTATTATGTATTGATATATTTTGTGGGATGACAATCAGTCTAAAGAATTATGCCTAATCTTAAAGTAGCTAAGTCTCCAACTCAGTATCATCCGAAGTCTTTGACATTGAAAACACAAATTATTTGTCAATTTAAATCAACATTGATGTTGTGATCTTACCGGATATGGGGTTCTGATATCCAATATTTAAGACAATATAAACATTTTACCATTGGTACATGCGTTTTAGCGCCAATTGTAACAAGGGACTCGAAGAACGAGGCTAGACATATTCCACAAGTCATGTCAATCGGTGACCTATATTCTTTTCTGGAGAGCATGCGCATTAAATACTAGATTGGAATAACCAGTTACCAGACACGAGTGCGTTGGATAAGAAGTCAGAAGGTCTGTCATTGAGTCAAGTGGTGTGGTTTTGATTCCCCGCTTGTACATGGCAAGGAGTTGGGTTGCCTGTCCAACCTTGTGGGTTTTCTCCGGGTTCTCTAGTTTCAGTTTCCTCCCACTGCTAAAGACCTCTATGTGCAAGCAAATTATTGAAATAAACTTGAACCATATGTTAGTCCCAAAATGACCTAGTTTGTGTTGAGTGGAGTTAAACTCTCTCTCTCTTTCTCTCTCTCTCTCTCTCTCTCTCTCTCTCTCTCTCTCTGTTTCATGTGAAATTTAAATTATATATGAGTATTGGATTGATTACCAATTAATTTTATTAAAAAAAAAAGAAGAAACAATAACTTGATAATATGTTAAGGGATACAACATTAAGATATTTTAACATTTTCGTTAAGATTTCAACTGTCTGTCCTACAATTACTATTTCCCATAAAAATTTCAGTAGTATTTCTCCCATCACAGACTGCAGGGCCTGGAGGGAGAATAACAAAGAGAATTAGTCTTAGCTTTCCTTTAAATCTCTACAGATCTAGTGTTACAAGCTTATCTAAAAAGTAGAAGTGTCAGTAGAAGAGATCCATATTTATGATAACAACATGATGTACTGCATAGATTAGATATTTTTTTAAAAATAATTTAATTATTCCTTTCTTCTCAGATTCAAAATGCCAACTATTTCAAATTTGAAAGATACAACCAGACAAGAATCAATTCCTTCAACAGCGAAGTTAATAGAGACAGTAAAATATTTGCAAGAAAAATTGGAGCAAAGTCAAGATGAAACTCACGAAGTCTCAAATCAATTATCCTGTCTCATTTCTTTAGTTAAACGGTAAAAGGAAATTTGTAGCAAATGTTGTACTTAAAGATACATTATGGGAGATTAGATAAAGAGCTGGCAGTTCTCACTATAATAGTATAATAGTTAAAAACTAGATAATGTAAAAGGAATTTACTGAAAATTTCAGTCAAATTGATCCACTCTGAACCAAGATTTTAGCGATTGAATTTTTGGCCTGGCCTCGATCATCATTACTAAATTCAGTACGATAAAAAACATAGTCTCGATTATCCATTTCATGATTAAATCATGACTGAAAGTTGAGCAGCAAATGGGATCCTAATCCAGTAAATATCGCAGGCTAGCTCCGAGAGCTGATTATGGTCTGGATATGTTAATTAATGTCTAATTAATAATTTAGATAACATTTCAGACCTAAAGAAAGACCTGCAATAGGCAGATTTAACTCTTGCATAATGTATGTTTAAAAAACAAGAAAAAAGACACAATTAAATCCATTCACCTGTCAGAAGTCTCAAACCTAGACAATGGTTTTCTTAAACGCAAATTCAAGTACCATAGATAGCTGTTAAGTTTCAATTAATATCTAGATATTGAATGGGGAATGAATTGAGCACTGACCCTGTAATCATGGACCTTGTATTATATTATAAGGTACATGCTGTAATTAATCAGAAAAACTTAAATATGAAATGTGCTGTCATTTGATTTTACAGATCATGGATGGGGGACAGAGTAGCATCCTACCATGTGGCAAACATTATTGGTAATGAACAATTTTCTCTCCTTACCTTTTTATACGCCCACATTTTCATGTGGACGTATATTGTCGTCGCCCCTGTCCGTCCGTCCGTCCGTTCACAATTGTTTGTGAACAGTCTACAGGTCACAATTTTTATCCAATTTCAATGAAACTTGAAATATAGGTTTATCACCCTAAGATCTCGGTTCCTTTGATATTGGCATGTATCGGACTGTAACTTCATGGATTATGGCCCCTGATTGTACGAAAAATCACGTTTTTAGCTTGTGAACACTGTAGAGGTCACAATTTGTATCCGATTTGGTTTAAACTTGAAATGTATGCTTACAACCCAAAGATCTTGGTTCCTTTTGATATTCACGCATATCAGAACGTAACTTCCTGAATTATGGCCCCTGATTGTACGAAAAATCGCGTTTTTAGCTTGTGGACCCTATAGAGGTCATAATTTTTATCCGATTTAAAAAACGATTATTATATCACCGTTAAACCATAAGGACGGCTGAGTTCGAATTTCGTGAAAATCGGCCCAAAACTGACAGACAAAATGGCCGCCGTTCGTTCTCAAATAGCATAAAAATATGGTATATCAAGGTTGTGGACCCTATAGAGTTCACAATTTGTATCCGATTTGGTTTAAACTTGAAATGTATGCTTACAACCCAAAGATCTTGGTTCCTTTTGATATTCACGCATATCAGAACGTAACTTCCTGAATTATGGCCCCTGATTGTACGAAAAATCACGTTTTTAGCTTGTGGACCCTATAGAGGTCATAATTTTTATCCGATTTAAAAAACGATTATTATATCACCGTTAAACCATAAGGACGGCTGAGTTCGAATTTCGTGAAAATCGGCCCAAAACTGACAGACAAAATGGCCGCCGTTCGTTCTCAAATAGCATAAAAATATGGTATATCAAGGTTGTGGACCCTATAGAGTTCACAATTTTTATCCGATTTTGTTGAAACTTGAAATGTAAGTTTATAACCCAAAGATTTCGGTTCCTTTCGATATTCGCGCATATCGGACCGTAACTTCCTGAATTATGGCCCCTGATTGTACAAAAAATCGCGATTTTAGCTTGTTCTCTATCCATCTCTCGAAAATGTGGGCGTATCCTGCCTGGCAGCCGCTGGTTCACATTGATATGATTTATAAGACTGTGATGAAACCTAAGTAAACTCACGTGATTTTAAAACTTATTTGAAAGCCATTCTACCATTGGAAAAATTGGAGCAAAGGTAATAGCTTTGCTAATTATGGATAGTTTAATTAGTGTCAATTTATCAGTTCAATTAGCTTGATTTGTTTTTTTAAGCAATTAAACTCAATGATGTCACTTGATTCATTGACATAATGACTGACAGTATTTTAAATAATCCTTGAATTATAATTGCAGGCATACCTGTTCCAGATGAAGTTGGAAAAATTAATTTACCATTTGTAGATTCTAAGGTAGGTTTACTTGTTATTGATTGCAAAATGTGAATATGAGCAGTATTCATTAGTTTAGTAATAGACTGAGTGAGATTGTTTGATTGTTCAATTAATTCCAGTGGCCATGAAAAAAAAATCGGTTTTGATGTCCTACTTTTCTGTTCAGACTAGGCGAACGAAGATGGATGTATGCCATACAGTGTGCTATGAGGGAAATTTATTCCAGACAGTGGTACTACGCCCTACTCATATATTGAATTCCAACTGTCAAGGGTTCTGTTATGTGCACGCCAATGTGTACATAGGGCCTCAATTTTATATACTATCCTATCTGTGCCTGAAAATCCTGAGAATTTTTTTGGTTGGCCAACCCCTGAAGCAAACCAGCCAGTGGCGTGAGCAAAATTGATGCTTGAAGCATAACTTAACAAGCCCCCACAAATCCCTCCATTTGCTAATTTATCATTTGAAAAGATTTCTTTAAGCCTTATATTGTAATATTTTACATTTGTATACAATTTGTGATTCAGGATGTCAATCAAAAAAACTTGACACCATCTAAGTTCAAGTTTCCAAATGAATTTGAATTGTTATAACTGTACCAAATATATATAGTTTTGACTTAGTATTATAGTGAAATAATTAAAGTGGGATTATGGGAGATTAGATAAAGAATTGACAGTTCTCGCTATAATAGTTAAAAAATAGATAACGTAAATAGAATATGCTGAAATTTTCAGTTAACATTCTGAACCAAAGTATCAGCCATTGAATTTATCGGTACGATAAAAAACAAAGTCTCAATTATCCATTTTTACGTTTACCGTAATTATTTTTCAAACCAGGTGGCAGTGGCTGCCAGGCAATATATGGCTACATATTGCAAGAGTAATCTTTGAGAGGCATTTAGTAACCTGATAGAACTATAAACTATAACACATACTTATGCAAAAACAGCTACTTATTTATTTGGGCGACGTTTTGAAGAGTATTCTCTTAACGCTATCCAAGAGATGGATAGAGAACAAGCTAAAAAAAAATGTCATTTTTCATACAATCAAGGGCCATAATCCAGGAAGTTATGGTCTGAAATGCGTGAAATATTGAAAGGCACTGAGATGTTTGGGATATAAATATATATTTTATGTTTCATCAAAATCGGACAAAAATTGTGACATCTAGAGGGTCCACAGCCTTCGTATTACATACTTTTACACAATTTGCATACAAGAAGCGACCATTTTGTCGGGCAGTTTCGTTTCGATTTTCCCGAAATTCTAACTCAACCTTCCCTATGGTCCAACGGATATATAATTAAACAATTTTTAAAATCGTATAAAATTGTGACCTCTAGAGGATCCACAATCTAAAAATGTGATTTTTTGAACAAATAGGGGCCATAATCCAGGAAGTTATGGCCTGATATGTGCAAATATCCAAAGGAACTGCGATCTTTGGGATATAAAGATATCTTTATCAAAATCGGACAAAAAATTGTGACCTCTTTAGCGGGTCCACAACCTTGGTATTACATACTTTTACACTATTTGCATTCAAGGAGCGGCCATTTTCTCGGGCAATTTCGGTCCAATTTTTACGAAATTCAAACTCAATCATCATCAGGGTGTAAGGATGATATATTCAATCGATTTTTAAAATCAGATAATAATTGTGACCTCTAGAGGGTCCACAACCCAAAATCTGTGATTTTTTTGTACAATCCGAAGCCATAATCCAGGAAGTTATGGTCTGATATATGGAAATATCCAAAGGACCTACGATCTTTGGGATATATGTTTGCTTGTACGGCAGTTTCGGTTCGATTTTCACGAAATTAGAACTCAACCACCATTATGGTGCAACGGTTTTTTAAATTGGATAAAAATTGTTACCTCTAGAGGGACCATACGCTAAAAATGTGAATTTTCGTATAATCAGGGGTCATAATTCAGGAAATTACAATCTTTGGGTTATAAACATACATTTGATCAAAATCGGATAAAAATTGTGACCTCTAGAGTGTTCACAAGCTATAAACATGATTTTTCGTACAATCAGGGGCCGTAATCCATGAAGCTATGGTCCGATATATGCCAATATCGAAAGGAACCAAGATCTCTGGGAGATATACCTATATTTCAAGTTTCGTCAAAATTGGATAAAAACTTGTGACCTGTAGACTGTCCACAAACAAATTGTGGACAGACGGACAAGAGTGATGACAATATACGTCCACATGAAAATGTGGGCGTATAAAAATGTATTACAATCCGCTAAATATCAGAGGCTAGCGATGGCATCGAGAGTTGATTATGGTCTGGATAAGTTAATTGATGTCTAATTAATAATTGAGATAACATTTCAGGCCTAAAGAAAGACCTGCAATAGGCAGATATATGTTTAATATGATATATTTTATTTTCAGGCAAAAGCCATTATGAATTGGGAGAGATTTACATTACGTTTATTAGATAATGAATATAAAACTGTAAAAGATGAAATAAAAGAACGACAACAGCATTATATAAATTATCGAGAATTATACATGGATCACATATTAAACACACATCAGGAAGAAATGTCTCACTTAGCACTACACAAAGACGTTGACAGAAAATTTGTTAAGCAGTATAAGGTTTGTAATAAAAATTATAGTTAAAAATGAGTTTATTATAAACAATAGTAGAACACCATTTATTCTTGTTAGTTGGACAATATGCCAAAATATTTGGATGACTATCTACCCACTCTTCATTCTTTTTTTTCTTTTTTTTATAACAATAATCCCTTGATTTTTAATAGCTTATATATTGTATATTTATAAAATATTTGCTTTACTTTTCAAGTTTTACATACATATAAACAGTGCGACTTTGGGTTGTATATATCATTGATTTTTGGGAACTTTTTTAAAATTAGGTATTGAAAATGACTGAGTGCCACCCCATGGCCATCTAATGATATTAGGAGTGTTTAAACAAAGACCAAAATATTGATAGAGTTATAGAACTTGAAAAAGCAAATTTGGAGACTGTGTGATTGATGACAAATTTATCTTCATGGTTTAAATCAAAGTATTAATTATTAAAGATACATTCCCGCGTACAAACTGGGTGATTTAATGGTATATATGGACTAAAAACATATTCAAACTAATTAATTTGTCATAATTTTGCTTCAAATCCTTCTCAAACATTGTAATTGCAAAGGAATGCCCTGCTATAAAAATTCGATCAAACCAGGTCATGTTTACATCACGTGACTTACCTCTCTTGGAAGTCAGAGGAGAATTCTTTGCATACATAAGACGATGTTGTCTTTAATCGCTTACTATTTATTACAAATATTGAATCCTAATTAAATTCTCGGATTATCCACTACCCGTGTCTTTTTCCGTCATTTTTATCTCAGAAAGTGTCGTACGTCTAACTCTTCATAAACTTGTACATCTAGCGCTCAATGTTTGCGTGTGACCTTTGACATCACGCTTGCAGAAATTCCTAATTGTCGTGCTGTCGATTAGGGGAACCCTTACATTTTTCTCCTGTATACGCTCCATGAGTGTTTTTCAGGGAATCCAGTATTTTTCTAGTAAGATTGGATATCTCTACTTTCCATATATACCAAAATTGCCATACTTTTATTGGAAATAACCACCCGATAAATACTTTTCTGGGAACCCATCTTTAATGATAATGATGTTTATTCTTCTAAAAGAGAAGAAGAGAAAGTACAAGGATCACAGTCATCACAACCACGTGCTATTCTATTAATGTCATCTTTTTTTTTTCTTGGTTAATCTACTAGCTATGATTCAGTGTACTTTCCTTGGTGTATTAGTATGGATTTTGTGCTATACATGTATTACCTTACACTACAGTAACACAATGCCAATTAGAGAGTTATGGTCTCTTATATAAATTCTGCAAATGTGTCTCAAGTATTTTAAGCTTATGTAATTGCAATGGTATTTACGTATCTGCTTTAATGTTATTTCAGACTGGAAGTCGGCTACCCAGTGGTAAAAATAAAAGGAAATGTCCATCTGCAACTAAAAGACCAGGAAAAATAGCTGAGGAAATTGTGGACAAAGTAGATATAGGACTACATAATTTACTTTTAAACCCAGATACTAATGGCCGATCTAATCATAGTAACGGTAGTTCTAATGTATGTATAAAAATCTTCAATATTTGCCTTTTGCCTTACTTTCGATTTTGAATTTTATTATCAAGTTTTAAATTAAAAGTTATATTTGAATGGATATGTTAAGAGTTGTAAAAGTAATGTTGACTACACTTCTGTCTATATCCAAATATTTTTATAAAGTAACTATGTGTACACTTATGACATACATTTCTTTAAGGGGTATTTTTGACTTGTAACAATAAATTTGATAATCTCTTTTTCAATATATTTCAGACAATATATAAAAATGGAACGTGCTTAAATTCACAAACCAATGGAACATATGATGATTCTAGCAGATACACAAAGGTAAGACTTCAGATTGCATGTATAAAGATTTGTCTAATTAGTTGCTGAGATCTAAATTTGATATGAAGAAACAAAAAGGTAATCCAACAATTTCAATGATAAACGTATGGGAAAAGTAAAAACAATTACACAGTTCAATATGTTCTTGATAATTACTAACAATTAAATCTCAATATTACTCTTCAAAAAAATTAGGGGATATTCAGAAACAATACAAAACTGCGGAAATGCACTGCTGTTTTTATTAGAGGTAACCAGTGTATGTTAATAACAGGCCAATTGCCTACACATGAACATAAACGGTTCATATGGGCAGCTTATCTGACGGCCCCATTTCACTCAAAAACAGATACACTGTCAAAAGTGAAAATGGACGTTTTTGATTTTTGTCTTAATAACGAGTAATTGCTCCACCAATCCTCAGACATTCAGCAATTCGTCCGTTAACGTCGACGAACACGTCTCCCGATCAAATTAAATGTAACACACTAAAGCAAAGATACGCTAAACAGTAAATCTTATGCAAGAACCGACAGGAAAGCAAACATGGATAGGATAAACCAGCAAGCAGCAGTTTTCATCAACCCTTCCTTGAAGTGTCATATTTGACAATGAACCCCTCCCACGTGTTGGAGCAATAAGTTCTTCATCTGTGAACATACTCTCAAAGAATGTCAAGTGTCCATGACTATTTATCATATCACAACCTGCATAGGTATTTGCATTTCAATATCCCCTACTTTTTTTGAAGAGTATATTTAAGATTATTATAAATTCCCTAAAAAATATTTCATATCCAAAAAAATAATAATATGTGACTGGTTTGCATTCTGCACACAGATCTATCTCTTCATCACTTTGAGAATAGATCTCTGCCCTAAATGGCCACCATATCCAAAATTTAGTACGGTACACTGTTTTCTAATGGTGTTCTATTCCATTTCACATCTGTCATCACAACATTCTGATTAAAACACAGATCCTATTTCGTTTCGTTTTTTATAGTTCAAAATTTCGTTTTACTTGTCTTCACAACATGTAGTGTAGGCCATCGAAAGTATAAAAAAACGAAACGTAATATAGATCTGTATTTTAATCAGATTGTCATCACACAAAGACTAAATAAACTTTTCAATGGAAGCAGAATAAATACTTAACAAAATTCTCGAAGTATACTTAGTGTTTTCAACTAAAATCGTTGATGTAGTAATATGACTTAAAATGTCGTTCAACTAGCTTAGTGTCTGTTCTCAAGAGGAGCTAACTGTAGACAGGTAACCTAAGTTTAGTCATGTTTCTGAAGCAACAACTGCAAGTTTTACAACATCTAACTTGATAAGATGTACGTAGTTAAGGCGAAGATGAAGTTTAGTATGACCGGCTTGGTCACTAATATTTTAGAGTTATTTCCCTTAATTGCTACATTTCTGGAAATATTGTAATTTTTACCCTGTGGTGTTTGCATTCTCTCCACTTTTTGTGGACAATTTGTTTGTGATTATAATCAGTTGTTTATTACTGTAACTCATTCAACTAGATTATCGCTGGAAACCCTGAACTTGTTTACTACAATTTTAGCTTTCAGTAAAACTTATTATGATAAAATCAGTAATTGACTAAAGATGTTAATAGTCCACATATAATGTTTAGCAGACTGAGAATATTATGGTATTCAGCATATTGCATAAATTATATGCCTTTAATTACCCAGGGGGATTGGATGGCCGGTTGGTTAGCATGTGCGGCTGTATCAATAAGGTCTGTCATTGAGTGAATTGGCGTGGTTCCCGGTTGTACGTGGGTTTGCTCTGGGTCCTCCGGTTTCCTCCCACTGCTAAAGACCCCTACGCACAAGCAAATTATTGAAATAAAATTGAACCATGGATAAGATTTAACAATTTGGGACCAGTTCAGCTTGAAAATATCCAAGTATTTTATGCTTTTATTTTTAGGCTAATTTATTTAATACAGAAGATGTTTTGGGTAAAGCAGCATTCTTTAAGAAAAAACGTCCAGTTAGTGCCACATTACTGAGAGAAAGGGATAATCTACGATCTAGACCTAGAAGTGCTACAACTGGTAAAGATATTATAATGTGAATAACTCACAATTTGTTAGGGATCAGTACGAAATAAGGGAGAGAATTCATGACTGTAAGTTTACAAGATTAAGTCCCACCATGGTTGGTTGGGAGAACATCAACGAGTTTGCAAGAGAAAGTGAGTCATGTACAGTACAATATGATTGGGGAGATTTTTCTTATTGTTAAAAAAGCCCAAAGTATCTAATTTATTTTTACAACTTACAGGATTTCCTCCGCACACGACAGAGAGACCATTGAAATATGAAACAACTAAACCTGTTTCGGCAGGTAAAAAAAAATCAGAAAATGACAGATGTGGATCATTAGAACATGGAAGTTCAAGGGGTATAGATAACAGTAGAGAAGCAGTATTAATAGAACAGACAAAAGCTAAGGCAGAATTACAGTTCAGAATCAAATCAGCAACCAAACGACCATCCAGCATTGACAAGTTTGTAGAGGATATGAAAAATATGACAGAAATGGAGACAAAATATAAACAATCTACCGTCAGCTTACAAAAAAAATTAGGACTTGAAAACAAAGGCATGATATATTAAAATAAATTTTTATTGTATGTTGTGATGTTTTTTTACATAATGTGTGTATTTTTGAGTTGCTTAAGCATATTGATTCTATCTAATGGTATAGGATTAATGTTTATATTGTGATTCCGATATAACGATATTATTCAGGATGATATTCCATCTTATTTGTTGTATTGTTTATTAAGTCAAAAATATATTTTTATTATTGTATTTTACATAAACATCAAAGAAAAAAACTACAGCATTACTCTAGTCCATTTTGATATAAATTATTACATTAGTTTTTCCATGGACCTTATAATACAGGGTCCATGGTTTTTCAAATTCTATTTGTTGAACTATTTGCAACAAGCAAAAAAAAAAAACCAAAAAAACCCCAGACAACATGAAACAAATTTGAATTAACTACATGGGTCCTTTTTTTCTATTACCGGTATTCAAACAACTTTAACCCTCTTCATAAATCATTGTTTGCTGCACACAAATCATATAATATGATATTGTATAAAATTCATTATATTTATTTTCTCGTTACACTTCATAATGTCTCTTAATTTTTATTTGCAAGAGGTTTTATTAAAGGGCACACATCAAAAAAACCAAACTATTTCAATCAACTTATGGTTGAATTTAAGATGAAGTAAATCTAGTCCACTACACACTTTTCATATTATGATTTAAAGATACATTAGTTAAGGGTTTGATGAAGAGTTGGTCATTCTTGCTATAATAATTCAAAAATAGATGATGAAAAAAGAAAATATTGAAAATTTCATTCAAATTACTTCATTCTCAGCCAAGTTAACATTGTTTGTAGTTTTGACAAGATGTGTGCACAGTGGTAACCAGGGCACTGGTATAATCGGGACTTAGGGTCGCTTTCCCATTTTTAAATTAAACTTTAAAATGGCGAACTGTTTTAATCTAGTTAAAATCTTGAGTATCCGATGCCATCGAAAGTCGATTATAGTCTTGTTCTGTTAATAAATGTCAAATTAATAGTTTATATAACATTTCGGGCCTAAAGAAAGACATACAATGGGTAGATTTACCTCTTGCATAGTGTATGTTTAACTAAGATTATTCACCTGGGAGTAGATAACCAAATATCCTGTTTATACATCCCCATTCCCCAAAAGATACTAAAATGTGTATATTTTACAATAAAAGTCGTTCTGTAATCTTGTGGTACAGCATGGTAAATACTTCCCCAAATTTCATGTAGATGGTGTTCTTGTAGTTTTAATAGTGTCATTGGTTGTGAATTTGTTGGTTATTCTTGTCTAACCCACATAAGTATCTCTCATATTTTAAGTATGATACCCATTATAACTTGTATTTATGTAGAAGCTGATTATCATTGAATCCCTCTGATCATTCAATTTCGTTGATGTTAAAGAATAATGTTATTTTGAATCATTCCATCCAGTAGCCTACTGTATATGTAATAGACCATTTTACCAAAATCTTATATTTATAAAAACTTTAATAAATTGAATGTCTATAAGTATAAGGAAAGTTTTTTTTGTTTTTTTGTCTTTGACAGACATGACAGAATAAATGCTAAATGCACCCAGTCCTTGACAACTTTCTGGTATATTATGATGGTACTCTTTAGACTGCATTTGAAAAGTTCTGTGCTTGTCATCATGAAGTATACCTCATTTTAATTATAAAGAACTATTGCAATAATGGGGAACACATGTTACAGGATGTACAGTAGAGTGGATGTTCATAAACATGATATCCACATACATGTAGTTATTTGAAATTGCTACACAATAACCATTAAATTATATTGATTTTATGTTATTCTTTGTAAACAATACACCATACCATGATACACTAAATATTATATTAAAACATAAAATTAACAAATATATATTGATAACAAATTTCATTACCTGAATTTTATAGATAATTGAAATAGATAATGATATTTTATGATTAGTAAGGGAACTGGTTTATTTTTTAATGTATAATATTCATTTTCCACTTCCACTCTCATATAAATGCCCACATTATTACCCCTCATTCTCATTTACATCATTATTGATTTTTGTGAGGAAAATCATGTGATGCATTTAATTATGTAAAAAAAAAAAAAAAAAATGCTGATGACCTCTTCAAGTACTTTTCACAGAATAACTTTAGATAATCACTCAAATCATGATCCAGTGGATTACAGTCTATAAAATGTTGCTACATTCTAATAATATAAAACAATCACAGAGATGGATGTTTTTAAAACCTGTTTTCCAGTGTCACATTCTCTTTAACATAATACTTCAGAAGAAAACAATCAGAGCAGTATCAGTCACTGTGGAAATCAAGTGTATAAAATTTGATTAAGCCAGGCCATTAAACACTGTAATCCCTATAGTGATGGGGAATGAAGTCATTGAATTTTAACCAACAGATTACTGCGGTATAAGAAAAGGAGTATCTATTCCTGAAAATCCCGCACAAACACCGCCTTCATTTGTATCAGCAGTTTTAGTCCGTAATAAATGGCCACAATTTTCATTATAAATTTCTTCATTCTTATTCCTAAAAATACACATATAAAAAATATTAAATAATAAAGTAGCTCAAGTTATTATAAAATTAAAAAATATTAAGCAGAAAATCCCATATTTCAGAGGTGGCCATTTTGAATCAGATTGTGTGTGTCTTGCTCGTATTTAAAGGACAATATTGGTGTCAGTCATTATCACACATGTGATAGAACTGGTTAAACACGTTCCAAATATAATTTTAACACAGAGATCATTGCTACGATACATGCATTATGAAGATTTTAAGAAAGGGAAGTAACGAACACAAAACGAAAACACAAGTTGTCCTTCTATATAACTGACTGAATTGACAAGTGATAACAGATACATAGGAGAATTTCTGATCACTAATAATTCCTTCGAAGACCAAAAGTTGTTATGTGAGACTGTGAGAGGATATCTGATAATTCAAAAGAGTAGTTGAATGTCACTAGATAAGGGAAAACGAGAAAAATAGAAATAGTCTGTACATTCCCTTGTTTTTGTTCATTCTATGCTTAATAAAAACATGTTAATGCACAGACTTTTTCTATTTTTCTTGTTTTCTCTTATCTAGTGACATTCAATTTATTTTTGAATTGTCAGATAAAGACTGACACAAACATTGTCCTTAAAAAGAGGACATCAGTTTTTTTAAAAAACTACATAAATGCCAATTTTCATACTTTAGTCAACCAGCGGCTGCCAGGCAGGATATGCCCACATTTTGCAAGAGATGGATAGAGAACAAGCTAAAAACAAAAAAGATTATCTGTACAATCAGGCACCATAATCCAGGAAGTTATGGCCTGAAATGCGCAAATATCAAAAGGGACCAAGATTTTTGGATATAAAAATATGTTTAAAGTTTCATCCAAATCGGATAAAAACTGTGGCCTCTAGAGGGTCCACAACCTTGATATACCATGTTTTTACACTATTTGCGTACAAGGAGCAGCCATTATGTCCATCAGTTTTTGTCCGATTTTCACGAAATTAAAACTCAACCATCATTAGTGTATAACAGTGATATATTCACACGTTTTTTTTAAATTGAATAAAAATTGTGACCTCTATAGGGACCACAAGCTCAAAATGCGATTTTTCGTACAATCAAGGGCCATAATTCAGGAAGTTACGATCCGATATGTGCGAATATCAAAAGGAACCAAGATCTTTGGGTTATAAACATGCATTTCAAGTTTCCATCAAAATCAGATCAAAATTGTGACCTCTAGGAGGTCCACAACCTTGATATACCAGATGTTTACACTATTTGCGTACAAGGGGTGGCCATTTTGTACGACAGTTTTGGTCCAGTTTTCACAAAATTTGATTTCAACCATCATTAGGGTGTAACAGTGATATAATAAAACATTTTTTTAGACCGCATAAAAATTGTGACCTCTAGAAGGACCACAAGCTAAAAGCGTGATTCTTCATACAATCAGGGGCCATAATTCAGGAAGTTACAATCTGATATGCGCAAATATCGAAAGGAAGCAAGATTGTTAGGTTATAAACATGCATTTCAAGTTTCATCAAAATCGAATTAAAATTGTGACCTCTACAGGGTCCACAACCTTGATATACCATATTTTTACACTATTTGCGTACAAGGGGCGGCCATTTTGTCCGGCACATGAAAATGTGAGCGTATAAAAAGTGAATGATACTGTGAAAATATCGACTTAAGCAACCTAGCTAACATAATAATTTTATATTTCTTGTAAAACTGTTCAAGCATAGCAAATGTTCTTACCCAATATAACAACCATATATTCCCAACTCTGATATACACAAAGATTTAACAAATGGTATTCCTGCTTTAATTAAATAGTTGACTTGAGGTTTAGGTCTTACTTTCTCCATTAAAATATAACCAGCCCTTTCCTGGGATGCTCTATTTACCTCTAAAAAATTTTTCATTTCTTCATCATACATATTATATCCTACAAATCAAAATGTATATATTTTATTTTTCAATTACAAAAATCATAGTCATAGCAAAATGTGTATGTTTTATTTTTCAATTACAGAATTATCATAGCAAAAGGGATTTTCGCAGGGTAATGAGAAATGATACCAGGGGTTTACCAAGGTCTATGCACCAACCTTAAAGAATAGTATTCTAGCCAAAACGATCAAAAGAAAGGGATCTACAGATTTTATATGGACTATATTATCTATCTTACCTCCACCCTCTCTTTGTGGTTTTAAAACAAACTGATCAGGATTATTGACAGCCATGTTTAAAGCTTTATCACCTTCTTCTCCCTATTGTACATAAAAAAAAAATGAAATGCACTATAACTCATCAATGATCTCAATAAGAATACCAATAAATTATCCAGTATTATCAGGAAGGAAAGTTCTCAACAAGATTATTTATTTTAAAGACCATTTTGTACTCCTATAACAATCTTTTCAATGGAAATGACTGTGGGCACTGAAAATGTGCCAGACATTTGTTATTTATTTCTACACATTCATTAAATGTAAACTTTCAAATAATTTACTTACTATATCAAGTGAATATTGGCCAGCAAATGTAGATTGTATTAATTGTTTAATTGATATATCTGATATATATTTATCTAATATACCAGGTTTAGCTAAAACCTGTTGTATTTTCTTAGCTCCTACCAGTTGATATTGTATAGGTGGACATTTTATACACCAGGCTTTCTCTAATTCTAATCTTATAGTCCAGATCTAAAAATTGGATAAACTATAATCAAAATTTTATAACAAAAAAAGATGATATAATAATACACCACATGATAATAGAGCTCTTCGTCATTTGAATGATTATAAATCCCATGCAAACTACAATGGAAGTTGAATTTTTAAAACGAATGTTAGTTAAAATGGTTCAATTCCGTTCAAAGATATGATGAACTGAAAATTTCACAACATTTGGCATCATCTATACAGACGATGTAAACATGCCAGCCAGGAAGTAGGTGTTGGGTAAGATCTTTTGATGAGCCTCTTTTCGTTTGAGCGTAACTAAGGTGGGAGATTATATATACCATTGATAATTTGGTTTTGTTTTCAGGATTAAATGTTAAATAACCGATTTTAGTATGGATTAAACTGAAAAATTGGATAATGTTCACAAAATGCAAATGAAAATCAGCAGCTTTAAAGATATATTCGCTCAAGGTTGTCTTTGTTTATTACAATTTTAACGTCCAATACACTGCACATTATGGTATGGCATGGTTGATTTATTTTAAATTATTTACATGTGACGGAGGCATAAAGAAATGGTAATAACATAAAAAAAATTCTTGTATAATATAAAGATATCACTTTAAAATTTGCTGTCGTGAGAAGAGAGGGTGGGCCATCTTCTCCCTTTGTCAGAATAAAATCAAGTTAAAAAAGGAGGTCCAATTGATTATAGTTTAGTATCGTCAATGCAGATAGTAAAAAGTTAGTTAAGGTCACCTTAAGAAGATCTTTGTAATTTTATATTGTAAGCTCACCAAATAATTTCAGTCTATTGTTTTATTTATTGTGAGCTTACTAATCAGACTATAATTATATTGTTCAAGGTATTAACTAGGTGACCATAACCAGCTTTGAGTAAACATATATCTTTAAAGTCACAGATTGTCATTTGCAGCTCACAGGATATTTTTTTAGCAACAAATACATTTTCTCGGTAGTTTAAATATATTTTCCAATTATTTGTTATCTATTTAGTTTCACAACAGTCGAGGAAATATATTAAATACTATCTAACCTTGTCAGTATAATCTGTAGGTGCATACCCTACTCTATAATATACAACACCAACTTCTTCTTTATTTCTAATAATATAAATTTATATGGACAATCTATTTTTTTATAATAAAATTTCAGTCTGATCTGTAAGTGAGATTTGATTGATTAGATTTTGATTCTTTGCCAACATTTTTTTAAAATGAAGATGCACAACAGAAATATATGTTGACAAGCAAAAAAAACATATACCCACAATAGCTAAGTCCTTGAAGTAGTCCGTAATGAGTAAAGTGTGAATCTTAGGTAAATAACTAACTAATTCTTTATACTGTATACTATCAAAGGGAGCAAAGGCCATAACTCAAGAAGCAATAAACCAAAATTTTCAAAATCCAATAGACTTCCTTCTGTTACTAATCTGAACAATACCCGGTACAGCAGATAGGATGATAACTGTTGTTGCTAAAACGTTCACAAGTTTCTGCAATATTCAAAATGTTCTTGTGTGATTTCAATCATTACTTTTCATTTCAGAATACATGGAGATCATGACAGTATAATATTACTTTTGTAATATGTCCTATTATTACTACTACTGGGGTAAACATGAAATAAAGCATTAATAATCAGAAATATTCACATGAAGTATTTTCTGTCTTCCGCCAGTTTTCCATTTTTAACCAAATCATCAAATGTTTTTCTTATAACTTTAATATGTTTATTCTGTTTGTAGATTTCATACTCTAAGAATCTCTGATCCATAACATTTCTTTCATTATGTGATACAAGGAACAAAATAACTGCTCTGAAATAAATAAATACAATTATGTATATCAGATTCCCAAAACTCTACTTAAGTCACACACAAACACCTAATACAAATTCATTAGGTATTATCTTTCAAACAGAGACAAAAATATATAATGACTGATGATTGCAATAATCCACTTCTTTTTAAATTACCTTAGCTTTAGATCATAAGGTCTATCATTGAGTCAAGTAGCGTGGTTTCGATTCCCCCATCTTCATTAGCCCAGTCAGAGCAGAACAGTAGGACGTTAAACCCCATTTCGGTTTCAATTCGCAGCTTGTACGTGACAAGGAGTAGGGTCTTCTGGTTTATTCCCATGGCCCTTATTCTCGAAAACTTAAACTAAGATACAATCAAAATTTTAAGAAATACTGCAATTCGATTGGCTGACCAGTAAAATCAATTTGCATATATCCAATTTGCATATTGGTCAGCCAATCGAATTGCAGTATTTCTTAAAATTTTGATTGTATCTTAGTTTAAGTTTTCCTGAATAAATGCCCAGAGCTTAAGACCCCTATGTGCAAGCAAACTATTGCAATAAAATTGAATTGTATGTTGGTCCCGAAATGACCAAGTTTGCATCATTTATCTCTCTCACCTCATTTCAAGAAAAGGAAATGGTCTATATTTACTTTTTGAAAAATCAATTTTAAATCATTTATTTTAAACCTATATATTTAAAGATAATAAGAAGAGATATGGCTTACTGTTTATTCTGATAGAGCTCCCACGCCTTTATCAGTCCTGTAACTAAACCTTCTACGGGTCTATTATAAGGCATCTAGTAACCAAAATAAAATTAATTAACAATGTTAAAGTCCCTGTATCAAATTTATTTATCTCTCTTGAAAGTTACTTTTAATGTTTCTTTAGACTTATACAAAATGGATTGACAAATTGTATCAATAATGTAAATATACATGCAGGTCTATATGCCAGGTTATATTTGCCAGTCTTGACATATTGGCAATAAAAGTGGCCTGCCAATCAATAAAATTAGAATGTCAAAGAAGATTACTATAAAACAAAATTAAAGATACATTTCAACAAAAGTATTTATCAGGTGGTTATTTTCACTAAAAGCATGGCAATTTTTGTATATATGGAAAGTAGAGACTCCCAATCTTACTAGAAAAATACTGGATTCCCTAAAAAAAACATAGATGGAACGCACACAGGACAAAAATGTAAGGCTGTCACTTATCGGCAGTCTGACGTTTAGGGCTGTCTGCTCGAGTGACATCAAAGGTTGCATGCGTAGATTGTCTGACCTCTTTTCATTAGGGAGTGCTTAATGTATATGTTGATAAACATGATTGTCAGTGGACAGATTCTGATGGCAGGGATCACATAATTTACTTAAACATGCATTATGCAAGAGGTAAATCTGCTTATTTCAGGTCTTTCTTCATTTAAACGTCTTCTGATGATTAAAGGCAAAAATGGATAGTCAAGACTTTGTTAATTATCTTGACAGCGGTAACAATGACAATCGATTTTAAAATAAGGTTTTCTTGGCTTAGAGTGAAGCAATTTAACTGACATTTTCAGCATATTCCCTTTACATCATCTAGTTGTTAATTATTATAGTGAGAACTGTCAACTCTTTACCTAGTTTTTCATAATGTATCTTTAAAAGCTTCAATATTTATGGTAAATGGGCACTGATTAAAGACAACGTCGTCTTTTATATGCAATGAATTCTCCTTCGGTTTGGCAGTGACATAAACATGGCTTCTTTAAATATAATTTTTATAGCTTGAGGTATTTTTTTGAGTTATACAATGTTTTGAGAGGGATTTGGGGCAAATTTTTGATAAATAAATTAGTTTGAATATGTTTTTAGTCCAAATATATCATCAAATCACCCAGTTTGTACATGGGAAAGCATCTTTAATAATAGTCAAATTTATAGCTTTTGTATGTAAAAAAAATTAAAATAAATATAGAAGAGTTGGGACAATGCTACAAATTGTCATTCTTAAGAAAATAATATCTTGTTAATGAATTTAGAAGAAGCCACCCATTCGTAATTTAAGAAAAAAGGATACAATAGATTGCATTCATATCAATACCCATTTGCCTGACCTCCAACCCACCCCCATCCAACCTTCAGGTCATATTAATTTTTGATACATTATTTTCTTGTTTACAGTACATAATATAAGTGAAGTTTTTAAGACAATGACATTAAAGGGAAACTCGAGTTTAGGTGGATACAATCTGTGATGATTAATATAATACTGTTATCTATATAAACCTGTTTTTCTGTGTTCTTTTCTCCAGCAAAATCCACAATATACCTGCAATTAAAAATATATCCCTATAAATCAGACACTACCAAATCATATCTTGTAAATATTTTCTGTTGTATCAAACATTTTTTTGCATAGATTTATAAGATGACAAAAAACGAGCCCTGATTCTAACGGCATGACTGGATTAAATGCAGGAAAAAATTGAGCTTACCTATGTAAAAAATATTGCTGGGATACTAAACCTCCAAAACTTGATGCAATAGAATTGAATTCTATTTGTTTTATTTGAAAAGTAGTTTCATTGCCCGGTGAATCTTTCTTCTCATCTAACATAAAATCATTCCGAAACAGACCGAGACTGACAGGCTGAAAAACAGGAATAAGGAATACCATTTTTATTATTAACAAATACATGTGAATGACCAGATTAGTGCAAAACACTTGTCATTACCTACAACTAAATGGAGTAATAGTTTTGAACATTTCTTTAAAACTCCAAAGTTTCACTTTGAAAATTTTTTGTCAAAGGAATCAGAATTAAAGGTTCCCTCACAGTCACAGATATCAGACATTCTGGCATAACAATGTGATTAAAGTGATTTGATATTCTAAAAAAATACAAATAGCCAAATAAGAGAAAAAATACACACACCTGAACCTTGTTATCATCCTTAATTTGTAGATAGATCTGCCATAATTTATTAGAAAACTCATCAGTTTCTATAACACTGAAAAACATAGTAAAATGATTCATTAAATTTAACCATGACCAAGCTCATGAAGAGAAATGGAAATCATTACTGCACTAGTATACATGTACATTTCTTGGTGCCTACTTTTTAAATGATGAAATTTTAATGATGTTCCCACTTTTCTGTCACAAATGAGGTAATGCAGACGGACATGCACTACATGTATGTATATATATATACATATCTACACACAGTGTGCAGGTCAGGCAACAACAGTGTTCAGTCGTTCGGATGGTTGCAAAAATCAAGGCCCCATGTCCATGTTGGTGTGCACTCTTCAATTAACCCGGTTGGTATAGAAAATTAATAGAACCAAATGAAAAGTTGAATAGTCTTACTGTTTAAATGATTCTTGTAATAATTGATGATCCATAGCAACATGATGCATCAGACGACTGAAATATACCATAGATTTGGTAGCTTGTTGTAGATTAGATTCAGGTATTGTTGTTGGAAACAAAGTAAATGGTGCATGTACAACTTTATCTTGATCTTCTGATAAATTACTCGGTCTCATTGATATACCTGTAATAAACATTTCTCGCTTACAAATCTATCCTTTGTCAAGCAAAAAGTTGGATTGAACTCATGACTTTGCATAAATGACAGTCCATGTGTTAGATGTCTCAGCCACTCTAACAATGAGATAAACTACCAAGCATAGATTCTCTGGGGATGCCAAACACTGTTATCGCATGTAAAGTTAAACAAACAAAATTTACCATGTGCCAATGCCCAGTCTATAGCTCTTAATCTGATATCTTCAAGCTCTTCCTCAGAAAAGTCTCTACTCAAACAGGATTCCATCTTTAACTTCTACTGAAATATCTAAATATGGAACAAAATAATAAAATGAAAAAAAAACCATAATTTGTAAAGCTAATTATGTTAACATTGTTGTAATATAAAAAAATTATGTTTTGGGTGTTTGATTCATTTTTAAAAAGTTATCTTAGCTTTGAGTTGAAATCAGTTTTATACACCAAAGCAAATGATATATCGGTATCTTTAATTTTCCCCAAAAATATAAGCAAATAGTTAGATAACTACATTTTAAATATGCTTAGTCACACACATCTGTCTATTAAAGCACTGTTCACATGTAATGGGTATATTAATAAAAGACAATATTAAATATGTAGAGCTTTTAATTTAGTTGGCTGATTAGCACAATATTTTATTTCAATAAATTTGTTAAATTAATACTAACATGCCATGGAATAATTAATTGTACCGGTAAATAAATTTTACGGTTATTATATACAGATACAAATCTTGGCATTCATAATAAAATTATTATTCGTGAAGTAGGCCTAAAGATCACTCCACAAAAATTGCCCAGTGGAGAATGAAAATTCAGCTGAAGGAATAAGTTGCTGTCGCTACTCATACATGTTCAGGGCATTCATGTTTGATGTCACTCCCTTTTTTACCTGCAATATATGCAAACTCTTAAACTAACCCTTCATTAAAAGGCTTAATCTAAAACTAATCCAAATACTATATTATCATTATGGTTTTATTTCAGTAACGTACCTCTACCAGTTCCTGTGATCGTAGAGATTTGAAATTTTCTGGGGGACTAGCCGAATCGGTCAATAACTTTTAATTTCACCGTAGTTTCGCTTCTTTGGTGAGAAATGTTTATCCGATTTTGATTATATGAACCCTGCCCCCTAACCCTAATCCACCCGAACCTGGTTACATAACCTTAAAGGACCTAAGTCCGTAACTCAAAATCCTCCAAAATCTTCGACATCGAAAACACGAATTATTGGTCAATTTAAATCAACATTGATGATGTAAACTTACCGGGAAAAGATGAGCCTCTGATATCCGATATTTAAGATAAAATAATTTTTTTAACATTGGTACACGAATCGTGTACCATAATGCGCTTCAGCCCCAGTTGTATTGAGAGACTCGAGGGACGAGGCTACATTGCACCAAATCAAATGGAGTTATGTAGACTAGAATAACTAGATTGCTGACTTATTTCGCCGAACATAACTGATTTGAAATTGGAGTAAAAACGGAAACCACTAAATGTAAATCAGTTTATATACATTCATATTACAGTATTATATGCGTTGCGACCCACTTTTGTGAATTTCTAGGTCCCAAATGTTAGCGATTTAGCTCCTTTAAATAGCGATGCTAAACGCCGCTAGGAGCGCTGGCTGTACTATTTACAGACATCACAAAAAGTTGACCGAGAAAAGTATACGCCGTGTTACGCCTTGTCATGAATATTCAGAGTGTCAAACATCGACCATGTGATGTTTACCATCGAGAAAAATAGATGAACTTGCTGTCGAGTAAGATTTTGAGAAGCTGAGGTAAGATTTTCTGATATTTTTCATGAATTGAAAATTTGAAGTTAAGAGAAATTTTCGAAAAAGGCCCTCGACGCTCAAGATTTTGGTATATTTGGAAAGCCCAATTCATTAACTACTTATTTTGACCGTTTGTTAAGTCCGTATCCCCCGTAGGAATTCGTAAAATGGCTGAAATTGAACCATGTGGAATTAAAGGGAGGTAACTCGTGGTTGATCAGGGTTCAGACCATAATTAAAAACCCCCAGACTTCAGTGTAAAAAAATGATGTTAGATTTGGACAGTTTTTTTTATTATATTGAATGTTACTAAAGCTACGAACCAAACTTTAGCCAGACATTTCACTAACAAAGGATAAAAATTGTGAATGTTGTTGACCACCTTGGATTTTTTTTTTCAGGAACTGTAGCTGAAGAAGTAAGCTACTGCTTATTAATATATATTCATCCAAATCCAAACGTAGCCAAAGGCGATCCCTGATATTACTTGGTACACCATAAAATAGACAAAAGATGATGATATAGGCCTACTCATACAATTTGCATGAAGACTATAAAAGGGGGGCTTGAAACTGACTGTTTCTCAGCATTCTCAAGAAAGTCCATAATTATTATAAATTTGTTATGAATCATAGAAGTTAGTTTAATTTATTGTTTGAAATCAGTATTAGTAATCTTTTTTTTGTTATTTCAATATTTGTGATAATATTTATTTTATTTTTAACATTTTCTACCTGAAAGAAGTGGCCTGATGCGTCAAATGTTTTTGTTTATTTTGAAAAATATCGCTTATGAATAATGTGATTATTTTATATTGTTATTATTGTTTTTTTTTGTAAGAAGATACATGTATTAGAAATCTTATATTTGTTGATAAATGTGATAATGGTTTCTTTTTTTTTTTATCATTTATTTTAAACCGGTGGGTGAACATTTTTAATTTCATATTGAAAAGTAACAGACATGAATTTTGATCTTATCGTGATTTTTTTAAAAATATTTTTATGACATAGATAATGTCTCGACAAGATGTATCACCATCTGAATGTTTATATTGTTTTTATTTTCATGGGATAATGTCTCAACAAGAAAGCTAGACTTCTACCACTGATATTATAATATAGTATATCGTAATGCACATTTATCACAAATGAATTTTTTTAATACTCTTTCATGTAGATCATATCTTACTTTTTATAAGCTTACCTTTTAATTTGTTATTAAGCACAGTACATTATGTTTTTATCATTTTGCATATTTATCAGACAATTGAAGTGATCATGATACTCATTGTTTAGGATTATTTGGACTCTTTTAAGATATTCAAATGTTTTAACTATGTTTATATTACTGTTTTTATTTGAAATTGTAGTGATGTTGATTACAAAAATATAGCTGTTATATAAATCATAGTTTAATTGTTAATTTTCATTCCTGAAACAAACAATCTCAAATTGATGTACATGGCAGCTTATAAACAGCTTACAGGTTTATTTCTCATTTTGCCACACACTTTTATGATTTTTATAAATATCCACAGTATACGTTAGTATAACCGGTTTATAATTGTTGTATGACTGTGAATGGCCAGTGGTCAATGGCCTCGGAACCAGTAGGTGCCCAATTACATACATAAACTTGTTTCTCTTCGACATTGACATCATACGGTCAAAAATTGTGATTTAAGGTGTTGTCATGCAAAAAATAAATAACAGAACAGACTGAAAACACTTTTATGTGTGCTTATTCATTCAAAAATAAGCCTATGTATTAATGTCAAAGCGCTACAATTTAAGTACACACAAATTTGTCCATTTTTTTGCTGTGATTTGTGCGAAAGCGGCACGGATCCCAACTTTGAACCTCTGTAACATAAAAAGTATATACTAGAATATTATAGTGACAATTTGGCTTTATCAAGTACATCTAGATCTTTAATTAGTGCAATTTTCATAGACCTATCTTGTATAGTTACTGAGATATTGGCTTCGGTCACTTTTTTGCTTTTTTTAAAAAAAGCCCTTTTTTAGCGCCTCTGGTTTGCCTTCTTTAAAACGCTATAACTTTTTTGATTTTCAATATTTTTTCGAAATTTTTTCAGATTATTCATTCTAGATAGTTCACAATTGCAGTATCATTGTCATTTTTGAGTTATTGGTTGTATCTGAAAACCCGTTGGCAATGCTACTTTAAATCACCTCCTGCTCCTGTTTACGGAGTGGCATCAAAACAAAAATGATTGCCCACTTCAGTTACATGGAATAACGAATTATGCTTTTAAAACTTACACTTAAGCCAAATAATAGCCAGTCGTCACAAAATATTCAAGAACTTCAACTAACCGACTTTATCAACGTGAAACTGCTACTCTTTAATGTTGGGAAACAGAAAAGTTCAAAATATACTCCTGATTACTGGGTCTGTTTTAGTTTAACGATTGTAAAGTACCAGTACGGAAATAATTTTAAAAGCTTCAAATGTTTACATATAATATGTGGTTATAGATTATTGGGGTCAGCCAAACCATTACACATATTGGCCCGGCCCATTCTCAGATTCTAATCTTATAAGTGATGATGTAGAAAAGTCTGGTTTTCGAGACTATTTCACATTGCAACGAATGTTTAAACATTTACTATCTCGAATATCCAGATACTTTTCACGTGTCAGGGCTTCACGTTCCACTTTCATCTCTACCAAATCGTTAAAGGGGCGGTTGAAACCAAATACCAATTAAAGTTACAATGTCACGTAAAAAGATGGTGAAGAACAATTTTTTGCAGACATTATCCACCATCCACCTCAAAAGTCACAACAGGTGGATGGTTTCAAAAAGAAATACCGATGGCTGTTGAAAATGCGATTATTTTAACGGCACAAGCCAAGGAAGTCATTTTAACATTGAACAAATTATATGACGTTTAACTTGAATCAAAAGGTATGTAACGATTCTGTTTATTGTAGAAAATGTTTGATTATGATTATTTATTTGAAAGTTTAGAGAATAAACGAATACTTCAATAGTAATACTTTAAAGAGCACATACAATGACCAGAACAAAATCATATGTAATCAATGTCAGTGTTTATTATATATCATGGACCTTATAATACATTATAAGGTCCATGTATTACTTACAGCAATTTAATTCAGTCCATTCATAATTAATTGAGACCTCTCCCAAAAACGACTTTGCGAAACACTCTTACACCCCCCCCACCCTCGAATGCATATTATGTTGTTATTCGTGGTGTTAACGCCAGCTTCCAGCGAGAATTATATTGCAGACAAGTTTGTGGGAGGAAACCTATCTCCAAACCACATACGCTCACACCAGGGATCGAAACCACGACTGCAGGCCAAAGATGACAGGCTATGGCAGTGATTTTCAACCAGTGTGCCGCTAGATCTTCTTAAGTGTGCAGCGAAATTTTAGACGTTAAGGCACCAGGTAGTAGTAGCTCACATAATTGCTCCTTAAAACTTATTTTAGTATCCTACTTTTCTGTTATGTAACGTATAATACATGTATATAACATTTCAAGAAACAGCGGGGACATCTGTAAAAACTTCTTGTTATTGCCACCGCCGGACGATTTCCATATAGAGGGTTGAAATAGTTATTTTACAGAAAAAAAAGTCATTTAAAATCCGACTGATGGCCATCTTATATAATTATATAATAATACGGTATACATTTTAAGAATTATTTGATTTCGCACCCATAAAATGATATTTAATGATTAAAATATTATTCAAAGAACAATATTGTCTTTCCTTATTTCAACTTCATTCATTGCAAATTTTCGCAGTTACGTTGCGGTAAATATACTGGTATATACGCGTAATGCCACTGTTTTATGATATTGGGCTATTCGCTGCAGAGATTATACTGGTATGCAGCTATTTAATAATACTGGGTAATATTTATTGTCATTTTTGTCATAATATATGGAAACATATTTTAAATACTCTCGTCATTTAAATATCATGGTCCGAATCAGCCAAGAATCTGGCCCGAATCAGCCAAGAATGTGAAGCACCTTTTTTGTGATTTAGCTCATTGATATTGAAATAATCAATCACTAATTACACTATTTATTGTCATTTTTGTCATATACTACACAGCAAAAAAAAACCCGTCAGTACGATTTCAAAATCAGAGAGACACTTTAATCAAATCATTCTAGAAAAAGACTTACTAAATGGATCAAAGCAATTTTTGGTGAACAGTAATGTTGACACATTAGTGATTAATTCATCACAATCCCAAGTCTGTACACAGTCTATATATGGTGTGTCTACCGCGAGTGTCAATAACAGCAGCGCAGCGTCTGTACATGGAGTGGACCAAACGACTGATTAACGCCATTGGCACCTGGAACCACACTCTGTGTTTGGTCTCGGTACGGCGTTATTAAGTCTCCTCTAAATTACATCCCAAAGATGTTTAATTGGGTTTAAGTCGGGACTAAGGGCTGGCCAGTGCATAACGTTGACACCGTTCTGCTGTAAAAAGTCCCGAGTAAATCTGACGGTGTGGGCACGGGCGTTGTCATGCTGGAAAACGTTGTTTCGATGACGTGCGAAATGTGGTATGACGTGGGGTCTGAGAGCTTGATCGATGTAGCGCACTGCTGTGATGCTTCCTCCTCTCCCTGGACCAAGATTTTGGAACACCACAGGACCTCCCCATGAATCTCGTTCCATGACACATTGGTCAGAATAACGCTGGTCACGTCGACGCCATATTCTGGTCCTGCCATATGCAGTTGATACGCAATACCGACTCTGTGAACAGAACAGTTCTCCATTGCCTGTGTCGCCAGTTCTGGTGTTGTTGGACAAACTGTAGACGTTCACGTCGATGGCAAGGGGTGAGGATCGGTCCACGGTAAGGTCTACAGCAATGGATGTTCTATCTGGTGAGACGTCGGCGCACTGTATGGGTATACCTTGATTGTCTTCCGTGTGTTCCCACGGTATGACGTGCTGTCTCAGATGCCTGTGTGTGAAGGGATTCTGCACGTGCTGTCGCACAACATGGCGGTCTTGTCGCCTTGTGGTAACCCTTAATCTACCAGTTCGGGGGCGATCATCCGTGGTGTTGGTGGCCCGAAAGTGTTGCTGAAGCCTGTAGATGTTCCGAACATTGACCTGGAAGTGACTGGCAGTGTGGCCAGCTTCGATTCTTCAGAGCGCCTGGTTCCCCTGAGCTGTCGTGAGTCGTGGCATGCTGCTGACGTTGTAGTGTGAATGATTCAACCAGGTATGAGGTGCATTTCATAGGGCTGGTCCCGGTGAACAGCACGTGCAGCATGAGTTACATGAAAATCATGAAGAACACATTACCATCTCAGAAGTCAGGTTGCGTTTTTGAGAACATTTCCTGGGTTCAATTCTGTGTTTGGGAAGGAGCCTTATTGCTCAGGTAAAGTTGGAGATGTGGTCACAAATATACAATAAAAACATTTGGCAAATTTTATGCAATGCGTCTATTTAGAGTAACATACCAACCTGACGCTTCTTTTGATGCTTAGTATATTATCAAATATATGCAAACATAATATTTTAAATACTCTCGTCATTCAAATAGTGGTCCGAATCGGCCTTTTCATGGTCCGAATCAGCCACGAATCTGGTCCGAATCAGCCAAGAATCTGGTCCGAATCAGCCTGGTCCGAATCAGCCGATTATCAATAAAACAAGTTTATAGCTGCGTTTTTTCTTTATTTAGTTTCAGTCATTCTATGTGTCTATGACTAGTCTCTGTCTACGGTTGTATGCCTCTATGACTTGCCATGTTTTTATTTTGTAAAAAGTCATATTTGTTATATATTTAGCCAGGTGTCCCGCCAATTATTCATGTGTTCCAAGGTGTGCCGTTGGCAAAAAAGGGTGAGAACCACTGGGCTTTGGCTATAGTTAATATTAGTTTGTAGATCACCAAAGAAGTCGCCACAGCAGTGCGTGTGGTCTATTACCTTCGCCATCCGACTGAATTAAAATAAGGTTTATCGGACTGGCTAACGTTGCAAAAAGAACACAAACTAAATGGGTTGAATTCCAATGCAGCTTGATTCATTCTATATTAACTTTTAATACACGTATTTTATACGCAAGCTTTGGAGTAAGTATTCATTGGTTTAAAGAGTCAAATGTTAATTGAAGCGTGATAGGAATAAAAATTGGCCAGATACTGCTGTGTATAGGCAAAAAAGGTACAGTATGTCCCTTTATTTTACTAGAATTTCCACAACTCACAATAATACAAATATATATAAAATGTTTGCTTATTTTTAGCTGAGATAATGATTAGTGTACATGTATATCGTATGTGTAGTTCCTGTGACGTCATGCGCCAATAAGCTAGATAATTGTAATCGAAAACTTGAAAATTATTGTAGAGCGCCTGGCACATAAAACGGCAATGTGTCGAATAATGTTAATCAGATTGATGTGAAACTGTTGTAGAGTGTATAGCTGTAAATACATATAATTTTGTTTTGTCATTTTGTGTGCTCTTTATTTCAGAGCTTTGAATATTTATTGGTGCTAAATGGAGGTGGTGCTATATCATTCTTGAAATACATTTTTGTTTTCTATTTCTGACATTTAATTCTCAAATATCTGATAGAAATCAAATTAAAGGCTATGGGTATTTTTTAATATTTCTTTCTTCTTTTGTTTAAATCATAAAAATACATGAATTAGAAGTCAAAGATGACCTCCTGTGTAACTAGAGATTTATCTGAGGAAAAACTCGAAGATATCAGATTAAAAGCTATAGACTGGGCATTGGCACATGGTATGATATAAAGTTAATATAATCTTAGGCACTATTGCCCAACATAAAAATACATTATATATTTTACGAGGGCTGATTGAAAAGTTCTAAGCCTGAAAAGGATACATCAATTGGGTTGAAACAAACTTTTGACACCAACAAGTATATTCATTGAACGAATCATAGACATTATGAACTGCAACCCCAGTTTTATTAGTGTCTTCGTACCAGACCATCCTGTGAACCTATACCATACCTATTGAAATCACCAGAAATGGACAAAACTGGCTATAGGGCAGACATCAAGTAGCTGCAACTGAAAGGACTAACCCCAACACAGATACATGCCGACACGGTCATCACTATAGGAGGTATGTGCCCCTCCCTTTTCTACAGTAAAGAAGTGGGTTACGGAATTTAAGCGTAGTAGTAGTAGTAGAGAGAGAGAGAGAGAGAGAGAGAGAGCCTTGACGATGACCTGAGTCCTGGACGACCATCAACAGCAACCATTTAAGAAAACATTATCCGGGTGCATGACATGGTGATGACTTATCGACGATTGACACTCGACATATTGCCAGAGTTGTAAGCATCTCTCATGAGAGGGTTGGCCACATTATCGCCAACGAGTTAGGAATGACAAAAGTTTCTGCTCGACGGGTGCCAAAGCTCTTGACGGCGGATCAGAAATGTGTCAGATTCCTGACATAACGTGACAATCTGCGCCGTTTTGAAGCAGATCCTGATAATTTGGTTAGCCAGATTTGCAACCATAGATGAGACCTGGATTCATTACTTTCAACCAGAATCCAAAATTCAGTCTAAACAATGGAAGCATCCAGAGTCGCCAGTGTCGTAATGTCGGGTAAAAATGTCGTGATGTCGGGTAAAAATGTCGTGGTGTCGGGTTGTCGTAATGTCGTAATGTCGTGTAGAAACGTCGTGATGTCGGGTTGCCGGGTTGTCGCGTTATGAAAGACGACATTACGACATGATACCAATCAGCCACCATACCAGTCCCCCCAAAAAGGCAAGTCGGTTCATTCTAACGGAAAGGTGATGGCTTCAGTCTTTTGGGATTCCATAGGTATTCTGCTGACTGACTATCTTGAAAAAGGTCAGACTATCAATGGAAGATATTATTCTGATCTACTGAGACAGTTGTGTGAAGCTATCAAAGTTACGCGACGGGGAATGCTTACCAAGACAATACTCTGGTTCATAAATCGGTGATTGCCACCTGTTTCAAAATTGAAAAGGGAACTAGCCGGTCGTCATGTTTCGAGTAATGATGGAGTCATGTCAGCTGCGAGCGACTTTTTTTAGGGTGACTGAAGAAAATTTCTTCCTGACCAGCATTCGGACCTTGCATCATAGAAAAATAAATGAAAACCATTGACTTTGTACATGTCTTTCACAGATAGGCTTAGAATTTTTCAACCAGCCCTCGTAGATTTGGCAAATTAGACAAAAAGTCGTTTATTAAGCGAGGAATTGTTTGGATATCACCCGATACTTAGATAATTCATAAAGCGCCTGAAACAAGTCTTACCCGGTAAATAGGTGCGCACATTTTTATTGGCGCATCGGGGGATACAGTGGAAAAGTCTCCATGAATTATTAACACTGTTTACAATATTATCATTATATTGTCCGTATCAATTTGTTTATCAGTTTTGTATAAACTTAACATATCTAACCATTTCCTGTCTGTCGGAACCGTGGAATTTCTGAATTAAGGCATATGCAATTTTCGTACTGATATAGTAGCTAATACATTAAATAAAACGAATTATAAAAACTCAGAAGGCATAACCACCATTTTATAGAGGACTATAAAACGTAAAAAGAGTACTTATATTTATTTTGGCTATCTGTCTTAAATATCTTTGTCGGAAATTTTTGTTATTTTCACCCATAGGTATATAATTCACAACTATACCCAACTGTTGTCAAATATTGCGCGAACATACGAAACGGAAATCTTTTATTAATTACAGGTATATCAATGAGACCGAGTAATTTATCAGAAGATCAAGATAAAGTTGTACATGCATGCACCATTTACTTTGTTTCCAACAACAATACCTGAATCTAATCTACAACAAGCCACCAAATCTATTGTATATTTTAGTCGGCTGATGCATCATGTTGCTATGGATCATCAATTATTACAAGAATCATTTAAACAGTAAGATTATTCAACTTTTAATTTTGTATTATTTTTCGGTTTTTACTCCGAAATGAAAGGAAAAGGGGCGTTAAACGTCTACACCAACTGTCCCAACTGTCAAAGGGGGGTTAGATGGCCAAATGGTTAGCACGTGCGCGCTGTATCATACGGTAGGTCATTGAGTCAATTGGCGAGGTTTCCTCCAACTGCTAAAGACCCCTACGCGCAAGCGAATTATTGAAATAAAATTGAACCATGTGTTAGTCCCGAAATGACCTAGTTTGTGTCGAGTGGGCGTTAAACCCCATTTCTCCCTCTCTCTCTTTCCCAACTGTCAACGCCAACGTGTACATGGGACCTCGATTTTTTTTAGCACCCTCCGAAAGACTAGAAGCTGTTGCTTGCCAGACCCTCCGCTCTAAGCTATATGGCGTACGTCCGTTTTTATTAGCCCGTTTGGGATTCTATTTCATATATTATGTTAAGACCTGATAGGACCACCAAGATTACACGACGATAAAAAAACACAATTTCAATCGTAGCAGGAATCGTGGGAACATAGCATTACGGAAATATATATTACTCGTTATTAAACGAGTATTTTTTGTTTAATGCTTTACTGAAACAGACCCAAGTTCAACGACGTTTTGCCCAGTCTGCGTCATTTTTAAATTATTTCAGTATTATAGATGTGGATGAATTTACCAAGAAACTATGGAATATTTACATGGCGGTCAGGAATGGTGAAAGGGTTCAGGTAAAATCTATTCCCTAAAAGAAAAATATGCATTCTATTAAAGATACATTATGGGAGATTCGATAACGAGTTGGCAGTTCTCACTATACTAATTAAAAACTATATAACGTAAAGGCAATTTGCTGAAAATTTCATTCAAATTGATCCACTATGAACCGAGAACTAAGCGAATGAAATTTCTGCCTAGACTCGGTCATCATTACTAAAGTCAGTAAGTTAAGCAGCATAGTCTCGATTATCCATTTAATCGTTTAATCGAGAAGGAAAGTTATGCAGTAAATCGGATCACAGTCCACTTAAGATCGCAGGCTAGCGATGCCGTCTAGAGTTGATTATGCTCTGGATAAGTTAATTAATGTCTAATAATAATTTAGATAACATTTCAGACCTAAAGAAAGACCTGCAATAGACAGATTTAGCTCTTGCATAATGTATGTTTAAGTGAATGAATGAAATGGAGTTTACCCCCTATGATGCATTTCTACACCGACCGGGATAATGAAGACAGGCATAAGCCACACAGTGTGTTATGGGGTAATTTTACTCTGACTGAAATTGAATTCCAACTGTCAAAGGTTCTTTAACGTGTACAAGAGACCCCGGAATTTCGTCCCATCCGGATAACTAGGCGCTGTTACTTGCCTGGTTAGTTAGCCTGCCCCATCCGAGCCATGGCGTCTCCCTCTTTTCAATGAAATGGACTTAATTAACAATTCTTCTATTTTAGCCGGTATGGTTTGGTTTATTTAGAAACGATTTTCTGTTAGATGAAGACCAAGACACGTCCAAATTACAGTTAAAACAAGTTGAGCTGAATACCATAGCCACTGGTTTTGGAGGTGTTGGGTCGAAACTGGCTGATTTTTATCGGTATAAGTCTACATTCTACAGTTTATAACAATTATCAAATAACCATAATATCGGGCCGCAATGAGCGTGGCCAAGTCGAGCCATTACCCCTATTTTACAAACTGCGTATAATTGATAATTTTCGATCTTAAAATTACTTGTGATAGAGATTTACTTTTGGTATTAAAATACTCACTATTCGTGCTTATAGAAAAATGGCTCAGTATTGTTTAGTTTAGAATAAAATTCGTGATAGGTGTTTTGTAATATTTTAACACAGCTTTGAGAAAATCGTCTTTCAATTTAACTAAACAACGGACATCTACTTTTTCTTTATTCAGCGGTACGAATAAATCTGCATTTATATTAACGATTATTTTATGTTTATTTTTTAAAGGTATATATTAGGCCTGACTGGCGTGAAATATACATATAACCAGGTAAGATGAAAGTATGACTAGAGCTGGTACGACTAGAGTTGATAGCGGTCTTTAATTTGTTGTTTTTACTTTTCAAATCTTTTTTTTCTTTTATCCAAACATAAAATTATTGTTATAATAAATGTTTATAATTCCAGATACCAGATAGTCAATCCACGTATGGATTTGCATCAGGATTTGTAAACGCCTGGGGAATGTATGGAAATCCAGAGTAAGAAATCAAACACGTATTCCAATATAGGCATTTAGCATATTTGATCTGCGTTTATTTATGAATGTACAGTTGAACGTTTTCTAAAGCGCTATTTTTTTTAAATTCAAACAAGTACTAAATTATGTATGCCGTGCACAAGTTAGGGTATGCCTATACTCTTAGAACATCTTACTTATGTGTCGTGTAGAATGTTATCAAATAAACTTATATTTATTCGGATTTGCAATAATAAACATTTCAATCCATTTACACCTTTTTTTCTCAGGGCTGTCATTTTGTTCATTGTGTCACACAATGAAAGAAATATCATGGACCAACGACTTCTAGAATATGAAATTTATAAGCAGAACAAAAATATAAAAATTATTAGAAATACTTTTGAGGAACTAGTAAAAGTGGGAAAATTGACAGAAGACAGAAAATATTTCATGTAATTATTTTTTTTTATTTGATACAGCTTACCTCCAACTGTATATATAATAGAGCGGTGGGAACTCACATTTGAGAATTTTTATACCAAAATTGATAAAAAAAATATAAAAAATGAAAATGTGTAATGTCGCTGTACTGAACGAAAACCGAGTTTGGATACAAGTTGATACTGATCTAGACTCGATAGTCAGGTATGTTCGACTCTTTGTCTCTATAATATGGCCAACCATCATCTATAAACCATTTAGAAGAAATGAAAAGAAATGGGGTTTAACGTCCTACTATCCTTCTCCTACCGGACTATGAAGACGGGCATACGCCATGCAGTGTGTATGTGGGAAATTTTGCTCGGACAACTCTTATATCAAATTCCAACTGCTAAGGGTTTTTTTACGTGCACATCAATGTGTACACGGAACCTCGTTTTTTTGTCCCATCCAAACGTCAGGCCCTCCGTCCTACACCACTACTGACAATGGGAAACCACGCCGGAAAATCACGATGAACTTCGACGGCCAACGCAAGGATCGAACACGCGACCTCTAGACTAGCGAGCCAGCGTCTTACTCTCTTAGCCATCCCTAGAATTAGAAGAAGAATGGGTGGAATCGCCGCTTTCCAGGCAACATTGTCAATGATTCATATTCAAGCGCGACGATAAATATGCCACCCACAAAGCAATTAGAATGCGACAATGCAAAATCGTCTATGTATACTAATATTTTGATTAAATAAATTTATATTATTAGAGATAAAGAAGAAGTTGGTGTTGTATATTATAGAGTAGGGTATGCACCTACAGATTATACTGACAAGGTAAGCTATGCTGGTGTTACCGGGCACTGACCCCGGAGAGAGCACCATTCGATTATATTGGACAAAACCGATTCTCTAAATAAAAATGAAGACTGGCATACACCATACAGTGTGCAATGGGGAAATTTTACCCGGACAGCGACGCCACGGCCTATACGCTTATATCGAATTCCAACTGCCAAGAGTTCTTTTACGTTCACGCCAACGCTTACTTGCCTGGCCCTCGTCCTATTACTGACAGGGGGTCACCACGCCGGAAAGTCCCGAGGAACTTTCTTGGCCAACACCGGGATCAAACCTCGGGCTCCTTTAGTAAGCCCTCCCCTTACTCACTGAGCCCCCGCGGTCCCGATTTCCAAAAGATCACGAAACTTAGCTAGAATATACCAATAAAACGACGCCCATAAACGACAAATAATATATCTAAATTTATGTTCACGCAACAATACATGTACTAATTAAAGCTTCTTTTGCGCTAGGCAAATTTTTTAATACTGGTCTTGGAAAGCAGCTGTGAAAAGCGGAGTCTTTATCTGTTGTTTAAACACATGCAGTGATGATATCATTTGAATATGGTGGGGGGGGGGGCACAAGTAGTGTGCTGCACAACAAACTGATCGTTTTGTTGTTTCCAGATGTATCGGCGGTATTGTCAATAGGTTTTTGTCTAACGATCTCAATGTTATATTACATGCATATGGCATCAACGCGTAGGGATGCGTTCACTATTTTCAACAGAAAGGGCAGTAATAACGGAAGTAGGGAAAGGATCTAGTTCACAAGATTTTGATTTTGTCTCAAGAATAATCTTTTGCAATGACACTTCTGTATAAAGCTCGAGTTTTGATATGGTCGAGGTTGCTAGTATTCTGTAGGATGGTACAGTTGACATCATATAGAAGCTTGGACCTCCATAATGCCACTCATGATGTTAGAGATTTTGTCATTGAAGAAGTTGGTAAATTGGTTCGCGAGATCCTCTATTAAGGTATACTTGGGAAGTTAATTGCCCATTTTTTCTCGGTTCAAAGGCATGTTTGTCACTGCAAATAGTTTCTTGAAATCTGTTCCACAATTTAGCACTTTCTGTTTGTAATAATCCCTCTTACTTGATATGACTAGGTCTGCGACTTTTTCACACTCTTCTTTAAACTTCTGTTTGTCTATCTCCAGCTTTGTTCTGAGGTATCTCTTCTCTGCCTTTCTCCGGACCCGTCTTGCATCTGTGATTGATCCGTCAAACCAAGGACAATTCGGCTTATAAGAAGTCCTGTGGTTAACCTCTGGAGCAAGGTCTTCAATAATAGTTTTCAATTCTGGGTTGAAAATTTGTAGGAGTTCGCCACACAAGAGTAATTGTCTGCTTCGTCTGAACACAGTTTACTGGAAATATATTCTTTGAAAGTTCAGTTTGTTCTATCTTTTTAAAAGTTCTGTATTTGATTACTTTTGGAGTTGAATCTGAGTTCTTAAGCGAAAATGATAAACTGAAATGCACAGCAGTATGCTCACTGAGAAGTGGGTTAATGACCGTTAAATTGAAAAGGTCAACATCGTCTCTTCTCGTAAAGATTAGATCTAGGGTATGTCCTCCATAGTCAAGGTTCTCTTTTAATGTTATATTTGTATACATTTAATGAATATAGGAATGTTTTAGCTGAAATCCGCAGAAATATGCAAATATTAGCATGGGTTAACAAAATGACGATATTTAATTTTAGATCTGGACTATAAGATTAGAATTAGAGAAAGCCTGGTGTATAAAATGTCCACCTATACAATATCAACTGGTAGGAGCTAAGAAAATACAACAAGTTTTAGCTAAACCTGGTATATTAGATAAATATATATCAGATATATCAATTAAACAATTAATACAATCTACATTTGCTGGTCAATATTCACTTGATATGGTAAGTAAATTGCTGTTGATTTTACATTTAATTTACATGGAGATGTAAATAACAAATGTCTGGCACATTTTCTGTGGCCACGGTCTTGTCCATTAAAAAGATAGTTATGGGAATACAATATTATGGTCTTTAAAAAAATAATTGTGTTGTGAATTTCCTTCCTGGTAATACTGGATAATTTACTGGCAATCTTATTTAAAAGACATATGAGTATACACAATTGCATTTAGATAAATAAGTGCTTTGGGAACTTTCCTTCCTGGTAATACTGGATAATTTATTGGTACTCTTATCGAGATTATTGATGAGTTATTGTACATTTTATATTTTTATTTATTTTTATTTTTTTATGTACAATAGGGAGAAGAAGGTGATAAAGCTTTAAACATGGCTGTCAATAATCCTGATCAGTTTGTTTTAAAACCACAAAGAGAGGGTGGAGGTAAGATAAAGATTGTCATGATTGATATTACGAAGCATACATGTTCACCTAAACTACTTATTGCTTGTACAATGCCAACTTTGGTGTATTCATTTACAATTTATTGGACGTGTAAGTATTACGCTTGACCAAACGTGTCTATCCATTTATACAGGTTGCCATAAAGTTTTGATATTTTCAAAAATCTTCACATTCGCCATCTTAGTTCTGACTACGCTCTATATGTTTACTCATTTCAGAGCACCCAATGCCAGTGCCGGACTGGTGGGCCTTCGGCCCACCTGTCAAGTCATTGACAAAGGCCCACACAAGTACGCGCCTTCGGCGCGCCAGCGACCGAGGGGGGGGGGGGGTCTACCCCCAGGAAAATTTTGAAAATTGACAACCGCAAACCCATTTTTCAAGTTAAAAGATGAATTACACGGTTCTCGGTATAATGAGGTTAAACTCATAAGGTTCTTTCTTTGTAGTACACTTCTTTTTTTGTGTTGTTTGTCAGTCATTGTTTTCCTATCTTTTCTTTCTCCTGTCATGTGTCCTGTCCTCTCCCTGCTTCTTTCTTTTCTTTCCTCCCCTTCTCCTTTCTTTCTCATTTATTTTTTTCTTTTTTCTTTCTCTTTTTTATTTTTTCTTTATAGGCTTAGGCCCACTTGCCACTTGGCGCCATGAGTTTCCAGTATGTGGAGCCCCGAAACCATTAAAATATTCTCTGTGAAATACATGTTTAGAATAATGTCCTGAATAAGGAACTCAACGAACAGAAATAATTAAAAACGGTGTGATTTCATGGATTGCCATCGTGAATATTCAATGAATTTCCATCACATTTAAATCACATTAAATCTTCGTATTTGTAGTCCTATGTAAAAGGGTTCATATTGCCCATTTGTCCTTAATCATTCAGAGCACTGATGAAATACTCGTCCGATTCAGTAGCGCGAAGAATGTTTTGTGGTCCTTGTCGGATTCATCGGGCGTATATAGCCCTCGTGGAAACTTTTTATTTTGTTTGGTGGGGGAGATTTAGCAATAATTTAGAATTTAGTGCTAAAGTATTACTAAATTATGATATACTAGCAAAAGCACACACAGCCAAATCCAGGGTAAAAAACAAACAAGCATTCCTTCTTTCTTTCTATAAATGGGCTTTACGTGAATTATTTCGATTGTATTGCAGTATTTGCATCACTTCAAAACATGTTCTGCGATACCATAGAAAGAATTATATTTTCGAAAAAAAGTCTATTACAAAACTGTTCAAACTGTCGTTGGAGAATGATCCACGAGAAAGAAAAAAAAATATTACATGAAAGTGTCCACCATCATCTTTAATATTTTCTACTAATGTCCCAATATAAGCTAATTCTTTTCGGCTTTAGAGATAGCCGATACGGGCCTTGTGAATGAAAGCTAGAAAACTTTCTGTTGTTCAGGCAGTTATCTGCCTTTTATAAAGCTGCACACAACATATCATCACCAGGGTACATAATAAATATGTGTTTTGAAAGAATAACAATATAAAATATTCACAATACATTTCTAACGTTTTTAATATAGGGCTACTGCCATTCCTAGTACCGGTGTCAAAGTGATGGTGCCCACGACATGCTCCAGGCTCCCTGCGAACAAGTATATCAAGCCTTAATTCTTTGAAAACCAACATCCGTATTTAATGCTAATAATCAGAGGTGGTAAATGAATGCCATGACTATTTTGTTGTTTTTTTCCTTCTTGCAGGCAACAATTTGTATGGCGAAGAAATGAAAGAGTTTTTATTAAGCATAGCAACATCTTCGGAGAGAAGTGCCTATGTTTTGATGGATAGAATATATAGTAAACCTCGGTTAAATTATATAGTTAAAACTGGAGTACCATTTATCAAGTTAAACTGTGTATCCGAGTTAGGAATATTTGGATGTTTCATTGGGTAAGTTGTTTGAAAGTCATTTATACAATAGACAGAGGGTTACACAGGGTTTGGGTTCGATCCCGATCTTGACTGAGATTTTTTTGAAGTGTGATTTCCCCTTGTCAGTGGTGTGGGGTACGAAATACCGAGGTCCCGTATACACATTGGCATGCGCGTAAAAGAACCCATGACATTTGGAATGTAATGAAGGGTAGCCGGAAATACCGCTTCCGGGACTGAATGTCCCCCAAGGCTAATGCCTGTCTTCGTTTCGTTTCTTTGATTTTGTTCCTATGTTTGTTTATTTTTAGGGCTAAAGATAGGGAGTTATACAACATATCTTGCGGCCATATTTGGAGAACAAAACTGGCAGACACAGATGAGGGAGGTGTCAGTGCTGGATTCGGTGGACTTGATTTTCCGTTTTTTAACATTCCTTAAACTACATTATTTTCACTAAACATATTATTGTTCATTTGTTTTTAATAATTTCGATTAATAAATAAAAACAAAATAGAATCTATATTTTTTAGATTTGCTTTGCATAAATTATGTTAAATGTTTTTTTTTTCCATATGTTTTCTAAAAATAAACGGGATATAGTGTCAAATTAACAGTAAGTATTTCAATTAGATTAAAGAATGGGTTTCAGAAGTCCTGTATATTATATTTGTATGTTGTGCTGTATATCATATTTGTATTTTGTAGATACTCTTTTTTTTTCATTTATTTATTATTTTTAAACAAATTTTTCATATATTATTATATTTTTTAAGGTTAATAATCCACCCCGAAACAATGTGTCATCCACGATTGACAATGGCTAGCGTCTTGATAGATCGTGACTAATAAACTAAGAAATTATGGGATTTTAAAGCTGAAGAGTTTTCCTGAACATGCGCATTAGTCGAATATTGGAATATTGTCGGTTGTCAAGCGTGGTAACTTGTCATGATTAATAGAGTTGTTTATTTACTTCCACGAATTTAGTTAAAGTAAATAACAGTAAGGTGTAAAACCATGTCAACAAGTCCAATGAGTTCAGGTGAATTTAATCACCTTCTTGCTTTACTGAGCCAGGTAGGTTATTCAGACCATAAACTTTGGTTTCTAAGGTAAACAAATCATTTTTTGCTCTTTCTTTGCAATATTTGCATCTCCCGAATTTACCTTTTTACTTTTTTTTATAGAATCTATTCTGGATAATAAATTAATTTCTTGTTAGGGTGCCCCGCCATAAATACATATCTCCAAATATATCGATATAACAGTTAACTTAGTTTCTCCCAGTCACTGCCATTGCAGCATTGGCATTTATCTTAAAAATAGCCTAACTTAGTAACAACGTCAACAACAGGTTTGCATTTTAAAAGTTAGGCTTAACTTATAACATTATTAAAGATACATTATTATTCAAGAGCTAAATCTGCCTATGTAGGTCTTTCTTTAGGCCTTAAATGTTATATAAATTTTTAATTAGAAATTGAATTAATTAACATGACAAGACCATAATCATATTCATAATCATAATTAATAAGATTCATGATTGATAGATCTGCTTTGACTTATGCACGTTCTGCGTGTCTTGTTTTGTAATCACGTGGGAACTCTTTATTTGAACATAAACATTCGCTGTAGAGTAAGTTCAACTTTTAATACAGCAAATTCTGACTTTGTCTCTGGTGTCTTGGTGCCATCAATACTGGTACATTAATAATAATGAATTAAAATGCAACACCAATTTTTTTTACTAATAATACTAAGAGTTATACTATAGTAATAATACTATTGAAAATCAATGTGTAACTAAATGATTCCCTAATTTCACAAACTAAGCCATACTGCTACAATAACAGAACCAGAGTGGATTTAGGAAGTGTTCGAACTTCGAAGGGATCTGGCCTTACACTCAAACATTTTGATGGTTGACACCTCAGAGAAATATCCTGATGTTTTTTTGTGGAGCTTTCATCTTTTCTCCATAGTCACAAATTAGTTAATTTTTTTGTGATTTCTACGTGTTATGTCTTGTCCATATACTTGTTTTTGTGTAAATTATGTGTGGTGAAGTTCCCCTGCACTTACTATTTATCTATACCGGTATTATGAATTCTACTGTGTACTACTAACATAGTCTCATTACTCAATTACAACTGGATTTCTAGAGATATGACACCAAAGTCCAAAGATCCATTCTTCTGCATGTACAACTTAAACCAGGTCCATTTCCCCAGGCAGTCGAAATCTGGTACAGCATAAAAAATAGTAGTAGACTCAGTTGCTTATTACTAATATTAGGGGAAATGTTATTGATATGAGCTTATATTATAAGTTCAATTCATAAACTTATGTTTATTCAGGAAACAGATTCCTCCAGGAGAAAATTAGAATTTATATATCGATCTACAGGAACTATTGATGCTAAACAGGTGATATTTCATTTATTGATTTTATGGCATGTTGCACTTATTTTGATAGAAGATAACTATATTTTGTATCATGGTGCTACACCCACTCTCACTTAACACTCCGGTGTAGTTCACACATTTTACTCTGGGGGGTTGGATGGCCAAATTGAACCATATGTTAGTCGTTTGTGTCGTGGACGTTAAACCCCATTTCTCTTTCTCTCTCACATTTTACTCTGTGTATCTTGTTAGAGACATACCGTAGGGTTTGGTACTGCCATGTGTCCATGGTACTGCTCACTTTTGAATACCAACTCACTTTTTGAGTTAATAAAACAAATTAAAGTATAATGCATTTATACTACAGTAAACCTCGCATTAAGTTGAATTCGTTTAAGTCCGATCTTCGCTGAACTCAGAGAAAATCATTTGGACCCTTTGATCCTGCACGTTTTTCTTATTAAATTTCTGCGCATAAGTCGAATTTCCTATGTTGGATCTTCACTCAACTCGGATCAAAATGTTTGGTCCAATTTGTTGATCTAATTCCAGCTTTTTTCCTTCGCCTAAGTCAGATTGGCAGTATGTTCACAACATGCTGTTAAAAATATGTCCCCCTCTACCAAACGGCCTGGTGCCATTGAAATCCAAATATAGGTCAGCGCACAAATTTGTGCAACTTGGCCATATAAGACGAAATGAAATTGGAATTTTTGAAAAAAATCGATTTTAATTGGGCTAGGCAAAGCAATAATTGACTATAGTTTCTCATCTTTTCACCAATTCTAATTTTTCCCCACCCCAGCTTACCTAAATTTCATTTTGTCTTATATGGCGAAGCCACTTAAATTCATACGCCACCCCACATCTAGACCTCAATGGCGCCCGCCAAAGTCGTTTAGCAGAAGGGGACAGATTTTTATCAGCATGTTGTGTTGCACATACTGACTCTAGCGAGGTAAGCAAGGTATTATTTTCTTACTAAAATGTTCCTTTACATTGTTCAGGCGTTTACTGAGACAGACACACGACCATTTAGCAATAAAAGGTTGCCCAGTAAAATTGACTGGGAACCGATTTTATTTCGGATTCAATAGGACGGTTCCTGAACGTACAGGGCGATAATGAGACCTACGTTCAGAGCCGAACTGGTCTTCGGCTAACTCGGATCTTCACGTAACTCGGATAAAATTGGTCAGTCCATTTAGATCCGACTTCAAGAAAAGTAGGGGATATTCAGAAACAATACAAAACTGCGAAAATGCACTGCTGTTTTTATTAGAGGTAACCAGTGTATGTTAATAACAGGCCAATTGCCTACACATGAACATAAACAGTTCATATGGGCAGGGGGGATCACGTGACTAAGTGGGTAAGACGCTAGCTCGCTAGCCTGGAGGTCGGGTGTTCGATCCCTGCATTGGCCGAGAAAGTTCACCCAGATTTTCCGGCGTGGTTCTCCCTTGTCAGTGATGCAGGACGGAGGGGCTGACAAGGAAAGCTGTCTAGTTGTTCGGATGGGACGAAAAAACGAAGTCCCGTGTACACATTGGCATGCACGTAAAAGATCCCTTGGCAGTTGGAATTCGATATAAGAGTAGGCCGTAGTGCCGCTGTCCGGGCAAAATTTCCCTCATAGCACACTGTATGGTGTATGCCCGTCTTCATTAGCCCAGGTTAGGAGCAGAACAGTAGGACGTTAAACTCCATTTCATTTCATTTCATTTATCTGACCGCCCAATTTCACTCGCAAAGAGATACACAGTCAAAAGTGAAAATGGATGTTTTTGATTTTTGTCTTAATAATGAGTAATTTCTCCACCCGTCCTCAGACATTCAGCAATTTGTCGTGGCATGCTCCTAATCAACCGTCCAATCACGATTTGGGGCAATCTGACCCACTCCTCTTGCAGTGCCACGGCCAATTCTTGCAGTGTTGTTGGTTGATGTTGACGTCGACGAACACGTCTCCCAATCAAATTAAACGTAACACACTAAAGCAAAGATACGCTAAACAGTAAATCTAATGCAAGAACCGATAGGAAAGCAAACATGGATAGATAAACCAGCTCGCGGCAGTTTTCATCAACCCTTCCTTGAAGTGTCAAATTTGACAATGAACCCCTCTAACGTGTATTGCGCTATTGCGTGTCGCATGTGCAGCGCAGTGGTTCTGTTGGGGCGATAAGTTCTTCATCTGTGAAAATACTCTCAAAGCATGTCAAGTGTCTATGACTATTTATCATATCGCAACCTGCATAGGTATTTGCATTTCAATATCCCCTACTTTTTTTTAAAGAGTATTATAACAAGTAACAAATATAAAGGATTTATTGGTTTTATAGATTTAAAGGTTTAACAGTGATAGGTATCTTTATCATTAATACAGAATTCAATGGTGACAAACGAATGTTTGGCTCTGAATCTGAGTCACAGTGTTAATTAGTGTGATGTAAATTGTATTCAAACTTTATACTGTTATTGATTATTTCAGGCAGCAAGTATTTTATCAGCTATAGGATGTGCTCCACATAAACTTCAAGCAATTAAAATCATGGCACCAGTTAGTATATTTGTACATTTAGTTACAGTATTTATGTAGACTCCATCTATTTTCCTTAGTAAGGGTTTAAAAAAAAAACTACTAATATTAATTGCTTTCCAACATCAGCCTGCACCATATACCTTCCATTCAAGTAATAATGATATTGTATATTTATAGCACAAGGGTTGCATCCACAAATGCATGCTCAAGATGTGAAGTACAACAATTAATAGTTCCACTTGTTGTTTTCTATAAAAGGGAGTTGCTCAACAGTTTATATAGAGGCTCAAGTTTGAATTATTTTTTTTTTGTAATTCATACTTGAAACATATCAGTGGTTGGTGTTGATAATGTAAAATTCACTTTGACTTATTCCCTGGAAGTAAAATTACAAACTATAATATATAAATGCCTTCTGCCCCTTATCTTGTTCTAGTTTATTCTAGAATTATTAATGGTATTGGTATTTTATTAAAGAAATGAAATGATATGTGAACTGTGAACATATATTATATTACAGAGGCTACAAAGTATGACAGGTCATGAAGCTAAAGATGTTATTGGGGCTGTCAGTATTCACAAAGATAAACTTGTTGTTTTAGAAACCATAAAAAAGTAAGGAAATTGGCTTTTGTGATATTTTGTCTTTATTTTGGTTGATGAAGTCAATAGCCACCTCCCCTAACTATGCCACTAAACAGAGTGCTATTTTGGAGGTATTTAACAACAAAAAATTTCAGTTTTATAGAGAAATGCTTTTATTTGTGATATAAATGGGGTATCTGATATTATAATTACATATATTTCTTTTGTTTACAGATCTTTAATAGATAACGAGACAAAACTAGGAGAAGAATACATCCTAAGTGCATTTCCATATGAACATGATAAAAAACAAGCTCTTAATATTCTTCAAACGGTAGGCTTTACTTCTTAAAATCTGATACTCATCACAAGCTTTATCTGGGGTTTGAAAAATATATTATGTGTACATTTACAGTATATTTTTACAGATGATACCGCATATAAAAAACAGAGGTCCCTGTGTCAAAATTTATTGTGCAAGCATATGATTTTGGAAGTTGAATTGGAGAAGAATAGGCACAAATCCTAGGTCACTCACAAATTTTCACCAATGCATTGCACACATCACAAAAGAAATTATGAACTCTGTTTTAAATGTGGGTAATATGTCGAAAACCATTTTCAATCACAGATTTATTATCTTCTAATTCAGATAAAAGTGGACAGATCTGAAACGTTAGCAGCAGGTGGTCATCAAGGTTATGCGGCATTAGGAGGTTTATTCACCCAATCCCGTCCATTACAACCTCATCTATATGGACCAATCGAATTACAAGTTATAATGATGAAGGTTCGTTGTTTAGATAATATATTAATGAAAAAAGTCTATTTAATTTTGATTGTAAGAATATATCACAACTCGGTTGTTTGTGATCCCATTATGGGCTGGCAATTCTCACTATAATAGATAAAAACTAGGTAATGTAAAAGCAATTTGCTGAAAATTTCTGTCTAATTGATCCACTCTGAACCGAGAATTTAGCAATTGAATTTGAGGCCTAGCCTCTATCATTACTAAAGTCTGTACGATAAAAAACAGTCTCGATTATCCATTTTTTAATTTAATCATCAATGGGTTTTAGGCAGCAGATCAGATTTTAATCCAATAAATATCGTGATGACATTGAGAGTTCATTATAGTCTGGATAAGTTAATTAATGTCTAATTAATAATTTAGATAACATTTCAGGCCTAAACAAAGACCTGCAATTGGCAGATTTAGCTCTTTCATAATGTATGTTTAATAGTAATTTCTGACATGTTGTACAATTTTTATATGAAAAGCCTAAAAGGTCTTTGCACTTGGAGTATATTGGGGTTACCTTGTTAAATGGAGGACATCTATAGATTTCTTACAATTACTGCTTAAGTTAATTCTCATGATATCCTTTAACTCCTTTGATACCACTGATAACACTACATGAACTTTTTTGTTGGTGTCAAGGAATTTTGAGACTATGGATTTCAAGTACTTTTGGACCACAGTTAAGTTTGTGGACATTTTTTGAGAACATTTTATTGCTTCTTAGACCCCAGCTAAATGTTCCATTGCCAAACAATTTATGTTGGAATTAATTATTAAATTTGCGAAACTTGGTTATTGTCTTTGATGTGGCTCTGTCTACACAGTAATTTTCTTACTTCCTTAATTTCACGGTGAAATAAGTCCCATAACTCCTCCACCTCCTCAAGCTTTGCTACTGGTTAAGGTAGGTACAGTTTGTTATTTCAATCTTGACTTCTTTTATTTATGTTTCAAATTTCTTTTTTATTTTAGGATAAAAGTAAAGGTAGGATTCCAGCAAGAGCCAAATCTGATTATATGAATTCCACATACTCCACAAGTCATCCACCTTTACCTTATATCCAAGATAAAACTTACCAAGAAGAGAGAGGTTACCCTGGCAACTCTGGTTTCCCTGCTTTCATTGATACCACCCCTAATTACCCTGCTGGTGCTCCACCCCTCTCTATGAGTGGCAGTGCTCCAGCACCTACTGGCTATTATAATTTAGAAAAATCAGCCTATGTTCAAGATCAAGTAAATTAATCAACAGATCGTACCTATTTTTGTTTTAAATATCTCCCTTTTTACAAGCAGCATTATATATGTACTATAAAATACTAAAATTTGCCATGCCAGCATTACTTTTTAAAAGTGACGTTTTTTTAAATAGTATTATGTTCTTTCCTTTGTATTATTTCTTGATATTTAAAATGGAGTGATTGCACCATTGAACATTATATTCTTTGTATTTATCCCACTTTCATTTTAAATCATTTAGATGTGTAAAAAGAATTCCATTAAAACAATTTAACTGGATAAATCAATCCATTAATTTGTAAAATCCATTCAGATACATTTAATCATTCCTTTGCCATTAAGTGCTTTATGCAAATATGAAAAATATTAACTAGAGCTAGTTTAAGATTATTCAGAGCAGAAGTCATATTCTAAGTTCAGAGATAACTAAGTCATAATAATGTTAGATTCTTTTATTATATATTCCAATTTCCATACCAGTATTTCCTTGCCTTTTTTCTAACTATCATGTTTTAATAGAAATTCATGGTTTTATGTATAAATATAGCTTTTTAATCTATATTGATATTATTATGTTATATAAATCTAATCCTGTGATATTTATAAATTATTACTAAGAACTTATTATGTTATTGTAGAATAAACTGTTTTATTTGCAGTTAATTGTTCATGTATATTCAAAAAGCTAATTTCTAAAACAGTTGGCCAGAGAAGCTTGGGATACTGAACATGCAGTGGAAATGGGTATCAGACTACTGGAGCCATGGTGGCTGATCAGTCAGAATGGTGCTGGCTCACCAACAAGGGGGATCTAGTTCTCATTCTTGTGTTATCTGAGAAAGTTTCTGACCTTGTTAGTGGGTACAGAAGGCATGACAAGGAAAAATTGTCTAGTTCGAAAACAAAAATGGTCTGTGTGCTTGTTTGCAAGCATTTAAAAAGAGCCCTCGACAATTTGAATTTGATGAAGAGTAGCAGGACACGTTGCTGCCTCAGCAGCATTGCCCTCATAGCCCACTACATGGCATATGCCCTGATGGCACAGAAATGTAGGATGTTAAGCCTTGTGTAATTTCATTTTCTGTCTGGTTCTTACACCTGGACTGATAAACAAAAGGTGTTGTATAGAAGACAAATTGGTAGAATAGAAGGAAATGCCACTATTCACTGGTTGTTAAAAATAACTGGCAAATTAATGAAGCTATGGCAATAGTTTGTTTTTTGACAATCAGGTGTATGGCATAAAGCAAGTAGTAAATATAACCACAAGTTTCTTATGATAAATATTGTCTCCCTTGTCTGTTGACACAAGTTTTGGGAATGTTTGGAATCCAAGTGTTGTTCGATTTAGGTTTGGCTTTATAATTCCATCCATTAAAGGTGGTTTAAGTTTGAATTGATTCCCCCATTAATCTTGATTGTAATCATGAGTTCAAATTGGAATAAGATGCTTATTTATTCTTCCAAGTTATTGACCTTCACTTAATTCAATGTTGTCCATAATATAAATGTTTAATTCTGTTAACTCCTGTAAAGTTTCAAACGCTGGCTGTCACAAAGAAAAGAGAGAGAGAAATGGGGGTTTAACATCCACTCAACACACATTAACTCATTTTGGGACAAATATGGTATTATTTTATTTCAATAATTTATTTGCATGTAGAGTTCTTTAGTGGGAAAAAAATTGTAGGACCCGGAGAAAACTCTATATAAGGTTAATTGGGCGACCTTACTCCTCGTCATGTATAAGTGTGGGGTTGAAACCACGCCACTTGACTCAATGCTAGACCTTATAAGATTTAAAGCACATGAGGTGGACCCTTCAGCCACCATACCCCATCTTGAAGTTTAAAAGCTAATTTTCATTTTATTGTAGGGCACACAAAAAATATATTCTAGTTCTGACAATCCTTACCAAAAATCTGATGAGGGAGGAAGTTTTTTTTTGTGTTTTTATTTTCTTAAGGCTAAATCACTTTTCATAAGCATCACATTGCAAGGCACTACATTTACCTGATCATGTTGTTTATAGGATTATATGATTTATCCAGTATCATTTATGACTGTCAATAACATCTATCAGGGTTGCATACTTGAGCCTATGCCACATTTCTGGATTCATTCAAATTTTTTATAGAGCTACTTCCTGTAATCAGGGTAAAAGATTTGGGTGTGGTAAATAATACGGGTCATGCACCCTTTTTAAGTGAAGCAGGATTATCTGAGAAGCAGACTATTTTTTTTATTTGGCCTGATTAACATCAAAACATGAAACATAAATTATTCATTTTTTTTATTTTTGTGTATAAAGCATATGTGTACACATTTATATTTTTACATAAATAGGATAAAAATAAAATAATCACAAACTTGTTCTCACTGATGAATTGTTCTAGTCATAATTTTATTGTATGATCCATTATACTGATAAAATATCTAGTAGTACCATAGTGTAAATTGTTCAAATACTAATAAGTACATGTAGATTTTTATTTGTTTAAAAGAAATTATTTTTTAATTTGATTAAGTAAAAAACTTATTATTCTAATTGCACCTAAGGTAATAAACCCACGTATTATGCTGATTAGAACTTTATTATACCAGTCACACAGCATTCTTTACCTATCATAATGCCAAAAGTACATAATGATGAAAATCACCACCTTGCATTAATACCCTGCGACAAATTATTTAAGATCCTACTAGTAGATGGCAAAACGGATAAGATCGCAAAATTCTACATTTCACAACAATCTTTAATTAACCCAATTAAGAATTGTAGCATTTAATTCATTTATTGTAAACAAAATAAACTTAAAATTTGAAAAATATCAAGAAATCTTTCAATAAAACCACTATAATAAATATTAATTTTAATCATCAAGATAGAAAAAAAAATGTCATAATACAGATATTTGATAAAAAGTGGCTAATGCAAATGTGATGATATTAGAGATCAAGAAAAATGTCATGATAAAGGTTATTGAATAAAATCAATGTTATATAAGACATTAGATAAAACTTTACAAAATAATATTCATAAAGACATTGAAGCACAATTTTCTAAAACTAGCCTTAAGAAAAATATAAAAAGTACAAGTATGATTAAAGATGATATTCTTTGCTTAAAACATTTTATATTTCATTTCACTATATTAAAGTCAGATTTATTGTTAGATGTTTACTAGAATTTTACACATATTCCTTATGGGTGTTATCAAATGTGCAAGCAAGCATCAGACCTCATACTCAAATTAAGCTTAATCTGCAGACAACAAATTAGACCTGAGAAAGGAATAAACGCAAACTATTTTAGTTATTAATGTCATTACCCGTTTCATACACAATCAATCTTTTTACATTTTAGACCTTTGAATTTAATTTAAGGACTAAATTTTAAGAAATTGAATAGAAACATAAATACACATGTAGATCTTATGAAGAGAAAAAACTAGGAATTGTAGAAATCTATTACAAATGATAATACCGAAATCCATACTACTCTTACTAAATATTTCATACAGTTATTAAACCCTCCTCTTTTAACATCTTGGAAGATAAGGGAGTTTAGACGGCTGCATGAATGCAATTAATAGTATTAATGTTCGGATTTTCAATAAATACAACCAAATTACATATATGGACGTATAAAAACAATCTTCTTTCATCTTAAAGCATCATGCCTGGAACTTTTAAGGCACTTAATTCACAGTTGCTTAGCAATAAATATGTAATTGTTCGTTGTTGTAGACTGACTAAACTGTTCTGTGTTATATATAGACTAGTACTTTACATATTTTGATAACATTATTTAATACTTTAATACATATATTAATCATTGTATCCTTTTCCAATTATAATAATCATTATGAATAAAATTATAAACAACTATATGTACACAATTAGTTTCATTTGTTTAATAATATTATATTACTTAGTCTGCAAAAATCGTCAGATACCAAGAACTCAAAATCATATCAAAATTAGTCAGCATCAAATCTAAGGAAACTGGTAAGATATGTCTTATTCACAATACTCTTAACTGTTCAGCATTTAGAACATTATTTATATCATTATATTTTTACTACCGAAAAAGTAATGAATGAAAAAGTAATGAATATCATCGTGCATGAATATATATATTAACTTTTAAACAATTGACATTCTATAATTTATTAATCAATTTACACACAAATATACATTAAAATAAATTTGATCTCTCTTGATGCTGACATAGTTGATAATTAAACAAAATTTCGAGTTGACATGATATTTCAAATTCAAGCTGACATGATATTTCAAATTATAAGATTATTTGATTAATTACTAATTTATTTTAAATTATCAGATTATTTGATTAATTACTATTTTAAATGTCTATAAATTGATCTATTTTGGCTATAGATATTATAAGATAAATCACTATAATAAATAATGCTTTGATTGATCACTCTCCTGTTATATATACAAGGACTGAAGGGGTTGTTATCCTATAGAGCACCACTGAAGTAAACAGATATGTACTCAACTCATGGAAAAAGTATATTTTGGTAAATGCACCAGTGTTGTAATTTCTATAGAGTTATGAATGACTGCAAGACTTGATGTTATAAAATAGTGATAAATCAAAGCACTAATAGATAATCGTGGAAACTAAATAAATCTTTAGTCCAATGTCATTGTCACTTTCTCAAAACTAATATTTCCCTTGTCATTTCACCTCCTTTACTGACAGTTTACATCAGTCCTGTTGTTAATGGAACACTTCCCACAAAAGTCTGCAATATGGTGCTGGTTGCATGAAGCTCCATGACATACATGATTATTTCCTCTACTAAACTTACATTGTAGGCATTGTGGCAGCGACATTTTACTACAGTGCCACATCACAATTATCGTAAACATCCTATTGAGTACATTTACAGAGAGACAGGTACTGAAACAAAATATATAAAAAAGTAGGCAGGGTACACTTCTGTAGTACTCTATATGACAAACACCCCTTAAGCTATAGCCCTGATTTTTTGCCAGACTTTTATATTATATCATAAACACAGACTTTACTTTAACACCCCAACCTTAAAACACAACCTGCGATATTATCCTGATTCAGGATATTATTATATTGGGAATCCAGTGTTGTCGGCTTTCAGAGGTTCTACACATAAATTTCTGCAACATTCTTTATATTAAAATAAATCTGCTTATTAATTCTAAGGCTAACATAAATTCTCTTTCCTTTTATTTAGCACAAAATGACAAATAGGTTGTTGTGCATAGCAACCATTGAAAAGAAACTGTGTGTAATAGCTTGATTTAATGTCCACTTTCACCACAGTGAGATTGCAGACAATAAGAGAAACTAGTCTATAGTTGAAGCAGCCAAGATCGGTGAATTTTTAAAAACACTATTATAGATAACTTGTTTCATTATCAGATTCTGCTTCATTTTCTTCTACATCTTCTACATCCTCCATCTTAACATCTCCTGGTTCAACGTCACTATTACTAGATTCTAACCATTTCTGTACCCTATTTGAAACTTCTTGTTGAAATGCGTATTCATCCATTAGAGCTTCAGCTTCTAACATTGAACGTTTACGTGGAATGGACTGCATTTCAATAGGTTGCCAATGTTTCGGAACCAAATTGGAAGTGCTGCCTGGAAGATTAGAACTTTTTGGGAGATCGTCATCAGTATCACTTGGTATAATCACAGAATGGGAAGAAGGTATACATTTATCATCATGAAAAGAATGCAAATTATGATTAGCTTTATCCGACATAACGTTACTAAGAAGAGCCGTCACTGGCTCTATTTCATTATTTTCTTTCCATGGAGGAGGTATATTGTCTGTTTTATCTTTTTGATCGTCATTCACAGTCTGAAAAACTTCAAACACAGATGGCTGATTATTGACGGGAGGTGGAGCAGTAATTGTGGTTTCTGGTGAAACATATGGTGACCCTGAATCTTTCAAATGATGATAAGATGGATTACAAGCCCAAGAAGGCAGAGGTGAAAACAATGGCCTGTCATCATCAGGCATGTCTAATGATGCAGCAGACGGTAAGGGATCATTTGTGACCTGTCGTTTCCATGGCAATGACCACTCTACTTCTGTTTCTGTTGGTGGTGCAGGACGTGGTGGTTGTACTTTTATGGCTGGGGGTGGAGAGGGACCTGCAAAAAATAAAATACAAACGATTCATGAGCAAACAAATGGAAATAAAGCCAGAAAATTACACTATGTGAGTATGCAACGGTCAACCACACACCACATCCTTATCTATCTTACTGTCCTCAAAGTTTGTGGCGCAAGGAGCAAGGTCATTTCATACCTCTCAGAAGACAAAATACGTAGGCCTACTATCTTAAGGTAAAGACTGTAGTTCTCCTTCCCAAACACAGACTTGAACCCAGGAAATGTTCTCAAAAATGCAACCCGACTTCTGAGATGGTAATGTGTTCTCCATGATTTTCATGTACCGGTAACTCATGTACCAGCCCTATAAAATGCACCCATACCTGGTTGAATCATTCACACTTCTGTAGATCTTACCGTGGACTGATCCTCCCCCTCGCCATCGAAGTGAACGTCTACAGTTTGCCCAACAACACCAGAACACAGGCAATGGAGAACTGTTCTGTTCACAGATGAAAGTCGGTATTGCGTATCAACTGCAGATGGCAGAACCAGAATATGGCGTTGACGTGGCCACCGTTGTTCTGACCAATATGTCATGGAACGAGACTCATGGGGAGGTCCAAGCATAATGGTTTGGGATGGAATCGGCCTGAACCAGAGAGTGGGTCCTGTGGTGTTCCAAAATCTTGGTCCAGGGAGAGGAGGCGGCATCACAGCAGTGCGCTACTTTGATCGAGCTCTCAGACCCCACGTCATACCACATTTCGCACGTCATCAAAACGTTTTCCAGCATGACAACACCCGTGCCCACACTGCCAGAGTTAATTGGGACTTTCTACAGCAGAACGGTGTCAACATTATGCACTGGCCAGCCCTAAGTCCGGACTTAAACCCGATTGAACATCTTTGGGATGAAATTCAGAGGAGACTTAATAACAATGCATTGCACCAGGCTTTACTGAGAGTGTGGTTCCAGGTGCCAATGGCATTCATCAATCGTCTGGTCCACTCCATGTACAGACACTGTACTGTTGTTATTGACACTCGCGGTGGACACACCAGATACTGATGTACAGACTGTGTGCAGACTCTAAACCTTCTCATAATGTCTTTTTAGTAAGTCATTTTCTAGAATGATTTGATTAAAGTGCCTCTTTGATTTTGAAATCGTACTGACGTTTTTTATTCGCTTAAGACACATAAATGAACATAATTTAAGTTAGAATCAATTGATTTAAATAACTGTTTGACTTGTGCACAAACTGATTAAAACACAGATCTAATTTTGTTTCATTTTTTATAGTTTAAAATTTTATTTTACTAGTCTTTACTACACTAGGATCTGGACGAGTTGTTATATAACCTGCGTTCTGGATGATGTGACAAAAGCCGCTAATATCACCCCTGACACGACTTTCCACTACAACTGGTCAGATCTTCATGTAGTAGAGGCCATTGAAAGCATAAAAAACGAAACGAAATATAATATGTATTTTAATCAGATTGACTTGTGCATGCATACGCGTATGGGCTCGATGACTGTTGGGGGGGCGGGGGGGAGGACCCGAAAAGCCCGAAACAATTTCAGATTACAGATGGTGGCACCAGGAGCGGGACTTACCGTATAGGGACCCCCCAAAACAATCTGGAAAATTTGATGGCCGCATGCACGTTTTCCTGCTATTCCAGCCTGTGAATACAGCAACTTCAAAGTGATCTAATATAGCCTAATCAACCAATCAATCGTTTACAGTTCACAGAGAGAGGTTCGTCAGGAGAAAATTTTGAAAATGTGACTGCCGCAAACGCTTTGAGTCCGTGAATACAGAAACTTTAATGTGGTCCAATATAGCCTAGGGTTTTAATAATTTTATAGATAATAAAACGCACACAATAATATTATAATTTGTATTTAAAACAAACTAATACTCACTTTTAATTGCATCTACAGGTGTAATTTCTGACAGACCTAAGGTGAATTTGACATGACTTTTATCACTTTCTGTAGGAGAATTAGGGCATTCCTCTTCGATTTCTGAAATGATAAACCAAGATACCCATTTTAAACACTAAATAATAAAGTTTCAAATCTGAACACTAAAGGGGAATAACTCCTGTACTACCAGCGCACTATTTCAGTAATAGCATGGGAGACTAAACTGGTGTACATTCTGTAACCTGGTAATTATTCTTCTGTCAATTCACAATGGCTTAAAAATATTATTTTGATAAAATACTTAGATTACGGGTACTGAAGATTTGTGAAAAATTAATGGTCATGTATTCAGCTGAAAAAAGAATCATCTTAAAATAGTGGAGAGTCTGATAAGATTTTCTCTAATGATTTTTTAATGAGATTTGTCATTGTTAGTCACAATACATGATGTAAGATGATATCATCTTTGTCAACATAGTTTTTTACTTTGTATCACTTGGTTAGTCAGTTGTGTCCATCAATAATTAGTAAACTTAATGGTGTTGATCCATAAATATTTTGTAAAAAAAATCAAAAATAAGTATTATTATACTTAAATAATGATACAAATCTGAACACAAAAAATATACAAAACAAGACTAGACTGGATATAAAAAAAAAACATTCTTTAAGTACTTGTATTAAGATTGCCTCATAAAATTCACAGAAAAAAGAATTTAAGGATAACATGGAAAATGGTTCAGAGTCATATACACATTATCTATGTAGGGTATCAAACTGCTTTCCTACTTGTAACTAAATTTGAAATATATTGATGCAGGTCTAATTATCTGCAAAGTATGTTCTTTTAACTGCCCCTGCCAACAGAAAAGAAATTTCTTTTTTGGAAGAAGTTCGAAAAGATCTCCCAAAAGATGTGCTTAAAGCAAAATCAAACATGAATTCAAAATTTTGTCTAAAGACAAAATCCTGAACTATTAGGCCATAGTGGACCACAAATGAATTCTTAAATATTCAATGAAAATTAATAGAAAGAATTAAAAAATATAGGCAATGCTAAGATAAATTTCTTTTTTGAAGAAGTATGAAAAGATCTCCCAAAAGATGTTCTTAAAGCAAAATCAAACATGAATTCAAAATTGTGTCTAAAGACAAAATCTTGAACTATTAGGCAATAGTGGACCACAAATGAATTCTTAAATATTCAATGAAAATTAATATAAAGAATTTAAAAATATAGGCAATGCTAAGATAAATTATAATACAAATACTATCTCCCTTAAAATCTGATTGAAATTGACATATGCTTGTCTGCATGAAGAAGTTGAACACAAAATCTTTTCTTATTGACTAAAATGTTAATTCTATCAGTTTGCCTAGCTCTAATATAACTTATTCCCAAATTTCTGCTGGGCTGAACATTCTCTACCAAAGATGGAGTTACATCTGACAATGCCCTACTTCAAAGCTTGCATTATGAGGATGACTATGGAAATTTTGAGAAACACAATTTGGAAGTAACATACTAGTAATCGTGTAACTATTTTCCAACAATATCACCATAACCTTTGAACTCCACTAGTCTTCTGCCTCTAAATCATGAATATAAACCCAAACCTGGCAGAAAATGATAACTTTTATTGATTCTAGGCCAAAAGTTAATGAAAATGGCCATGCAAAAAGAGGGAAAATTCGGGTAGGTGGGGTTACCAAGGGGAGGAAATTGGTGGTCTGCATCCTGTCAAAAGAAGAATATTTGGTGGTCTGCCTCCAGTTAATTTTTGTCCAAATAGAGTTTACTCCCTTATAAATCTCACCCAACTTAACGTCTGCTAGGCTTTTTGTTCATTTGGACTTAAAACATGAAAAGGCAGAGAAAGCCTTGATTGATTGTAGTCCTGAAAGGGTAAAGAAGCACCCAATTAAGTGAAATCCATGATCGAGGTAGGTGCTGCTTTCTATCTGATCTTTGAAAATTGGTTTATTGCTGGTTATGCTCAAAATACTGGGTAGTGTTCTAAAAATAGGGGTTTCAGATCATGTGATTTTAGCATGAAATTAAGACAGTCAACCGCTGAAATTTAGCCCACTTTCAATCTACGATTCTGAATGTAATACTAGTGATTGTATTGTAATACTTTAATATCAATCTCAAGATTCAGACTCAAGAATTATCGAAATGTAAGCAAAATTACCGTTTATGTACGGGAGACACTCGGATATCTAAGAGCAATAATTATGTGAAAGTTGTTGCAATTGTTATTGAACAATTGAACAATCTGTTTAAGCTTTAAATAAATCCAACCATATTCACAACATTTCATAAAAAAAGAGGATGGTCCTGTGATTGGGAATTGAAAAATTCTGAATTTCGATACCTTTGAGATTGCTTTGAGAAACTGAAAATGTTAGAAGTTGACAGACAAAAGCTATAAAGAACCATGGCATATAAGTTCTAAGAAAGTCAGGGGTTGATCCAGAGGGGGAGTTTGGGGGGGTCCCCTCCCCCCCCTGCCCCAGCTACATAAAAAATTTTTTTTGTAAAACAACCTTTTGTAAGACAACCTTTTTTATGAGAAAAGTGTCATAATTTGCTTTATCCTTTATGGTCAGATGGTGCGACAGGATGGGCACTCAAAGCGCGGGATAATGATATAGATGCTATGCATCAATAATTAAATTAAATGATGATAGAGACCATGTATTTCTCAAAAAATTTCAAGCCGAGGGGGTGGGGGATACATTTTCTCAGGAACCTGGCAAACCCCCTTCTGCAAAAATTCCTGGATCCACCCCTGAAAGTGTTTACATAAGCATATAATAAAATATTGCAACTTTCTCTAGAAGATATAGCATAAAAACAAAGAATGAATCTTCCAAAAATAAAAGAATATCTTTTTTTTATATTATGTAAGTAACTGAACACAAACCTTGCATTGGTTGAGCTGTAGTTGTTGGTAGTTCACTAAAACTAACGTTTTTAGGAGGTTTAGGTGCTTCTATCACAGTATGTGCCACACCATTTTGTTGTTGACTAGATTTTAAACGATATGCTTGACTAATAAATCTTCGTAACTGAAAACGTTCTTTATGTCGGAATGGTGGATGATTATGAACTTCTGACAACTGATAATGATTCTCTTTTACCCACTAAAAATAGAAAAACATTCCTAACATTACAGCTACATTTATATCCTCATTAAGTCTACTAGAATTCCTTCCCTTTTACTTTTGAATCTAACACAAAAAATAGAATTTAAATTAGACCATCCAGGATAAATGTAAAACAAAACAAAGACAAAACAAACCATACAGGAACACAGAACCAATATCATAAGAAAACATAAAAATAGAAACAGAATAAATTGAAAGATATGGAATGAAAAGAGATTTGATTATAAAATTTTTCTCCATGGTTTATAAACCGTTCTCAATTCCAACTGTTTTAAATCCACTTGAGTAAAGCTATTCTTAAAAACCTTACAAAACACAAATTGAAAACATGTAGAAAGTATTTTCAATATAAAACATTGCTTCGAACTGTTTCACTACTGAACACCAAATGCTGAAATACACAGAATCCAATCACATTTGATTAAATCTTCTGTTTTAAGTGTCTGCAAAATCATTCTATAGACTGGCACTCATTTCTGTTGTATGGTAGAAGGTTTTATTCTGCCCACTGAAAATTGTTCTTCAAATAATGCATTCAGAGAAACTTTTTTCAACAGATAAAAATCCTAGAATTATCCTGTATGTTTAGTGTTATGATATCTAAGCTAGAGTGGCTGTAGTTATAGTAGATCTATTCCAGTGTGTGTGTGTGAGATATTGACTGACGCATCGTGGGAATATTAAATTATAACACAGACTTCACAGTAATCCATGTGGAAAGATGGTGAAGAGAATCCTTTTGAAAGCAAACAAAAAGCCTTGAAAAATCTATCACTTGTGATATTATGTGTTCATCTTGAGTTACTTGATTACTTAACACAGAATGATTGAATCGAAGAGATAAACTTTTACAATACATACAGCTAGTGTAACAGGTTGTCTCAAAATGAAAGCACTATAATCTTGTCTGAGTGAGTGAATATAAACTACCACAAGGTATACTATTGGCACTAAACCAGCAGGGCATTCATGCGGGATAGTGCCTTCCACAGTGGAAAATCCTAGCAATATGTCACACATATTGAAATGTTATCTTTCTAATAAAAAAATAATCTGAATTACTAAAACTGAGAGAGACGCTGTTATTTAAAATATTTCATCCTAGTTTCTCTTGTATATAAAACATCTACAAGTACAATTCTACACTGAGGTTAGTATTTTAACACTGATCATAACCTCCTTAGATAAATAATAAACACTAAATACCTGCCTGAAGTGTCACTTACAGCACTAAAACCTCACTGTAGATTCTAGAGTAGCCTTTTCTACTAGAAACTTATTATCTATTTTGTTATGGAACAGAGTATGGATGCAGCCAATCTAACTAAACTGTCTAGTCAATTGGTTAGGTGGCTTTGACTCTGCTACCCAAAAACAGTCTTTGTTTTATTTATCTGGGGTTATATATCGAACTGTCGATCTTAGATAAGATTATGATCAGTAAAGGTTTCTTGGGTGTGTGTATTTAGTGACGAAGGGGAGAAAGTGACAATACAATTGTCACAAGTAATTAATTTTCATTTATCACATTTCTGCCTCTGTACATTGTATTTTAAATCCTAATATTTCTGTACTTCTAATATAACACATATTGAAATATGAACATCTAGATCATGTATAAATACGTAGAAAATCCAATAGGACAATTCAATATATCAAATATCTATTATATGTACATAATATATTTCCAAGAAAAAAAAACCTGTTCATAAAGCTTTTATGACGTTATGACGTATTACAACTTCATTCATATTGAATTTCTACATACCTGTCTGGGTACTTATTGAAATAGTTGACCTTTACCACCCCCACAAAAATAATATTGACATTTACTCATATTACACCCACCACTGACAACATTCATTGGAGACATTTCAGAAATGAATAATAATTTTAATATTTATTCCCTTTTATGAAACAAATACCCAAATAATACAGGTACAAGTTACCCTACCTTATACATTAATATATATATATTGTCCTCTGTAAAACAGACATCTACCTTGTGCACAATAAACTACAATTATTACAGTAATTTTCTTGTTTTAATTTAATTTTTGACAAAAAGGGTCATGGGTAGATATATTACCCAAAATATCTTGTAGAATTCAGACTCGACTGCTGGTTGACAAGATGACTAACTGACAAGTAAATGTTTATTATTGTAATTCTAGCACAACAATTTGTTAACAAAAACTTATTACATATGACATACAAATGTATAGCTTGACACAGTATATATTCTGTACCATTTACACACTGTAGGTCATTCAACCTATACTGAATTATTTGATTGTGCTTACTGTTGCTATGTATAGGTAATGACAATATAATGTCCACCAGTAGTGTTTACAAGGTATCGGTAACAGGAGCAATAACAATTAACAAAGATGGCAGAATTTGGAACTGGTTTCTCTCTAATGCAATCTATCAAACCCAGCAAATTTCAAAGAAAATTCCTAAACCTAGACAAGAGCAGCAAAGTCGTCAGTTCTGTCTCTAAAATCAATTTCAATAGATCTTCCTTAGCAAGTTAGGAAAAATCCAATAATTTCTTAACAAAATGCCATAGCAAAATGTTCTGCGATTGCGTTTACAGGCTTTACATATTAAAATATGAAAACACATTTGAAATTTATAGGATGATAACCCCAAAATTTATGATTGGACAAATTTGAATCAAAACACCTGTTGTGTATAAGAATTGTGGACAGCTGAAGAGGGGTTACGAAAATATACTGATTAAGTGTGGGTCAATAAAGGATATACATGTTGTCATTCAAAGGTGCAAAGAAGATTTCTGGTGACATTGAATTAAAATGTCCCAACTTGAAAGAAATCACTCATTAGAAATGTACTTCTTCCATCATCCACCTTACATATCTAAACCAATTAGTAATAAATTTCTGGTCAGATGATCCTTTTTCAATTAAATTCACACCAGCATATGATACTCTTCAAAATCAATACATTCTTAAGCACAACTACCTCATTCTCTATAAGCTGCCATAAGGTATCCCATTAAAAAACACAACTAAATACAACTAATATAATACATAAGCCTACCTGTTTACAATTAAATCAGAAAATCACTATGTTTTTAGCATTATTTTAAAAAAACGTTATATAGCAATAACTAAATAGCTAATCCAGTATTGACATTATCAGCTATTATAAATAGGAAGAAGGAAGTAAAACTTGAAATGAAATTTACTATGGAATTCCCTAAGAATTGACAAATCAATTTAAAATGTTAGAAATAACTACCAACCAAATTTGGTTGAAATGTCTAACTTTGCTGATTTGACTTTATAATGCCCCCAGCCTCAGAAGTTGAAAATGTAAAAATATTAACTGACAGACAGGCGGACAGAACGACGACAGAGAAGGGATATGACATTTAATTTTAAAAGATAATGTAACCTACCGTTTTTCGTGGTTTAAACATGGCATCTTCTAAAATATGATGTATTCGACTGTCATCTGCCATTTTCTTACTATAATATACATCTACGGCTTGCATGTCTAACACAGTTTTATTGTCTATAACAGTATCACCTGTGGAGGATCTGTTGGATAAAAATAATTACTTGTCAAAATTATACAGATCTCATGGATATTTTCCTCAATTTAGGTTGGGTTATTAAATATTATTTTTCTACCTAAATCTACAGTAGATCTTTTTCACTTACATAAAGTAAATTCTTAAATACTTCAAAGTTTATATAAATGTTATACCATGTTTAATCTTTCCCCAGTAGCAGACAGACGGCTTCCCTTATATTATATACATGATGTGTATATGTATAGCATGTATATATGTAGCATTTATCAAACCACACACTTGACTGTTTATATAGCAGACACTCCTCCCTAAATATCAATGAATACAAAATCAAATCAAGTTCAAATCTTGTTAATAACAGTCATGGTGCACCTGATTCCCTTACGCAGTACAGAAGGTTAACCTACGGATTTCAAAGTACTGAACTAAAGATCAACACAATGTAAATCTGATCACACAGCTTGATTCTTTCAAAATATGAAGTCATCAATGGATCATAACGTTGTTTTTATCCATTGTCCCAATCCCAAATAATTCAGTCTATTTGTTGTGGAAGAATAAACTTGCTAACAATAAAGACAGCGATCTTTTAAAATATAGATTGTATGGTGAACATACTGGCTGAATATTGATATCACGCTGGTATCACGTTTTATGCATTGAAAGCTATTTAACACAAACTTTAGTTCTAGCTAAGTATATATATATAAAACTAGTAAAATACCTATTGAAGCATTTTGAATATATAAACCTACACATGTACATATAATATAAACAGAACTAACCAATATACACAACACAATTCTGTGTAAATCATGACTTTGTGTGGGCTTCTATCACCCTTTTTCAATCTTTTATCGAATTTTACTAATAAAAGCAATTTATGACGTTCTTTATAAGATCAATTTACTATATCTGCATGATGTGTGCGTAGTTTATTCTGAGCTATTTATAGTCATTAAAAAGTCTGAGATTTCTAACTGAGGATAAAAATAGCCTGATTGTTATAAAACTAATAGGAAAGATTGAGTGAATGCCACTAATGTATCAATGACGTTAGTGTGAGTGTGAAATATATACAATTCAAATTCATTCCAATTAAATTGGTTGGAAGATAATAGATTGTATAATGTAGTAAAGTAATAATTTTCCATAAATAAGAAATTACTTAAAGATACATTATGGGAGATAGATAAAGAGCTGGCAGTTCTCACTATAATAGTTAACCAGCGGCTGTCAGGCAGGATACGCCCACATTTTGCAAGAGATGGATAGAGAACAAGCTAAACAAATATCGACAGGAACCAAGATCTTTGGATTATAAAGATATATTTCAAGTTTCATCAAAATCGGTTCAAAATTGTGATTCCTAGAGGGTCCACAACCTTGATATACCATATATTTACACTATTTGCGTAGGAGCCATTATGTCCGGCAGTTTTGGTCCAATTTTCACGAAATTCGAACTCAGCCGTCATTAGGGTGTAACAGTGATATATTCAAACGTTTTTTTAAATCAGATAAAAATTGTGACCTCTAGAGGGGGGTACACGAGCTAAAAACACTATTTTTCGTACAATTAAGGGCCATAATTCTGAAAGTTATGATCCGATATGCGCGAATATCAAAAGGAACCAAGATCCTTGGGTTATAAATATGTATTTCAAGTTTCATAAATTGTGGCCTCTAGAGGGTCCACAACCTTAATATACCATATTTGGAAAGAGGGGCGGGTATTTTGTCCGATCTTCAAGAAATTCGAACTCAACCATCATTAGGGTGTAACGGTGATATATTCAAACGTTTTTTTTTAAATCGGATAAAAATTGTTACATCTAGAGTGGCCACAAGCTAAAAATATGATTTTTCGTACAATCAAGGGCCATAATTCAGGAAGTTACTATTTGATATGCGCGAATTTTGACAGAAACCAAGATCTTTGGGTTATAAACATGAATTTCAAGTGTCATCAAAATCGGATAAAAATTGTGGCCTCTAGAGGGTCCACAACCTTGAAATACCATATTTTTACACCAATCGCATACAAGGAGGGGCCATTTTGTCCGGCAGTTTTGGTCCGATTTTCATGAAATTCAAACTCAAGCATCATACAGTGTAATGGTGACATATTCAAACGTTTTTTTTTTAAATCGGATAATAATTGTGACCTCCAGAGGGACCACAAGCTAAAAACGCAATTTTCCATACAATTAGGGGCCATAATTCAGGAAGTTAATATCTGATATGCGCAAATATCGTAAGGAATCAAGATCTTTGGGTTATAAACATGCATTTTAAGTTTCATCAAAATCAGATGAAAATTGTGACCTCTAGAGTGTCCACAAGCTAAAATCGTGATTTTTCGTACAATCAGGGGCCATAATCCATAAAGTTATGGACCGATATATGCCAATATCGACAGGAACCAAGATCTTTGGGAGATAGACCTATATTTTAAGTTTCTTCAAAATCGAATAAAAATTGAGACCTGTAGAGTGTCCACAAACAAATTGTGGATTGGACAGACAGGGGCGATGACAATATACGTCCACATCAAAATGTGGGCGTATAAAAACTAGATAATGTAAAGGCAATTTGCTGAAAAGTTCAGTCACATTGATCCACTATGAACCGAGAATTAAGCGATTGAAATTTCGGCGTAGCCTGGATCATCATTACTAAAATCGGTACAATTAAAAACATAGTCTCAATTATCCATTTCATGATTAAATCATGAATAAAAGTTGAGCAGCAAAGCGGATCACAATCCAATAAATATCGCAGGCTAGCTTTGACATCAAGAGTTGATTATGGTCTGATAAGTTAATTAATGTCTAATTAATAATTTGGATAACATTTGAGGCCTAAAGAAAGACCTGCAATAGGCAAGTTTAGCTCTTGCATAATGTATGTTTAGTATAGAATCTGGGACCAAATTCAGAAATATTTATTAAGAGAAAACCTGGTTGATTCAATAAGACTAACACATATTGCTAATATGATTTATAAATAGTAATAATAATAATAAGCACAATAACATAATACTGTACACAATCACTATTTTAATTGAAGCAACATTTCATGCAGGCTTTTCTCAACGTTATCAACATCGCTTTATTAAAATGGTAACTGAGTGCCATATCATCGTGTTTATTCCAAAGTCAAAGATTAAAGATACATTATGTACGATTTAGGTAAAGAGCTAGCCATTCTTGCTATAATAGTTTGAAAACAGATAATGTAAAATGAATAATTTGAAAATTTCATTCAAATTACTTTATTGCGAGCGAAGATATTAGCTTTTGAAGGTTTGAAAAGACATGTGAAATAATTTCAACCACCGTACTCCATTTTTGAATTAAATCAGAATATGGCTGAATCGTTCTAATCTATTTAATATCAGAGAAATCCGATGCCATCGAGAGTTGATTATGGCCTGAATCAGTTAATTAATGTTTAATTAATAATTTAGAAAACATTTCAGGCCTAAAGAAAGATCTGCAATAGGCAGATTTAGCTCTTGCATGATGTATGTTTAAATAATAATAACAATTATAAAAATCTTAACTAATCTACCTTTATGTGATCTTAATTTTTTCTTGCATATAATTTTCAGTAGTGTAAGGGTAAGCCTTCAACTGAACACTAATATAACACAGATATCACTCATTTCATATTGAACTTTAAGGATTGTAATTTTATTGTGAAATCGTCCATTACAACCCAGAACTTGACAATGGATTACATGTAGACAGGTGTGTAATGCTATTATCACAAATAGCTATATAATATTGAACTCTGTTTGGAGTAGGACAACTACCACTAGAATTCCAGCCCACTGATTAACATCCTCAAATGAGGTGGTATAACAGTTTAAAAGTTTACAGAAATTAGTCCATGTTAATATATGATTTATATATAGATCTATGTATGTTATTACAGTCAGTATGAACAAATCTTTTTGTGGCATTGCTAAATATAATTAAGGCATTTAATCTTACAATGGGACTATAAATATGAAGCTGTTTGCTATAAGGGAAGAAGTTTGTTACAAGAAAGAGGGTACACCAAATATAAAATATTTTTTTAAAAAATATTTGTCTCCTGTTTCATAATTTTGATGTGGACATTTTTAGTTGGGGTAAACAGGTCAGAATTATGTCAACAAATGATTAAAATATTTTGTGATGGTAAACCTGGTGCCACCTGGATCATGATTGACATCAGCAACATTTTATTTCTAAGATTACAGAAAATAATTTACGATGTCAGTAAGCTACTGTGTTATGAAAATTTATAAAGCTTGTATATTGACGGGATTATCGAAATTACCGTTTGTACTAAGTTAGGCTATATTGGACCACATTTTAGCTCAATTAGAAGGAGAGTTATTGTATCCCAAAAAGTGTGACGGACGGACGGACAGACAGACCGCCGAACAGACCCATTTTAATAGTCCCTTGGTTCACCTATTTATCGTTATTTTATGTAGTTATTACATACAGTACAATACAACAATATTCCTCATAACAAATTACCAAGAATTATTTTATTGAAGTCTGGTTTTATTAAAGGGAATGGAAGCTTAAAATTTTAAAACCCAGTTCCTACCAGGACCTCATTTGATCCAATTCTGGCCAGTTTGTTTCGAAATGGATTAAGAACCCTGCCCAATATCCATGTCCCGTAGGATGAAAAATATTGGTCCTCAGATCATACAAAGAAAGGTTCAGGTATTTAGATGTGTGGGCCTAGATCTTGGGCTCAGTGCACTGAACTAAGAATATTGGCCCGTCCAGTCTCTGCTACTCTTTTAGGGGAGTGTTGCCATTTCCTATACCCTTTGAATTAAAACAACTAATTGTCCCCAACCTTTTGAGGATAGAAGGGGACTATTAGAATAGGTTTAAAAATTAAAAGAAACTAGACCTGTCAAAGTGACAACTTTGAGAGTTTTTGTACTACATTATCAAACACTTACATATTAATTACAAATATCTAGTATAGTAATGTGTATTGTTGACTTTGACTACATAAAATTTTAAAAAAAAGTACCAGTTTGAAATTCATGTCAATAATAGTCCTGAATAAATTACTTTATTCTTTTTTTTCGATGGATATAAGTTGATACGGCACCATGGTATTTCTTCATAACAGAATTTGTAAGTTTTTTTTCTATCATGTAACTTCAAAATGTTTTTAATCCTTCGTCCATATCCATGATACCATATAGTGGCTGGTTCATTGTTTTACCAATCGGCTTGATTGAACTTCAAGCGACTAAAGCCGACAAAATACAGCTGATTAACTCTTTGAACTCTGGCATATATACCATGAACGACCCCCCCCCCCCCCACGGCCCGTGACAAAATATAAAATTGCTAATCACTCTAAGTGCCAACAAAAGCTATATTCTGCAAGTATGGTTCATGTGCTACCAGGAAAAATAGTTCTGAACAATACATATACATGTAATATGATTTTTCTTGGCAACATTTGCCATCATTGTTCCACAGTTTTCAAGTTCTCATCATCACTCTCAAGTATTCTAGCCAGTGCTTGATCTACTGTTGTGCGTTTGTTTGCCATTCATCGTGACAGTAAAACAATATTTTTAGGAATATTTGTGTTGTATCTGCGAGTGAAAAGGGGAAAGTCTTCACTGCAGACGACACATTGTAACATGTGTTCTGATAGGTCTAAACTTGATGGAATTCCAAGTGAGTCATGCCTAGGGAAGCGGGGATACCATCGCTACACATACAATGTTTTTCATTTATTCATTCATCCCTTTATTGATCCATTCATTCATTTTATGTCCCATGTGTTGTTTTAGTAACTTATTTAAATTTCAATCGATTTGTTTAATACTAATTAGACCCGAAGCCATTAATCTTATATTACCATATTCCTAGTGACAGTTGACATATTAATAGTTTTAACTGAATGATTTAATAATTTTAACTAAATGATTTAATAGTTTTAACTGAATGATAAGCATAATCCTTTTATTGAGTTTAATTATTGTCTTCTATATTTTATTATGTCCAATGTTTGTTACCGGTAACTGTAACTTCAATTCTAATCCTTAGATGCAAGCTTCTTTAAATACTAAATAGTACGAGATAGGTTTTATACTGTCACTCTGCCAGGCAGACATGCAACCCATTTGCCTTCTTAAGTACAAAAATCTTTGCCTAAAACAAAATTTGTTGTAAAGTAGTCACCTACTGATCATGAAATGCATTTTCATACTACATTACTATGGAAGGATAACGTTGCCAATTTTATTTCAATGTCAACAAGCTAAAAACGTGCTTTTTCGAACAATCAGGGGCCATAATCCATGAAGTTACAGTCCGATACATGGCAATATCGACAGGAACCGAGATCTTTGGGATATAAACCTATAGTTCAAGTTTCGTCAAAATCATATAAAAATTGTGACCTGTATGGTGTCCACAAACAAATTGTGGACGGACGGACAGGGGGGCGATGACAATATATGTCCACATAAAAATGTGGACGTATAAAAATATAAATTGTTTACACAACATAACAAATAAGTTCTTTGGGATATTGGCTTGATGGGTTGAAATAAATATTATGTTTATGACACATATTTCATTTTGTAACTCTAATCAAGAATAAATCATACTTACGGACATAAAGACTGAGTAGAATAAGATCGTATGACTTTAGCTAATGATGGCTCTTGTATAACAGATGGTGTTTTAAAATGGCCATGAGTGGCAATGTGATCCATGGCTTCCTGCATATTAATCTGCGTAAAAACTTTAAATATCTTTGTTTCTCTGGTTTTTGGTTTCTCTCGTAATAAAAATGGTTTAAGATATTTGGTGTTGTAATGCTCAAACCTGAAATGGGAAAGAACAAACATTCAATTTTATATCAATCTGAACTATGAAGACATAAACACATAGTTATATCATTCTTACATATTAGATTGATAATTCTCGCATGTTTTCAAAAGAGAAACCAACTATTTTTGATGGAACAATAAGTCTATTATAATATTAACCTACGCCTAGTTTTAATTCAGATTTGATCTTTGACCCTGAATATCTTGAAAACGCCCCAACGGCAGACTGATTACCACTTGGCATAGTATTCTACGCAAAATTTTACTGGTTTTGTGCCCATTTGATGGACACCCCTCCACACTGAGCCTCCGGTCTATTTCAGGGTAGAAGCGAAATTTTCTATAGCATTCTTCTCGAGAATATGTTTCTAAAGGATTTTCTCTGTCTTTCATAGTCTCTTTGGTATCAAAAGATGTAGGAAATGCCATCTTGTTTGAAGCAGAAACAGGCTTAAGGCTGGTAAGCAAGCCGTATACCTTGCTTGGGACTTGTGCTTAGATTGGGAATGTTTAAGATCGAAGTTGTGCTTAAGTTTTTTCTTGGAACTCATAATAACATGCTTGTGCTTACACTGAAGTCTACTTAAAATCTAAGCACAAGAGCGTGCTTAAGAATTTTCTAGGAATCGGGCCCAGATGTGCAATACAAGACACAATTTATCTAATAAATTCAATCCATTAAAATTAAAGGAGCATTCACGTTACTTCCCTACTGTAGCAAATGACTTTGTCTTTAACAAATTAAAATGCCTGCTGTGATACTACTTGAGTAACTGTAAACAAACAAAGCAGCGCACATGGGATAATAATCGTTGTTCTATAGGCTTTCTTAGTATATTTACCTAAATCCATGTTAAATCTAAGATATAATATAGTGGACTGTTGGGCTTATTGTAGGGAGATATTGTGGACTGTTGGGCTTATTGTAGGGATATATTGTGGACCGTGGAGTCTACATTTGTGATAAGATATTGTGAAGCCTATTAAGGGCAGAGGGAAACACAGAGAATGCTTACGCGAGGCCACAGCCTAGTTAGTCTGTGCCTTGATCAGGCCCTGAATCTAATAATGCTACATATTGTGTCAAACATTCACATAACTTCATACGTTTCTCAACAACATCACTTAATTGTGGAAACGGATGTTAAATAAAGCTTTTTCACACCAACTGAATCTGTATTGTGCAAGATAAACTAGAAACCATACTTGAAATGTTTCTCTTATTATCGTAATCGTATTCCATATAAGTTTTATGTTTTGTTTATTTTGGATGACAAAAGTCAGTCCAGATTTACATATACATGTTTCCTGTCATATAAATATCCCTATTTATCTGCTGTTGGATTTTAAGATTTATTTTCTGTATTGAAATTTCATCTCTTAATAGCATTTTTGGAAATTAAAGAAATAAGAAAAGGAAGAAATAACTTACTTGTCACGTAAAGAATTATGTCCTGTACGTCCAACAATATCTTCTATACCAGCCATTAAATGATCAATAAACTGAAAGCCAAAAAAGCAAAAAACAATCAAATATTCTTATTGATGCATTTGATCTTCATCAAAATAAACAGGTCTAGGGATGGTGGGTAATAAACAATATTTCATTATAGCCATTAATCTACCATTCTGCTGTAATGTTAATATAAGTAGCAGGATCATGTGGATTTTGAGAATATTTATCAAAAAAAATGTTACAAAAGGTAGAGATTTAATCTTATTCAATCTCAATCAAACTAATGAAGTCTAGAATTCTAAGAGTATGATAAGAGTAAAACAGTATCTCATTTCAAAAAATTATTAATATATTTTCTTCCTTCAGTGTTCAGTAAAAATCTTCAGTTTTAATAACCGTGAATTGAAAAGCTAGGAATGAAAGAAAACGAGCTTCAAAGATAAATCAAAACAAACCCTGAATCAATAGAAGTTAACACACTACAGTGATGTAAAGTACTATCTCTAACAATGGAAGATTAAACAATCTTTGCTCCACACCCCACAGGAATGAAAGAGAAAACCACCAAATGAAGAGACCCCCCAGCCCCAAATAACACCCTCTAACAATCAAAGACAATACCATCATCAATAAATGGGTAGAAAATTAACACTTGCCAAAAAAAGAAAATGACACCCTACGGCCTACAACATTTGAAAAGAACACCCAGTAACAATGAAAGAACAAACCATCCAACAATTGTACAATGAAAGAACAAACTGTCCAATAGTGAGTACAATGAAAGAGCAAACAATCCAGCAATGAGTACAATGAAAAAGAACAACTTGCCAAGAATAGAAGATGACACCCTACAAAAATTGAAAAGAACAATAGAAGAAAAAAAAAAACTCTCAAAAGAGAAAATTCCTGATTAGATTAATATACTCTTCAAAAAAAGTAGGGGATATTTGATTTTGGGGGCATAATACTAAAATATGCAAATGACTACGAAAAAAGTCACTATAGAACCTAACAGAAGAAACATTTCCAGTTACATGTGACGCCCAAACGCACCAATAGCTACTGCATGGAATGCAGGTGATGCTTGGGATCATCATGGGGGTCCAACCCAAGATTTGCACGACTCTGACTTTGAATGTTACAGTCATTGTGGCATTGAATTCCAGGGTGGAAACATCAGTTTAATTGTTTTAGTGACCAGAAAACAAATTTTGATATGCGTCGGCTTACCCAAAATGAAAGGTTACGTGCCCTTGGCATGCTACAGATCGGCACAACACAGGCGGTTGTGGCGCGGACGATGAATGTTTCTCAGTCTGTCATAAGCAGGCTATGGTCCAGATACCGTGATACACAATCTGTACAGGACAGACCACGCTCAGGTCGACCAAGGGCGACAACTCAAGCCCAGGATCGATTTATCCGTACCTTGGCCTTGAGAAATCGTGTCATCACAGCAAATCAGATCAGCGTTCGTCTTCAAACAGACACTGGTGTGAGAGTGAGTGGCCAGACGACTCGGAATCGACTGCATAGGGGTCACCTTCGCGCCCGACGTCCTCGCGTGATCCCTTGTTTGAGAGATCATCACATTCAGGCAAGACGTCGTTGGTGTAGGGATCGTCAACACTGGGATAATCGACGCTGGAGCAATGTGATGTTTTCAGATGAGTCAAGGTTCACTGTTGATTTTTTGGACAGACGTAGGAGGGTGTGGCGTCGTCGAAACGAGCGCTTCCAAGACGTTAACGTCATCAGACATGATCGATTTGGGGGTGGTTCTGTTATGGTGTGGGGAGGCATCACTGTTGCTGGAAGAACGGCTTTACATGTTGTTGCAGGGCGTGTTACAGGCCAGTACTACCGGGACAACATCTTGGCAGTCCATGTTGTGCCGTTCGCACGACGTCATGGCCGCCGTTTCATCTTCCAGGATGACAACGCAAGATGTCACAGGGCCAGGATCGTTACAGGTTACCTCCAACAACAGAACATCACCACATTACCTTGGCCAGCACTGAGTCCCGACCTCTCCCCCATCGAGCATGTCTGGGACATGCTTGGACAGAGGTTACGTCAACGTCAACAACGTCCTGCCAATGTCCAAGAACTTGCTGCTGCGTTGCAACAGGAATGGGACAATCTGGACCAAAATGACCTTAGACGTCTCATTAGGAGTATGCCACGTCGGATCAATGCTTGTTTGGCAAACAGAGGAGGATTTACCCGTTACTGACTTGGTTGTGATGCTGTGGTAACTTTGTTGTTTGACCCCGGGTATCATTTTACCCTTATAATGGTCAGTCTGTGCCTTACTTAGTCTAACGATCATTTGGAATAAATCGATGAATGTGAACTTCATTTCATTTTGTCATTTGTTTCTTCGTCAGTTTCATTAGGTGACTTTAATAACACTTAAAAATCAAATATCCCCTACTTTTTTTGAATAGTATAAGTCAAGTTTGAACATCAGTTAAAGTGTATAGAATGATGAGTATATCTTGACCAGTTATCTAGCATTAGTCTGGTCAAATATTTCCTTCACAGCATATTCCGATTCCAATAATCACATCATACAGGTAGTTATCAGAAGGCTAACCACATAGAGACATTGTCATGATAATGTAATATAACTTTTAACAGTGTGGTATAAGCATCAGGAGTAAAAGCATAGGGGTAGTAGGGGTGATAGGTCACTTTATATCTTTGTAAGTTCACATTCACTTCTGTTCATCAGTATTTCCATCCCAGTTTCTCCATGTCTGTGAGAAGAGACAAAAAACCAAGGTCTACCTGTATAGGTGTTGTCATGCAGGGTAAAATTTCCTTCATTGTACATGGCGTGACATATGCATGAGCTAGCTGTTTAGCAGGACATTTGATTTCACATCCACTTTTAATAGTGTACCTCCTTTTTATGATATTTCTTTATCTTCATCAGCCATTATGTAAACATAACATTAACAACTACATGTATGTTATTAAGTTAATGAACTAAAAAAATATGAATAGACCATATTTTATGATACAGACAGTGTATACAATATAGACACTACAGTATGATTAGATATAGGTTATTCAAAACACATTTGCACAATAACAAACAAGTTCACTTTTAGATCATCAGCTGATTACTACTCTTTCTTTCATTATTTATTTAAACCATAAAGAAGATGGTCCACATATATTTCAGAAAATAAAAATGTTTCATATAAATCTATATCAGCGTCCAGTACAACTATCGGAAGTTCTTTGATTCTTTAGAAACACATGCAAACAGTCAGTGTTCATTTATGGTCTAGACACTAGATGGAACATGTCTGTAGACATTAATATAAGGAAGGTACCTGACTTTATAAGATCAATTAATCAGAGTAAAAGGCTTATTTATGTTCGAAAAACTATCTTAACCCACTTTGATAACCATTTCCAATTATTAAGCTGAATTTTAATATTTGTTTAATTTGCTATTATATAAACCCACATGAACCAGTCTGGTATGGCGTTCTCCTATCAGCAATGGTTGTAATTATCAGTTATTAAATCTTTCATCATCACCTAACCTATGCAAGAACATGTTACTTAGTGCATTTTATAAATATATGTTTTGTATCACCTTTAACAAAAATACCAACCATAATCTGATAAATGCCCTAAAAATTCAAATTATCTAATGAAATATCTGTGTGTTTAAGAAAAATATTAAAGAAACAGACATAGCAATCATTCTTTCACAATCCTAATACAACACACCAAATTCGAAAAAAAAATCCATTAAAATCAATAGCCACCACCAAGTTCACAATGCTTTTTGAAAAGGGGAATAACTCCAGAATGATAGGGTTTCAGTTGTCAAAACCCAAGTCCTTCACACCGAAATTTAATAAAATCTGTTTAAAGTTCATTAACAAGATTATTTCATTCATTAATAAATTGTCTTACCCGTCTATGGAATCTTTCATTCATAGTTGGGTTATCATCTGAGACATGTTTCTCTACTTTCAGAGCATTGACAACTGGTTTTATAGTTATACCCTGAAAAGACACGAATCATAAAATATAAATACACATATAACCATTCCGAAAATATGCTGTGTCAACAAGTAGCTAGATGTTTTTGAACAGAAAATAAAGAGAGAGAGAAATAGGGTTTAATGTTCACTTGACACAAACTAGGTCATTTCGGGACTAACACATTTGCATGTGGGAGAAAACCCACAAGGTTACACAGGCGATCCTACTCCATGTCACGTACATCTGGGGAATCGAAACCACGCCAGTTGACTAAATGACAGACATTACAATACAACGTGCACGCACTAACCAATCGGCCACTCAACCCCCCAAAGAGAAAATAACCTTTGGCAATATGAATGTTACATTTTAAATAATTTTAGAGATATCATTCAATTGTATGCTAGGGTTTTTTTTGTTACAATAATAAATCTATCTCGCCTGAAGAAATATTTTAAATAATTTTATCATTCAATTGTATTCATGGCCGCAGATCTTATTAAATTTTAGGGGGGGGGGGGGGGACGGAGGTGGCGCCACAGGCGTGAACCGTTCCGTGGGGGGTCTGGGGGTCCTTCCACCTGAAAATTTTGAAAGCAGGATGCCTGAAAGCGCTATCTGAGACCATTTCTTAGCATTATGCAGAGATGAACGTACCGAGAATAAATTGTCGTTTTTGAGCGAGAATAATCAGCCAGCTCTGAGCATAAGCTGCAGAGGTCATGAAGAGATCATTCTCAGATCTGGGTTACATCAAAGACCGGGCATTTTTGAACCAAGGGGAAATATCCTCAGCCTGAAAATAGGACTCAAGTTTTGGGAGACGCTGACAGAGTACGGCGGGCGAAGGCATACGCCATGTGCGCTACAGGCGCGCATTTAGCGGGGGTCTTGGTGCCTCCCCCGGAAGATTTTTTAAAATTAGGATGCCGAAAAATGCTATCTGAGACCATTTCTGGGCATTATTGTACATCGGCATGTTTGGAAATATAGGCTACATTCAGGGCTCTATAAAAGTTGAGTGTGCCTGCGCACACACTTGAAAATGTGCCTGCAGGGTCATACTAAAAGACAGGGATGTTGCCAGGATTTGGTGAGTGGTGTAAAAAATATATTTGGCGAGCAAATTACCAAATTCACTTAATTTTCATCAATGATACAGGGATCTAAAAACTTTTTGACACCACCCGACCGAGCATAAAATTGTCCCGCCCCACTCTGTTTCTCTGGATAGATAAGTTGAGGACCTTTGTTGTTTTGTTGGTTTTTTTTCAAATATTACTTTATTACTTTGAGATTAAAAATTAAAAGATTCTTAAAACGGTGTTTGTGTTTTATTTGAGTACAAAGAATTATGACAACAGGTAGATATTGATAATTAAAACACGTTGTATTATTTGAATTGTTTGTAAAGTTGTTGTACGTGTCTCACGAATATTATTATTATTACGGTGGAATGAGAATCAGGTCAGGCAGAAAATGAGAAAGCTCTCATCGTCCTCCTAGTCCTACTCTCGGGCCGTAGCAAATCCACGGTCAACACAGGTAAGAAATAAAATAAGAAACATCGTGAAAATTTGCAGCCACGTGTTGGAAATTACGACATTTAAACCTTTAACATTGGAGTGCCGTAAATTGGTCTGGGTGACCTATTTACGGCAAATAAACAAATATAAAGACCGTAGAATAATTGTAAAATGAATAGACCTAGGCCTACACATCTTCTAAGTATAAATAAACAAAATACCAATACATCTTTCTTTAAACTAATTTGGGATGATAGGGTCTACTACGGCACACAAAAATAAATTATGCCGTGACAGACATGGTTTGCGTACGTCGGCTTTTACCATGGCTTTGCCGTTTAATCATGGATCATATTCAGTACAATTCTATGGTTTAATTGCCGTGGTAAATTTCGAGCGCTGAGTTTGTGTACAGAGAAGGTCGAAGAGGTTTAAATACGACTGGGCGGCTTTCTTCAATTTTTTCTTTGTGGTGGACGGCAAAAAATAGTGCCGGGCGCAGGCGCCGCCCGGCGTGGCTACATCTTTAAAAATGTGCCTGCAAAAAAGTTTTTTTTAAAGCAAATGTGCCTGTGCACGCCGTGCGCAGAAATATCGATGCCTGGCTACATTACCCGAGCTGAAAATAAGACTTGAAATTTTATCGATGCATTTTTCTGGGGGGGGGGGGGGGGACGAGGCATATGAAATCCCCCCCAGTGAAAATCCAGGGGGGACACGTCCCCCCCCATCTCCCCTGGGATCTGCGGCCTTGATTGTATTAGTAAGTGCAGGGGGACTGCACCACACATAATTTACACAAAAACAAATCTATGGACTAGACACAATACGCAGAAATCACAAACAAACGAACATATCAAATTAAGTGAAAGGATCTGGGGGCTAGCCGTAAGCGTCCACTGTTAGTTTATTTTTGTTACAATAATAAATTTATCTCACCTGAAGAAATACTGTAAAAAAGACGACAACTATTGTTGTTGATACAAACATTCGTTTTTCTGGTATAACGTCTTCATTTAATAACAAAGCTAAGCAGAAAGCAATACCACCTCGTAGTCCACCATATGACATAATAAACTGATCAAACTTTGATAGTTGTATTAACCGAGTTCTATTTACAAAAAATGCTATAGTAACAATACCTGGAAAATATAAATGTATAAATAAATAAATAAACCTTTTATTTCCAACGTTTTGGTCTACATAAAAACATCCAGAATCAACATTTTTAAAATTAAGAAAAATTACTCATATTTTCAACTATTCAATTGTATTCACAAATCCAGTTGTATGTTTCATATTATTAACAGAAATGAAGGAATTCTTAAGATGTCAATTTTGTATGGTTAATCTTTGAAATAAGAATTGATAATGATAATCAATATTACACTTTTATATATAGAATTTTAAAAACAAGAAATAATTATTAAATAAATTTGTCTTACCCATAACTCTAAATACTATACAGAACAGAAGCGTGAAAAATATAAAATCTAACTGCCAATCATGTGTTTCCACTACTGTAGACAAACCCAGAAACATAAAGATGACAGTTTCGCTGATGTTGCCCATTAACTTCATAAAATAACGACATGTTGTTATAGATGTCTTTGTCATATTTAACTCTACATAATGTCTCATTGTAATACCACCAAATGTTAAACTGAAAATAAAAGATAGAGATAGGTTGTCAGGCAATGAAACAGAGATTCACAGAAGCTAAGTTGTCCATGCATTCCACAAAGTTGTCACATATTCTACCTAATATAGAAGCATATACATGTAGTTATTGTGTTCTAAAAGCCGAAAAGACAGCTTTACGGACGCAGAAAACACTCAGTAAAAATATTCACTTAATGAATATTTCCAGCAGGTTTGAAATGAAATGGGGTGTAACATCCTACTGTTGCTCCGACTTGGCTAATGAAGACCGGCACCAAATTTGAACATTCTACCTTAATTAGAAGCACATTTATTGTGTCCCAAAATGTTTGATATGTCATGATTTTAGCAACGGCAGCTTGGAAAGGCTCAAAAGTGTAAAAGTAATAATAAATAAATGGAAATAGAGAACTTCAATTTTAATAGTTTTATTGTACTTATACTTACGCTAAAATACTTGAAAGATGAACCATTTCAGCAGTAAGATAGGCTAAATATCCAAGTACAAACACAAACAATGGTTCAATAACTTTAATAGATTCTGTATATTTAGTTATAAAACCTCCAATAAGTCCATATATTATACCAATTAGCGTTCCTCCTAGTGCAATAATAAAGAATGAGAAGAAGCCAGTAGCAACATCTATAGGTAATATGTTTGTCTCTCCAATTTCAGAATAAGATTCCAACATATGATACAGCACCTGAAAAGTAAAATATACAAATAATGATTTTTAAATCCCTAGATTCATACTCCTCGCAGTGTTTTGTTTGATCAGAGCTAATCCCACTTAACACTGCTGTAAAGGAAGCAAATTTGTGTTTATTAACAAAAATCAACATTTTTATTATCTTTTAAAAACAAATCCCTTAAGATCTTTATTTCTATGCATATATTATTCTTTATCTGGTCATAAATTTAAAATACTTTTTTCAGAAACTAAATCTAATTTTCAATAAACATCTTCTTTAAAAATTTGAATTAATGTTTGATAATAAATTTGCATAGGATCTAACATTACATGTTCAAAATTCACTTTTTACCTGTATGAACACAATTGCCGAATACAGATAAAGAGAAACCCTAATCTATTTCACTTATGAGGCTCCTCCCAATCCCCCACCTTTAGAGGAAGATGGAGAGTGTTTTAAACACAATTGAGTAAAAGCGAGGATGATAACGGTTGTTTAAAACTACAGAATATGTAAGAAAAGCTTGAGGCCCTAAGCTGTAGCCTGTCAAGCCTATCGGTAAATCCTGAACTGATACACACAATAAGTACCTTTATAATGTGGAAGCAATAACTAACCTATTCATAGAGGTAATTTTGAAATTTTCTTGGGAAAAGCATATAACTAGTGTCATAGCTAGAGTTTGGGCCAACCTCTGCAGTTCTTCTTTTTGCATTTATGAACATCTATATTATGAACATTCTACATCAATTATAAGTGGAGATATAGTGTTCCAAAGTCTTGACCAATCAAATTCTTTATCGCTACTTAACTGAAGCAGACAATTATCATCATCCAACTTAGAAATCTAATTAAAATACAGATCTATATTTTGTTTCGTTTTTTTTAATACTTTCCATAGCCTACACTACATGGAGATCTGACAAGTTGTACTGGAAGGTCGTGTCAGAGGGCATACAGACGGCTTTTGACCCTATGACGTAATTAATTAATCAGTGTTGACATTTCTAGTGGCTTACCCACATTTCCGTGCATGGCACTCCAAGAACTCGCTGTAACAGACCGTTTCATTGGCTATAAATCCCTTACTTCAACCAAAACGCCAGTATAACAACTCTTCCAGTAAAGACAAGTAAATGAAATTTTGAACTAAAAAATCGAAACGAAATAGGATCTGTGTTTTAATCAGATTGCCAACTTAGTTAAAGTATTAATGTAATGAAACCATACACCAAGGTTCATCACTCTCCCTTAATTAGAATGAAAGTTATCATGTTCCAAAGCATTGGCCAATAAAATTGCTTATCACTGCTTAGCCTTAACCCCAAGTTCGAACAATCTACATGTAACTCAATTAAAAGTAGAGTTATTATGCATGCAAAAAGTTTGAAAAACAGACGGATGGACAGATAGATGTACAGACAGACCAGATTTTTAAAAAAAAAAAACAGGGGACAAAAGCAGTGTCTTTATGGAAAAACTCAAATATTGTCAATGCAGGAGACCAAAAGGGATGCCCCCTTGCGCTAGCCTCAGACCCAAAAATAAATTGAAAATCTCCAAATATAAAACTGTGGCAGAGGCTATGAGTCCAATGGAGAGGCCCCCAGTTCAAGAAAAGGGCCCCTGAATCAGAAAAGAACCCCTCTGACTTCAGTGGAAGGGCCTTGAGTCCAAGAAAAGGGTCCCGTTGACATCGGTGCAAGAACCCATGTACATTTGTTCAATAATAAGGCAGATCCGACACCCAATCATTCATCAGTGCCATTATGCGCAGGGCTAAGTTCTCATTAGGTGCATGTGCACTGCGCTGAATTCGGCGTCTGGATATTTGTTAACGTTCGTTGTGATGGGAACCTGCTGTTGATACCAATGTATATGCTATCAGGATTTACCAGGCAATGGGATCAATTTAGGTAAAGGAGCATTATGGAATAGTTAAAAACTAGATAATGTAAAGGGAATATGCTGAAAATTTCTATCAAATTGCCTCAGTCTGAACTGAGATAGCGTTTGAATTTTAGGCCTAGCCTTGATCATCATTACTAAAGTCGGTACGATAAAAAACATAAGTCTTGATTATCCATTTTTGGATTAAATCATCAATGAGCGTTGAGCAACAAATCAGATTCAAATTCAGTGTAAATCTGACACATAAGATGGCATTGCAAGTTGATGAAGGTCTTTTCATCTTAATAAATGTCTAAATAATAGTTTATATAACATTTCAGGCCTAAAGAAAGAGCTGCAGTATGCAGATTTAGCTCTTGCATAATGTATGTTTAATATTATATGTATGTTTGTTGTTTATTACTTTCAATGTCTGTTTATTTATTGTGTATCTTGTACGCAGATTTGTCTTATTAGTTTTTGTTTAGGTGTGGTGCCATGGTCATGAACTTATTGTTAGCTATCAAGGTGACCAAACTGCATTCCAGTTAGAGTCCACCAGTGAATATTTAAAAAATATTCATTTTTACAATGCTAAGAACAATTAAAATCCAAACATTTTATTTTCTTAATTCCTTTCAAACAAATTTATCCAACAACTGAAATAACTTTTCACCTGCTGCAGTCCCTAAAGCCCTTGGATGATATTGATCTCAAGGCAACCAACATTTTTGCAAGTCAGAAAGCTTAAAAGAAACTTCTTATGTGAAATATATGTTACAAGTCCAGTCTCATAAATAGTGATTGATTAACGATAGCAACACCACTATAGCCCTTCTTCTTCATGGCATATATTCCTGGCTTCAGTAGTACAGTTGGTGCAGAAGGAGAGGGCGTTAAACTCAATCTCACAATCTCATTTGTTTTTCGACAAATTTGGACAACAAAATCATCGGTTCCAATTTTTAACTAAACCCACAGGAAAGTCGTCTAAATCTTATCTATGGCGATTTAATTTTCAAAATTTTCTAGAGGACTTCTCTGCCCCCCCCCCCCTGCCTTTACACTGTTTATGATAATTATTTCACTTTCATATAATGCCCCTTCATCTTTTAATGATGTCAAGTCAAGAGTAGTTTTTCAGATGAGATACATGTAAATACATTATCTATTAGTAAGATAAACATGATTATCTATATTGATAATCTCAATTGATATAGATTATTATTGATCACAACATGAATTTAAAATTAAATAGATAAATAACAAGACCACTTATCAACTTAACAATCAGAAGTACATAAGTCATTATTAAAGCCTATAGCTGTCAAAACCCCAGATATTCTGTCATATTGAAATATAGGCTCTTCCATATTTGGAGCATCAATATTTTCACTCCACTTTTATTTTGTTTAAACTTAAAACAGAGAGAGAGAGAGAAATAGGGTTTAACGTCCACTCAACACAAACTAGGTCATTTTTGGACTAACATATGGTTCAATTTTATTTTAATTAATTCACTTGAGCGTATGGGTCTCTAGCAGTGAGAGAAAACCGGATGACCTGGAGAAAACCCATGAGGTTGGACAGGCGACCCTACTCCTTGTCACGTACAACCGGAGAATCAAATCCATGCCAGTTGACTCAATGACAGACCTTATGATACAATGCGCACATGCTAACCATTCGGCCACCCAACCACTCAACTTTAAACAGACCTATCACTTAATTCATTAGCTCAACAACAAATTGATATACTTATCACCATCCCCAACAACTAGGCCTTTGACTCAATGACAGACCTTATGATACAACAACGCCTTATGATATAATTATACACCTGACAGATTATCACCGAATATAACAAGAATATTAGATATTTTAGTAGATATAAAGATAGGCAGCCAGGCAACGACTACAGCAGCTAAGTTCTCCAGGCAGTCAACAAGGGTTGTCTGATTACGAGTAACAACCTATAAAGTAATTATCAGATATCATTAGAATTTGTTTCGATTGTCTGTCTCACGACCTTAAACACTGTGTATGAATTTATATTACATAACTTTAGCCTATAGTATCTACAAGAATTCTCAAGTGATTAAGGGCCATAACTCTGGCTGTAATTATCAGAAATTGTTGAAAATCAATTGGCTTCTTTGTCTCATGACCATAAACATTGTGTTTAACTTTAACCTCAAGAGCGACCACAAGATTTTTCAAAGTGATCAAGGGCCATAACTTTGGCAGAAATTATAGGAAATTGTTGAAAATCAATAGGATTCTTTGTACCATGACCTTAAACACTGTGTATAAATTTAAAGTAAATAAGATATTAACATTATCCTCTTGTGTGTCCAAAAGGTTATTAAAAGGGATTAAGGGCCATAACTCTGGCAATAATTATCAGAAATTTTTGAAAATCATTAGGCTTCTTCGTCTCATGACCTTAAACACTGTGTACAAATTTGAAGTCAGTTGGATATTATTACCTTTAGCTTGTGGACGCCGAACCAACGGATGACGGACAGACAGTGGTGACGGCAACATACGCCCCCCACATTTCAATGAGGGTGTATAAAAACTACAACAAAAGTTTAAGAAGGTTTTTTCTTCTAATCCCTTTGAAGAAGGGGATAATGGCTTCATCTGTCTTCTATAATGTGTTTCTAATAGATTAGAGCGATGTCTTATACATGCAAGTTATAATAATTATTTTTTTAAATTATAACAATTTCAGTAGTTTTGTTAAAATTGAATCCTGTCTTTTAAACACAATATCTCCAATATATGACTTATTAATAAATATGATATCTTGAAATCTTCATTCTCTGTTAATAAGGTTTTTATTTTACAATGTAGCTCATTACATTTATAATAATTATAATTAATGCCATGTTTAATAAAGCATATCAGATTTATTGTGTTTAATAATATCTTTGTTTAAGTCTTGTGGGGTAGTCTATAATTCAAAGCATGTACACATAGACATAAAATGTTCAATATGAGTAATCATTACGGTAAAAGATGTACCAATAATAATCCTATTGTACTGTATTATAAGCAACATACCACGTTCTACCAGTATACACAATGGATAATATAATTGCTATTTAATATCCTT